TTGCACGATTGTATTAAAGGGCGTCAAATCATCTCGACATATAAGGCACATTGCATTTTCCTTTGTTCTCGTTTATCATATTAGAGTGGTTATGCGGTACTTATAATTATTTATATTTTACCGAGAACTGGGCCTTCGTTCTCTATTATATACCTACAAGCGAACGCATGAATTTTTTAACAATCTGCGCAGATCTTATGATTGTAAATTAATTCATAAATGCATTGTAAACATTCTTATATAACAATAAATAATATTGATTTAATTAAAAACAAGAAGAATTTTCGAGAAACTTGTGTTTTTAAAGTAACTACAATAACTATACAGCTTCGCTTATGTTTTTAAGTATACCACAAATAAACATTTATATAATACATTAACTATTCATTATAAAATACATTAATCATTCATCTTTTATTGACTAGTAGCTATTAAAGCTGCATTTTCTTCAATGAGATACAACCGGAAAATAAAATATTATCCTGAGGAATCATGAAAATTTACGTGAAAAAAAGAAGGATTTATATTCCAGGGACCAATAAATTTAATAAAAAAATCTGCAAATAGAATATCATAGATATAATCTCTGCAATATCTATAAGACATAAATATTAATTAAAAAAATAAATAAATTTAACGTTAACAGTATGAGAAAAAATATAAGTTTCATGTTCATTAATTTATAACTCGCTTATAAGTTGTAAAAAATTACATCCCGTTAAAGTATATAAAGAAATCAAAGTTTCCGTGCACAATATGTATTTTATATATATGGATAACCTTATTAATAACAATTTAGTTTTATTCATGTACATAACATAGTACTTGGTAAATGGTTATGTAATTAATATATATGAACCAGATGATTCTGGTATACATTAAAACAACCGGTTGGAGGCACAACACTTCAACTCCTCGTGATTTACCATCCCTCCTCAGCACCTCACTGATTCAACGCATGTTTGCATACTAATTAAACATTATGTTAACAAGCAAAATAATTGTATCAACAAAACATATATTTTTTCTTCTGACATCATAAACTCTAAATTGACAACCATATAGTGTTTAGTCATGTATTTTAATATAGATTCATATGTACTTTCTAAGAGTATTTAGACATCACTGATTAATGCATTCCCAAAGAGGGTTGATGTCAGGCAGGCGGCCGGTCGTAAAAACAATTAGCCAAAACTATTCTCAACATGTAAGGCAGACCCTGGCTAAAGCTAAAGAAAAAGAAGAAGATTCATAAGAGATTTAAAAAGTATATATGTATACATAGAAAGATATCTGGTCTCAGCGATAGATTTGATATAAATCACACAACAATGATAAGACTCCATTGACACCGAACAATGTTAACAATGACCACACACAGGAAGCATCGAGAGACTTCTAAAAGACACAAAAGAATACATAATATAAACATCCGTTATTGACATTATTGAACAATATACATGAACGCAATTTAAATTATTTGCAATATTCAATATTCTTACATTTAACATTGACGTATTTCTGTTTATCTTTTAAACTAAAAGAATATTGTTACCAAAAAACCTGATGGTTTAAAAAGATCAATAGGTCTGTGAAAAGTTGCTTCGCCTTATCTCCTTGATGCAAATAATTAAATGACCGAGTCACCCCTCAAGTTGTATCAAGTTAGCGTTCGACGGCCTTCGTAAATAACTACGTATACCTGTTAAAGTTTAAATACCAGTGCAGCTTGACTTACCCATCTTTTGAATTCTAAGGTCAGTTAATATGGTGAATTTATAAAGAGATAATTACATACCAAACACATTTTAAACGACACGATTCACATGAACTCGTGATTACACGAATTTATTATTGTATATTTATACCATTGCAAATAAGAGCTTACGTTTAAAAATGCAAAATTCAATGCCTCATATTAAGGTAGATTAAAACCAAAAAGTATCTATTCAATTTCAAATTAGATTTTTTATGCATTTTTTTTCTAACTCAACAACCGGAAACTGTGGAAAAACGTAAATATTGACCGTTATTGCATTGTTCATTAATTCAAGGGAACAATTGCATCGTGATTGATTTTAGTTCTAGGAACTGACGCAAATCATTAAAGTACCTACGGAGAACATTACCATTTACTAGAACTAACATTAAATATTTATATTAATTTACATATAGATAAGTACTAATTTATGTTCCTTAGTCTCGATACATTAAAAAATACTGACCAAATTGTGTGTGAAGTGAATGGTTAAACTTAAAGCGGAAATTTAAGTAAAACTTTCAAAGTCAAATAATCTTAAGAAAGGAAAATTTTCTGAAATACTATTTTTTTTAATTTAATCTATTTAAAATAATAAACGTATAGTTTTCAAATTTGTAAATTACAAAGGTCAGTAAAGTCAACTTTGACGATAATAACATAATCAATAATAATTAGACAGATTGTGTAAAACATCGTGTCGAGAAACAGGGACAAGGAGAGACGATCACCATTATTACGACATAGCGGTTATTATAAAAGTTAACATCTTAAAATATATGTTGGTTAGGGACTTACAGAAAATCACGAAAAACTCACCCTCTCAACGTCATTTTCAGATTTTCGGCTATTTATTTTTAGTTTAGAAACTTAAAATTTAGATATTAAGTATTTAACGCTGAAATCGTGATTGAAATAAAAGAATAACTAGATTTGGACGAGTATTTGAATTAATTAATTCAAAATGAAAATAAAATTAAGGTTAATAAAAAATATTTCTAACAATTTTAAATTAAAAAAAGAGAATGAACCCAGCCCTAAAATATCATAGTAGCACAAGAATTTCTTAATAGTAGAAACATTTAACTATCAAATTACAGCTACTAATAACGTTCATAATAACTAAAAGTTACGTTATAACTGCCGCTTGCAAATGAATTACTAATTTGTTTACGTGATTTTTATAATGATTTACCACATTATCAAAAATTTATACATTTATAGAAACATAAATAAATTGTAAATACTATTGAATGTAAAAACGACGAGATATTTCGTGACAACGTTTAAGTAAGAGACTAATACACGAGTGATTTATGTATGTCATCCAAAGTACCAGAAATAAGTGCTACATAATACCGGTTATTACATGAACTTTCACTTATTTACATATCATTAGTTTGGTCTCCCATAAAGTTGGGGTCAATGGAACTATTTTTCTCGCATTTCAACATAAAAGCCCTTTTAAAATTGATGTCAACGATAAAACTGAAAAAACTCGAAGCAAATTATACATATTGCTACATTCTAAATATCAAGAAAATTTGACATTTTCATACGTAAAATTTCTTAATGATATTTAAGGAAGATAGAATAAATATCTTAATTGTTTTGATATAAATTTTAGTGCCACTAACTTTCTTTAAACAATAGTGACATTTGCAGTTTATTACCACAGACTGTTTAATGTAATTCGTTAGGTAACTTCGATTTTATTATGTTATTACAGCACCATTAAGTGAATATCAATTTATTGATTATTATAAATTCCTATGTATCATTCTTAATATTGTCACGTATCTGTCTTTAAAATGTTTAACAAACGCATATGCCTAAAAACATAGCTGTATATGAAATATTAATGATTACAGGAGGGTTTTCCAACACAGAGAAAGGATACAAAAGAAAAACAAATCTAAATTTTCCAAATAGGCACATACTAAGTAGTGAGCAAATTACGATATGCCTGTCCAACTCGTGTTGAATTAAAATATATTAAAATATATGTCCAACTGAATAAACAAGTTTTTAAACAAATATTTTTCTTGCTTACGTAGTACCAACATAATACAAGAAATATTAGTATTTTTAGTTGAAAACGATATAATAAAAACGGATTGCTCACTATTAACAGAGGATAGAAGAATACAAATGGACTTTTAGACATTTATTACGTTTTATTGAATAAATTTTACGATTTTCCAACGAACAATAAATAGGAATGATAATAGATAGTAAATAAGGAAATATATAAGTAATTAGAAATGGTTACTAATGGTCCTATAAATAATATATTATAAGATGTTATTTTTATTCCTCCATGCAAAAAGAGGAATGTTATAAGCTTAAGATGGATGTCTGTATGTGATTGTATATATGGCTATGTTTCTGTAGAATCGTAGCTGTTAAACAGATCGATCTTTCGATTCTGTTTTATCATTTGAAAGTCATTATCCTTGCAGCAGTCTAAGCTATGTTTAGTTAATATCGGCTCAGCTGTGTAAGATTATCAGATCTTTTTCATAATGTTCTTAGCGCCTTTTGGAGTATGATTACTCAATTAAGTTTCTCACGATCGCCACGATAATCGTTGAATGACAATGAATTAGTTCCTTTTTTTATTTGATACAATTAATCTCTACTTTTACATACAAATTATTTTTAATTTCTTTTAAATTAAGTTTTTTTTAAACAAAAAAGAGGAAAAGATTAATAAAACAACCGAGATAATTATTGTTTGAAATGATTACGAATTTTTTGTACGTACAATATTTGAAACGGTTCTAATGATGATAATCCTTTCATCTTTCCTTTTGGTCTATAATCACTGACCTGTTTATACAAAACAATTTTATAGTACACAATTTGTTTTCTGTATTTAAGGAAAATATTGAATAACTCATGGTCAATTATTAGGTACGTGATTAAAGTTCGAATAATACTTAAACAAATTGTACCACATAATTTACATATCTGTAGTATTCACATTGTCGGAATATAAAACTACTTCGTTAGTATAACTCATTTCATAGATACAAACAATCATACATGTAGGTATTTTACAAACAATTGTTCAAATATTAATGAACATATATTTGTTTCTATGATTTTACATATTATTATGTTTTCAAGCCTACAACTATTGTCGAACAACCTTGGACGAGTTTAAATTATGTTACACCATTTAGTTTTTCATTAAAAAAAAATTTGAATAACATAAAATTTACGCATTATTGGCATAATGGTAATGTAAGGTCGAGAGGATTCATTTAGTCTTGAATTGGGTGATCATGTGAGAGTTATTGTGGTCCTAATTTAATAATCAACTACTAGCTAGGAACCAAGTAACCATTTGAAGGACCAAGTGAACGCTTCCGATTGATTCAATTATTTAATACGTTATAGTAATTGTTTCGTTATTTTATTTTATTTCAGGAAATGGTTGGAAGAAATAGCATCGGCAAACAAGCAAGGAAGAAAACCATCGCTACTCCGAGCAATGACCAAAACATTCTGGTTAAGCTACGCACCTTCCGGAGTAATGTTCCTCATACAAGCTCTCATACTCAAGTATGAATTTATTTACATATATCATGAATTATGATAGTTACCTGTAAAGAATTACATCATATCTTTTCTTATGTTAATTTTTTGTTGAAAAGCTTATCTACTCATACAAAAAATGGTGTATTCTTTGTCGAAAACGAAAACTCAAGACAAAAGTATGTTAATATAGATTTCCACTTCTCGTGCTACACGTGTATCGTAAAAACCAAGTGACATTGACGCTAATTAATTCTGGCTACCAATATGTTTTCACGGTGTCTAGAGCATCACAGCACAGAATTTTAACAGCTTCTGATTCATAAATTTTGTCATTTTATAGTACAAACTATGATTATTGAACCAAAAATTGGAAACGCTTCATGTATAGTAAAGTATAACAATGGAAACTTATGCGAAGCAAGCTGATTTTACTTTAATACACCTAATATACCTTTAGTCTATTATCACTTAAGGTTCATGAAAATTTTCTTTCATAAGCCATAATTAAATTAAATTAATGAAAACTAAAGAAAACAATAAACAATCACAGGTCATGTTACAGTGATGTAAGGGCAATGAGTTAATAGTCTAAGCACTTCTACTTTGACCGCATCTGTGATTTTGTATGTAATAGCCTTTATTTGTATACCTATACAAAACGATGGTTACAAAACTGTAAACCAATGGTAGTTATATTTGATTTTTATTTTTTCTTTCAAGGCCTTTCCAGCCTGTTGCTTTGAGTATACTGTTGACTTACTGGGAGCCTGGTTCAAATATGACATACGATCAAGCGGTGTACTGCGCTTGCACCGTAATACTGATGTCTTTACTGATAGCATTCCTCAACCACCACGGCACTTACTCTACTCAACAGTTTGGAATGAAAGTCCGTATTGCTGCCTGCTCCCTTATCTATAGAAAGGTAACAATAAAATAAATTCTTTTTTTTCGAAAAATAATGTTCTTTCCACCAAAAACAGGGTGACATTATTAAATAAAATATAAAAAAAGTAAACGAAATATCTTTCTAGGTGATGCGGATGAGCTCCGGTGCGCTAGCCCAAACAACTGCCGGTCAAGTAGTAAATCTGTTATCTAATGATGTCAATCGATTTGACTATGCTTTTATCTACACTCACTTCATCTGGCTTTTACCACTCCAAGTGATAATTGTCTGTTACCTCATATACATCAAAATTGGGTATGCAGCTATTGTTGGAGTCATTGGCATCGTCTTGCAAACAATTCCTGTACAATGTAAGTTGCAATAATTAAATTATAATGTTATTTATCCGTTGGGTTGCAAACTAATTTATGTTTCTTTTACATTAAGCGTATATGAGCAAATTGGCAGCGAGACTGAGAATGAAAACAGCATCTAGAACTGACGAACGTGTCCGAATTATGGATGAAATTATAAGCGGAATGCAGGTATTTCATCAAATCTGTATTAAGTACAATATAATTTTATAACGTATGAGTACTAACCAGACCCAATTTTGATAAAACATTCGTTTAAATATTCAATAGTTTTAAGTTATCTTCTGACAAGTAATTTTAAAACCTATAATAAAAGTAAATGAATTTCAGGTTATCAAAATGTACGCTTGGGAGAAACCGTTCGAACAAGTTGTGGCATTGGCTCGTAAAAATGAAATCAATTGCATCACCTCAGCGTCTTATCTTCGTGGAGTTTACCTTAGCTTTATGGTGTTCACTGAACGGCTAACACTTTATATCACCCTTTTATCCTATTCATTATTTGGGTATCAAGTCACCGCTGACATCGTAAGTATCCACCTTAATACAAAACAGAGATTCGAACTTCAAGTACTTACATATTAAAACTTCTTTTTATATGTACTTAACATGCAAACCAATAACGGTATAAAAATAAGTGTTACACACAGAGCCGTGTTTTAACATGCAATGGATCTCATTTCCTGATAGATGAATCATAAAATACATACCAAATACATTTAATACAGGACGTCAACATGAACACTATAATCTAATTACAGGTTTTTCCATTGGCGCAATTCTTCAATACCCTTCAAGGCACACTGTCAATTATCATGTCAAATGCCGTATCATTTTTAGCTGAAGCATTGATTTCAGTTCAACGACTTGAAGCGTTCATGTTATTGGGTATGTGGGGCTTATAAGCTCCGATGCATGCCTAAATTTATGCATGACTATTATTGCATAAATGATTTTTAAACGTTTTGTGTAATCTGAAAAGTCTTTATTATGGCAGACTGCAGATTTACATAAATAAAAGCATGACTGTAATTTGACTAATCGATCCTATGCATGACTACTTATCGATGAATGCCTTTATTATAACAAATTTTAGAATATGTATGTTTTAAAAAAAGAATAGAGCAAAGCTACGTCAATTAACGAGAAGACTATTATTTAAATGATGCAACAAAGATTGTCTCTTTTGGCTTAATAATTTTAAAGTTATAAGATTTTGTGAAAATTTCCAAATATTGCTGTAATTTCACTCCAGTTGCTAAGACTTTTTAAGAGCATGAAGTATATCTTTATATATACATTTTTTTAGATTGTAACATATGTATGATGTAATAAAATAGCTTATAGGTTAACTTATGTGCATCGAACAAATTTAAACGTGATTGGAGAAGTTAATATTGCATTTTTCACGTGTATATTTCTCAATGTCCATAAATAGACATGATAGAAAATTAACATTCTGTCGATCCTTTACAATACAAGAAGAAGAAAAATTATTTATTGATTGTTTCTCAGGTTTCCGTAAAATAATCCGGAAATATTTAATTTTAGAAAATTTTACAAAATTAACTATAACTTTAAAACGATTGTAGCTATGGTCATTAAAATGAATGTTTTTAATTAATTAATGATCTTCATCACAAATAATAAATATTGGTCTTCAATTTAAGGTACAAAATCTGTACCTATAGTCAAAAGCGAGGCGTTTACACTAACACACACCTATGTACATATATAGAAATTATCTTGGATTAAACAGAAGTGAGTTCAAGTGGTATAAACTGATTGTAATGGCAATTTTCACAGGCTTTCCCGTTGGCTCAAATGTTCAATATTCTTCAAGCTTCAGTAGCTATTTTACTACCAATGTCTTTATCAATGTTGATGGAGTCCCATACTTCTATTCTTCGTATACAGCAATTTTTAGTTAAGGGTACGATTTAAAATATTAGAAAATTAATAAGAGTGGATTTTGTTATACGTCCAAAAACTTTTAGCAAAAAGAATAAAAACAACCTCACTTCTCAATGTAGCTAATTACTAACTAAACCAGCTTTTTAATCGCAGTTGCTTACTAACAAGAAAACACAACATAAGGAAGCGTAAGGCCAAAAAAAAAACATTATTTTATTTTTATTTTATTTATTACTTTTATATTTCCACCTCAACCGTTCTCTTCAAAAAAGTTTCATGTGGTTGTACTAAATTACATTAGAAGTTTTCATTAAAAAGCAAATACAACAATAAACGTCCAAGAATAAATGAAGGTACATATACAGGGTGACTGGTGAATTACTATCAATATTTTAGGAGCATACTCGGTACATGATTCTCATTCGAATTATGTAAAAAAAATAGGTACTTAATTTTTGACAAAATTTCCGTATAAATAAATAAAGTGTTGACACGTTCCAAGTGTTCCTAGTGTGGACGCGTATGGCGGCGTGCTGATACAAAACCACGCCCCCGCTGCGTATGTGTGAGTGTGTGTGTATACCTAATCTGTAGGGTGTTCACACGATGCGTAATTAATTACATAACTTTTGGTTAACTTTACTTAGAAGTTTATTAATATTTATGTTATATTAATTTTTATTTTGTCATATATGATCGTCAACTACCACGTCCTCAAATATCGATAGTAATTCCCCAGTCACCCTGTATATACTACAAAGAGATGCTGCTTTACTGGCCATGGGTTCTTTTTACCTGTGATAAAGAGACATGTGATAGATAGTCATAAAAAACTTCAGTCGATTAAAAAGTATCTTAATAAATTTGACGACAATAGTTATAGAAAGTCAAGTATTTATCGCAGGCGTATATCCTGAAGTAATATTGTGAGCAGTATTTAACAACTATATTTACAGGCACTTGACATAATGTTAGCCTTCTAATATATGTCTATGCGTATTTGTAACAACTTCACGATAGGAGGTATATTTAATAGAAACTGCGAATATAAAGACAAATATTTATTTGAACATTACTTCAAGTTATATAATTGGTATTAGGATTGAATTAAGTACATTTCAATATATTTTATTATGATTGGAAGGCTTGTTTCCATTGACTTTTTGGTCTATTTGAAGAAATCTATGTTTTGTTACTTCTCCCAAAAAATATTTAAAACTAACATTCGTTGTAATTGGCTTTTGACTAACGCTTATGCATATCTAAGTTTATATGGGAAATGTGTTTTGTGGTTGAGGAATAAAAATTATAATCAATTAGTATAAAAGTATAATACATATGTACATAGACGTGGTACTTACATATAAATGTACATATGTATTTATAATTATGTGTGTATCACTAAGCCATAGACAATGTGCATGACTAATTTTTAATTGTTTTTATTCTTAAGATGAAAGGGAAGACCTTCGAAGTGTAGCGGATGTAGACATTGCAAAACTTGTTGCCAGTGTTGAGAAGAAAAATAAAAATCTTCGTGAAATTGACCTTTGTGCCAATAAATTCAAAAAAATCGATGAAGAAGGAATTTACAATCCAGGTTTGTATTTTAAGTTCTCAAGATATTTTTCTTAATATTGGTCGCATTAAAAACAATAATCTGCTGTACCTAGGTTTTGATTGCGACGAAAAAGGTTTGATGACTCCAGCGATAAGTACGATTCCTATCAGCAATGATGTTGGAATACTTATACAGAATGTGAACGCTAGCTGGACTGAAGATGGTCCTCTTACCTTGCGCAATATTAATATTACAGTACCTAAAGGAAAACTATGCGCTATAATTGGATCTGTAGGATCTGGAAAGGTGATATTTTTGCTTGGATTATTTTTACAAGACAATAACAATTTGCAGATAATAATGATATTTATTTTTTTAGAGTTCTATTTTACAACTTTTACTAAACGAATTGCGCTCCAGTGCTGGACGGATACATCTCTGTGGGCCCCTTTCATATGCTAGCCAAGAACCTTGGTTATTTGTGGCTACGGTCCGTCAAAACATTTTATTCGGTTTGCCATATAATCAGAAAAAATATAAGGAAGTAGTCAGAGTATGTGCACTGCAGAAGGACTTTCTCCAATTCCCCCACGGAGATCAAACTCTTGTCGGGGAAAGAGGTGCCTCTTTATCCGGAGGACAAAGAGCCCGTATAAATCTAGCAAGAGCTGTATACCGCCAGGTAAATAAAAAAAAGCCCTTATTTTAAAGCAATGTTTCGTTGGTTGCTTTAATATTTTTTTTATTTCAGGCGGATATTTATCTACTGGATGATCCATTGTCTGCAGTGGATGCACATGTTGGCCGACAACTCTTCGATGAATGCATAACTGGTTATTTAAAGCACACCACTAGAATTCTTGTTACTCATCAACTGCACTACCTTAAAGTCGCTGATTACATCGTTATCATGAATAACGTTGGTTATTTATATATTTGTCATATGCATTGATATTTCTTAATAAACTGCTTGTTGTTTTTTACTAATAAATTATTGACTTTTTAAGGGCATCATTGAGGCAAAGGGAACTTATGAGGAATTACTAACTTCGGGTAAAGACTTTGCTAAATTATTGTGCTCCGTTCAGGAGGATGATAACACCGAGGCAGAAAAGCCACTACCGATATCACGAAGGACTTCAGCAAGGGTGAGTAAAACTCATATTATTTTGGTTATACTTTAAAATTCATTCGATAATAATATATTTTGAGTAAAAGTATTATTGCATAATCTTATTTTATGATAACAATTCATTTCAGCTATCCACGACAAGAAGACCCTCGCTGGCAGAATCCACCACAGGCTGTGATATTCCTGCTCAAGAAATGGAAGAAGAAGAAAGAGAATCTGGCTCAATGGGATGGCATGTGTACGAAGCTTATTTGAAAGCTGGAGGTCGCACCGCCAGAATAGTTTTCATGATTTTACTTTTAGTAATAGGTCAACTTTCTGCTACTCTCTGTGATTATTGGGTCACATTCTGGTAAGATTTAACTCAAATATCAAATTTATTTTAAAAAATTGTATTGTTTTAAAATATATTTTAAATTTTAGGACGAATGAAGTTACTCTTCTTAAAGAAAGACAATCAAATACGACTAAGGATTATGAACAAGTTATAAAACCAATAAACTCGACATTCAGTCTAAATAGTTACTTCTCTGGAATAAAAGCTATACCAAGTAATTTTTTTTATTCATTACTATACCGTTATTATACAGACCAACCAATAATCTACAATGGTACATATTTCTGTTTCAGATTTAAATATTCACGCCTACATTGGACCGTTAGACACATCGCAATATCTATATGTTTATACAGCATTGATTTTTTGTTGTATCTTCTTTATCACGGCTCGAGCATTCATGTTCTTCAAGGTTTGCATGACAGCCTCCAGGAACCTTCACAACGACATGTTCCATACTATGCTACGTGGAGTTATGAGATTCTTCGATACGAATTCGTCAGGTACATTTTTAATTTCTATACGTGAGAAAAATTTATCCCATTTTTAACAATTGGCTCATCAGCAATATAATGTTATATATTAACATTAATATAAACTACTAAAAACCTAAAAAAATTATAAATAACTAAAGTTTTTCGTTACTATGTGTATAACATGTTATCAGTAAGGCCTTGACCTACATTTGATTTCAATTTCCTTATATTATACAAACAAATCTTAGTATTTCAATTACCTAAAAATTATGATTTTTAGGTAATTGAAATATTCAGCATTTGTTATTTGTAACGTTAGGTTACAAGGTATTACTTCTTTAGGTCGACAAAGGCAAACTCCTTATAATTTAGATACTTCATAGACATGAAATTCAATAATATGATTTTAAATTTAAAAATGAACATTTCAAAAAAGCAGTTCAGATTTGTTGTAAACTTGTAAATATGTTCATATTATAAATTTGAATTTATTACTATTACAGGTCGTATACTTAACCGGTTCTCAAAAGATATTGGTGCCTTAGATGAATTGCTGCCGCGTTTTCTTCTCGAATGCATACAAATCTACCTAGTGATGTTCAGTATTCTCACATTGAATGCTGCTGCACTCGTTTGGACTTTATTGCCTACGACTATCATCTTACTACTCTTCTACGTTATTCTTCAGATATACCTAAAATCAGCTCAATCTATTAAAAGATTAGAGGGAACAAGTAAGTTAATTTGTCACACATTGAGTTAGTTATTAAATAAATTAGTTCGTGACACATATTTTACGATGCCTTTTTTAGCGAGAAGTCCAGTCTTTTCACACATGTCGGCTACTCTCAATGGTATCAGCACTATTAGATCATCAGGAGCGCAACAACGTTTGATACAAGAATTCGATCATTTCCAAGTATGTGGTATTTTAATCAAAAAGTTCCTTTACATTCCACATTGTAACTATATTCGACGATGTAAAATTTATCGATTCTGTAAATGACATTTTGATAGCTAATAGGTATTTGTATGTTATTACCAGGACATTCACACATCTACTTGGAGCAGCTACCTTGCGAGCGGCGTGACTCTAGGATTCTGGCTCGACTTTATTTGTGTGATCTACCTAGCAATTGTTATTGTGGCTTTCCTTGTTATAGATAGCAGTAAGTATATTTTTTTGCTGTTATTATTAAATTTCCATTAATATAATTATACTAAAAGTTTATAGTAAGATTAAATATGAATATCTGGTAAATTAAAAGTTCTGTGTGTGTGTAACAGAAACCATTTTCTCCGGTAACGTGGGACTTGCGATATCACAAACTCTTATCTTAACCGGTATGCTGCAATTCGGTGTACGACAAACAGCTGAAGTTATCTCACAAATGACTAGCGTTGAGCGCATCCTGCAATACACTAATATTGAAAAGGAAAAGCAATGGGAGAAAGGAGGTGAATATTAGAATACCTGTTTTATCACAATATTATCTTTTCTAAATTCCCTAAAAAACATTTTCAATGATTCACTAATATTTCAAGTATTCTATATGATAATAATATTTAACCGGATAAGATAAACTAATTGGATTTAAAGCATCATACATAAAAGAAGCCTTTACAAATACAAATATATATTTCAGCTAAAGAAACCCCTAAAGGATGGCCTTGGAGGGGTCGCATTGAGTTCCGTAATTGCTATATGAAGTACACACCTGAAGATTTACCTGTATTGAAGAATCTAAATGTAGTTATAGAAAGTGGGTGGAAGGTAAGTTTATTTATAACGTTAACCCTTTTGAAGATAATTTATCATGTCATTTAGTTTCGAAATACCAAACACTATTTTTATTTTAAATGATGTGCTATCATTCCGACTATCCGTAAATTAAAAGCTAGAGACCATTGTGAGCGCTATTACAAATACATTGATCTAAAGAAAAATATTTTTTATTTCGTTATAGGTTGGAATAGTCGGTAGAACGGGTGCTGGAAAATCATCACTAATCTCTTCTCTATTTCGTCTATCCATATTAGAAGGTGAAGTCCTTATTGACGATGTAGATACCGCCTACCTTGCACTTCAGGTAAAGATTTAATGTCTATTTTAAACAATTGTTCCCATATGTGTTGATTTTCTATACAATCCTGTTATTAAATTTTATTACAGGAAGTAAGGTCTAAAATATCGATTATACCGCAAGAACCAGTACTGTTCTCCGCCACAATACGGTACAATTTAGATCCATTCAATTGTTATGATGACGAACAACTTTGGAAAGCGCTGGAAGCGGTAAGTCATATAATATTCACCATGCTCCATCGCGTGTATGAACCTTAATTCAACTATTGATTTTTTTCTGTAGGTCGATTTGAAGGCTGCGATACCTGCACTAGATTTCAAAGTTTCCGAAGGCGGTTCCAACTTTTCTCTTGGACAGAGACAACTCGTGTGCCTCGCTCGTGCTATCCTTCGCGGAAACCGAATCCTTGTGTTGGACGAGGCCACAGCAAACGTGGATCCAAAGTATGTTGGAAAAAGCATATTGATTATATTAATTATGCGATTGTGATTATTTACGAATACCTTTTTTTTACAGGACGGACGAATTTATCCAAAGAACAATAAGAAAGCGTTTTTCAGATTGCACAGTTTTGACAGTTGCACATCGACTCAACACTATTATGGACTCCGATCGCGTGATGGTAATGGACACCGGAAGATTGGTTGAATTTGATCATCCTTACAAATTGCTCTGTAACCCTGAAGGTCATTTCTCAAAAATGGTCAAAGAAACTAGTGATAAATTGTCAGCTCAGCTCCACGAAATAGCGAAAAGAACATATCTTGAAAACGGAAATGTAATAGAGTGATGTGAATGCGTTTATTATTTGATATTATTATAAATAGAAACGTAAGAATATCGCTTTGGAATAATGCAGTTATGTACCTAAATATAGAAATTTAAGGTTTCTGGTTTAAAGATATATTTCAACTAAGTTGGTTGTAATCCTAACGATGGTTATGACTCACTTTGACAAATACCAACTTAGATAATTTTTTATCGTCGACAAATATCACATTAAAACAATTTTTTGTGTTTTAATATAAAATTCATTTAATATAGATATTCATAAATTTATATTCATTAGTTTTTGACAAGCGAATAGTGCTTTAAAAATAAAATATGTAACTTATAAAAATAGATACTAATTTGAGAGCTGGCTCTAGTACAAAGAATCCTATCCTATAAACTATTGTACATAATGGCATCCTATTCCAACACAGACTGAATGTGGAGTGAACATGAATGAAATAATTAGTTTTTAAGAACAAAAACGTAAAGTATAATGTTATGTTATTTATTTTTATTAAAAAAACTACAATTTAATTCATTAATTAAGAATTATAAAATGTTATTTGTGATTTTCACAGAGGTTACCCTCGAACAAATTAAAATTGGGTTTTAATGTTGTTGTTTTATTTATAAACATATTTATGACTTGCATTCCTAGAATCTACAACTATGGTATGGCTATGTAATATTAATTGCAATTTTAGAGCGGTATAGTCTTAGGTATATACAGTGCCGTAACTAGGGCGGTGCCAGCAGTGCCCAGGTACAGGTCGCAGACCCTGGAGGGGCACTGAAATGACCAGACTAATATCTAGTTTTATCTCATGCATGGTAGCTGTATACTTATATACTTTGTTACTTTGGTAAACAACAAATATATAGATTTATTTATATGCACATTTGTCCATTTTAATTTTTAGAGCCTGGTTAGAGCACTTTTTAGGGGCGCAGTTTTGAAAGCTCGCACCGGGTGCATAAAAGCCTAGTTACAACACTGGATATATATAAATATTTATCCTATTAATGTAATATTATCTATCCCATGAGGACTTATATTTTATTATCTAAGATTTTCGCGTGTACACATTTATATGAAACTAAATTTTTGGGATGCTACACTCCTTTCATTATTCTGTTCCGGACGTTTCGTTTCATTTTCATATCGCATACCCCGCTGTCCGTTATCATGGTTGTTGTAAATGAATATTATGTAGAAATAAAAAAAGACGCGGACTTACATATTGATTGTAATTGTGTCCCCGACTGAAGTATTATGTCATTTAGAGATTGCTTACTAGATTATAGACATTTCTCTATAATTATATGTCTTGGTTTCGGGCATATTCTGTAATTCATATAAATTAGAAGGGAAATGAGAACAAGTTATTATATTATAAAATAAAATAAGACATTTAACATTTTTATTTTTTCATCTAAGATATCTTTTATTTTTAGCTTGATACTATAATCTCTAAATGTATTTAATTTAAAGTTAGTACTCTGATAAATTCACTCATCATATAATTTGGTTAATTAACTTGTTTTATGGAAAGTCATTTAATAATTTTATTTAATTTTTATTTATTACTAGATTTAAAAATGTTTATTTTAAACGAAAAGACATGTTTTTTATAGATGTTTTAAGAAATTCAATCTGGTTTTATGGACATATTTAAAAAATGTAAAAACACGCCGTTCATGCGACTTTAAAAATGGAATTAGGTAACATCCAATTGATGAGAGCTACTTGAAGTTAAAATATTTTGTTTGAGGAACATACATTTAAACTCATGTCACAAAACGTAAACTAAAAAAAGGATTTACTTAATGGTAATATGACTTTTTCTATCTATATCAAATATTGGTTATCTAAAATTCCGCTAGGTTACAAGGAACTGAAAGTCACAAAAACTACAATACTCAGTCAAAAAAACTATATTTAGCTGCAAATTTTATAGATAAACACAATATATTTTATTTATGTAAATCAAAAATTAGATCTACTTAGCTACGCAAATAAAATAGTTTCCAGTTTTACAAAAAACATGTTGACTTTACTTAAAATAAAAAACATAACACAGAGGCACATTTAAAAGTTCTTTACTTTTGTAAATATAAGCTTAATTTGTTTTTCTAACTTTTCACAAAAATAAAGTATGGTTCCAGCTTTTCACAATTACAACTTAAAATTTATTATTTATAACTAAAAACTTATTCATCAAACACCCTTAAAATCTATGAAGAAAACAATCTTTAAAACAACATACAGACACCTTAAAAACCCCTTTTTAAGAGTCGATTACATTATGGCCATATCTTTCATTACATAGTTCATAGGCTTCACAGATTAAAAATAGCAACTACTTGATTAAAATAGATTTTGGTATTTCCCAGAGCATAGACAACTTATGGATTACCAGAAATAAAATATCCATTATGGTCGCGATGACCTCTTAAACAAACATAATCCACACCGTACTAGCAACTACTAACTACAATAAGATTAATGTAACTTTATTTGAAGACGGAAATTTTAAAAATAAATGTGGTTCAGATATTCATTGCATTTAATGTTCATGAAATTATTTAAGTAAATTTATTACTATAATTTGTTCCTTATACCTGAACAGTCATAAAAAAAACCGATGGTATAAATTATCAGATCGGGGAGTTAGATTGTAACAAATATCTAAGACACATTGCAATTCCTGGTATAAAATGCACACCATCAAGACAAATCTTAGGAATAAGTATCTAAATTATATCAAATGATAAACAAGAGTTGTTTATTGAATATCTGGGAGATCTTCATCCTCGATGGAGCTGGAATCATCATTTTCATATTCGTCACCAAAATCTCCCATTTTATTTGAGAACATGTCATCGTTATTATCAAATTCATCAGCGCTTTCATCTTCATCTTGCCATCTGTTAAAATCCACTCTAAGCCAATGGTGCTTCTTCCTATCACTGGTTAATGAAGGCCAAAATGGTTCATCTTGTTTCTCTTTAGTTAAGACAACCTCAATTAGCCTGCCCTTGTTAATGTAACTACTTTTCTCCGGATCTATCTCTGAATACAAGGGTATTTCGACTTCATTCAATTTGTTATCAGGAGCACATATTCCTTTAAAGGTTACCAATTTCTTTTCAAATTTAATATCTGGTTTTTCACATTCCACATTAAACGTTAGAAACACACGAGCACTCCGCTGTGCCCATGAAACCGATGGCGGAATAGAAACTGCTTCTGCAGCCATGTTAATTTTATAAATATTTGTTTTCTTCTTTTTATGATATTTGATGTTATATCAAACCAATTGAGTTTTAATAAGGCAATAGTTTATAAGATTATTAATTGGTTAATTCCCGAATTACATGCAAACACGCATGACTAGAAACTGTTAATTGACAGTGACAGTGACAGTAAAATACTAAAAAGCCGGTGTTAATGTAATATCTGTAATATTTCTGCATTATTTGAAGTAAAAATTCAAAATTATTACTTTATTTTATAATGTATAATAGCATAATTTCAATATTTTTAATTTCAACTAATTATTTTGATATATTGTAGGCTAAAACACAAGGAAGTATAAAATTTGCTCGCCAAGATAAATAGCAAGAGGTCTTTATTCTCTAACTTCCATCAATAAAATTTAGAATACAAATTATTCATTGCATCTAATTCATCATTTTAACTGTTTGTATTTAATAGAATGAAAAAGTGTACACTTTAAATATTTAATGATTTTTTTTATTCGCAAGATGTTGTTTTATCGTTTATAAAATCATTAAAAAATAGGAAACAAATCACACTTCACGTTTGATCGTATGTGTTATAGTTTAACTTTAGTGCCAATACTGGTAGCTTTTTAATCTTTTCTAATGACACAAAAAAATAAAATTCGAGACATACTCTATCAGAATTATCAATGACACTAATTGTACAACAAAACCCGGCAATATCTTTCGGAATGTTACTTTTAAAACCCTACCATTATTCAAAACAATAAGATGAAATTAAATCAAACGAAAACTTTTAACATTAAATAGAAAGAAGAAAGAGCACTATGACTGAAATGAGCAAAGATTCATCTTCTAAGTTGTTTAAAAGTAAACCTACCGTAAAAAGAGAGAAAAAGAGCCAATCGTCTATGAAAAATGAGTCCAACTTCAAAGTAAATTTCTGTGACCCTAAAGTACAAGGGCTTTTATTGGCCCTTTTGCTAATAATATTAACACTTGCCCTATGGTTTGGTGTTACAAATGGGTGTTTGGGAGGAAGACGACGCCGTAGAAGACGTTCCTGTTGCTAAAACTACCTCAGTCAATTACAGATTCAGGCAGTCAGACCATTGGTAACTAAACTATTTATTTTCTCAAAGTAAACTACACCGCATAATATTTTGCATACCTTTTCAATGTCTATTAATTTCAAATAAATAGTCTATGAATCTGTTTTTTATTTTAATGTTAGTAGACACGGAGTTCTGAGGTTCGATTCCCGGCTAAGAAAACTTTATAACACATTATATTTATGTAGCCAGTGAAAAAATAGCATTGAAGTAGCATATAGATAGATGTTTAAGCTCTAATCCCTGTAAATATTAAAATCGGTAGGCAGAATAACCGTAGACTTAATTCATATTGAACTATCGATCTATACCTAACATTCTTAACTCCTTACCAAGAACAAATCAAATCATAACCAATTTTTTATACTTTGAGTGACTTTTTTATTTAAAACCAGATGCCGTAGCAGTCATCAAACATAAATGCCGCTTCAAGTAATAACAAATACGGGAAAAATTCAAATGACGTAAACAAGTAAATTTTACCAAAATTTTTATTACATTGTTATGTGTATTACTAAAATTCGTTTACATTAAGTAACATTATTTAATAAAAATAATCATATAGTAATATTATTTATTTAATATAATGGTTCTTGGTATTGATTTTGAACGCAATATACAAGCGTTCTTCTTATAAATCCTCCCAATTTTCTTGTTCGTTTTCTGAAGCGACATTATCTTCCTCGCCCTGTTGTAACTGATCTTCTTTTTCACCTTGAACAGAATATTATGTTTAAATTACTACACAATTGTAATTGGCTGCTAGTTACTACAGTTATTTTATCATAAAGTTTAATCCTTCTAGACGTAATTTCCTGAAATTACTAAGTATACATTTTCAAAATGTTTCAATAATTTAGATTTATTAGATAATACTGTGAATATCACCTGTGAACAAGAATTTGTGTATTGTGTTGCTTTAAATATGAGGGTCTAAGTTAAAAAATTAATCTTGAATGTTTGGTAGCAAAAATTTTTAATTATTGTTCGAGGCGAGACGAGCGCCGATTTTACCATGTGAACATGGGCAAAGTAATGAGTGGTTTTTCCTTCACAATTCTTGCAAACAGAAATTTCACATCATGACTAAATATCGAAATTGGTATTTTTGATATAAAACTAAGCTCTTACTTTCATTTTTTTAGGTAAACTTTAGTAAATCTCAAATTCTTTATTCCATCTATCGCATGTCACGTTACAGCCAGTCGTGGAATAAGGTCAAAGACTCAGCAGAGCAGACAAGTACAACATTGAGGTCGCCAAGCAGCAATTTAGGTACTGTGTATTCAGTACTTTATTAAGCCGATTGTAATAAAAATGACTATTGGAATTTGTTGTCTTCTATTACCATCATCACTTAAAAATTCCATTTAATGAGTACAATAAAGCAAAATTACCTTATATCATGGTTTCATAAAACTATTATATAAAACTTACACATTTTTGATTACATAATTTTAAAAAAAGTTATTTATATTTCTTTGAATTTATCTTCACTTTTTTAATTTTGAATGATAACTGGAATATTCTTTCTATGTTTAACTGTTCATATTTTTTAAGCTGTATCAATTTGTTAATTCTTCATTACATATATAAAGATTTAAATATTCATATGTATATTTTATGGGCACACAGGTTCATAAAGAAGTTAGATAATGTAACTTTTTAATTGATACTATGATTAATTACCTTGCACATCACTACTGGTATCCTTGACAGCTTTGGGAGGGAAAAGCAAAATGAACATTTATATATATCCCTGTTTTACAGTTTACTTACTGCTATATTTATGGCACTACTTACTTTCATTACTTTCATTGCTTTCACCTTTCATCATTTTGAGTATATGTTGCTTTTCTTTCACCAAATGCCGTTTACCGTTCAAATGCATTACCATCTGCTCACTACATGTCACTGACGTCTGAAATTTTAATATAATGGTTAAGTATTTAATTTTAATAATAGAACATTTAATTATACAGGCCAATGAATACTCTTCAAAAACTAATTGTGATGATCATATGTTTTGTAAAATAATTCTCTAACAGACACACAATCTTTACTAATATTATAAATGCGAAAGTAACTCTGTCCTTCTGTCTGTCTGTTACGCTTTCACGCCTAAACCACTGAACTGAATTTAATGAAATTTGGTACAGAGATAGAGTCGACCTTGAGAAAGAACATAAGATAGTTTTTATCCCAGACTTTTGAAAGTTCTCTTGAAAACGAGATATAACCGAACTCCAAGCGGGCGAAGCTGCGGACGGAAAGCTAGTGTAGAAATATAACTTAGAATATTAATAAATTATAGATTTCATCGTAAAATTATACATGCAAGATTAAAATTTGTCTATTATTCATGCAAGATTAAAATTTATCTATATGTTAATAAATGTGACTGACATATTTGAGATCAACATGCAACTTAACAATTATAATGATTGTTCCCACCTCACAAATCTCACAGTATAGTTCTGGCTGAACAATTTTCACTTCTTTCTTTTTTGGTTCCTGATCTCCTGATACGTTGAGGAATTTCTTTTCGCGACGTATTAATAAATCCCTGCAATTGTAATAAGTATGGATAAAATCATTATGATATAAACTAATAACTTTAAAATCTAGAAAATTTTGTCTTCACTGCTTAATTACTTATTAAAAAATATTGTTTTTAATTTAACGAAATACAAAATTAGTCTATTAATTTATTACTTTCAACTTTATATGACCATAAAAAAAAATATTCTTGTAAATCATTTAAGTACATAGTACCTACATAATTATTCATACTTACAATCTCTCTTCCATTCCTCTTTGTAGTAAAAATGGATTCTTCGGGACCTTGCGGCCTTCAACAATTCTGAATATTTTAAATAAAATTAATGAAATTTTGTTTATAATTATATAAAAATAATAAAAAAAAATAACTAACGCTCTATGTGGCTTTCCAGAGTAATGTGATTCAGAATGTATTTTAGATGTTATGTGGACATCACATAATTCACAGTATAATTCCCGCGCCTTCAGCGGCTGCTGCAATTTATTTCAATAATATTAATTTAACAGTAATAAACTACGTAATAAATGTAAGTCTGTGCATAAAATACATAGAAATTAAAAATCTGCAGTTTTGATAACAACTGATATATGAAAACAAAATAATTAACGAAATAACTTTTAAAACAGAGGGACAATTAAACTTCAAGTCTTCAACAACATGAAGCCTGGCAATTTGTTACAATGCAAGTTTCAATCCTGAAGACAGTGTTCGCATAAATATCATTTGTATTAATCTGTATTCAAAAAATATTGAATACAGCTATACAAATGACGCTATGAATCAAAATTCATATTTATGTGAATCTATGGGTCGTCAGAATCGCTATGGAAACATCACATTGACAAATTGTCCGTTTACCTCTTTAATGCGATGTGATCCTAAATCCGTTCTTGATGTTAACCATTTTTTTTGCTTCTTCTGATGATTTTTGCTTATATAGTGCAAACGTGCTGCAATCAGACTTTATCATAACATATGACTTGACCGATATATTTCATGATTTATGTAAAAAAAATTAATTATCAGTCAAGTTGTGTTCCATGTTTGTACAGTAGTAGGATTTGTGAGATGTAAATCTTAAATATTATAAATAGCGTCATGATATTGTATACATTATCAACAGGCAGACTCACCCACACTTATTGTGTCTAAATTCTGTGAACACAGACCACAGTTATCACTTTGATAAAGCTTAAGTAAACTTCGAGGCAATGTGCGAATAGTCTCCTTGGTCAGGCCGCAACCTGTATGAATTGAAATACTAAATAAAGAATTTTGAAATAAGTATTTAATGTCTTTAACTTATAAATCTTTAAAATATCTACTGATGTTATCTTTTGTTAAAAGTATGGCTATAATTGTTAGCTTTCTCATCAGTCAGTGCATAAACAAGACTGAATTCCCCGAGCCTGTGTGTATGTACTTACGTAATAATATTTTCATCATTTTGTCATCAATGGGGTTCTTTTTCACATATGGAAAGTCAGGGCGAAACCTGGGTTGGAATGAATGTTGTTCATCCATCAATGGTGGCGGTGGCTGTGATGGTATCGGAGGACCTGGGAACCTCGGCGGGCCGAAAAGTGGAGGCCGCATAGGGAAATTTGGATTAAATTGACCCAGTGGTCCATAGCCGCCACTATAATTCCCAAATGCATTGTTGAACTGTGGATACCTATAAGATAGAAATTAAAAATATATAAATACATCTAAGTATGAACAAATTATAAACATGTAATACTGTTTTCTGCTTCAGACGCATGTTTGTATATATTTTACCAAAAATAATATATCAAGTTAAATGTCTCTATCCAGTTAGTAAATAAAAATAAAATATAGATGAACATCATAAACAATGATTGCTCATACTTCTAGAGCCTACACAATATTAAATAATAATTTTAGGTATTTAACACAATCTTTTTCAGTGAAATAAAAATATAAGAAAAGTTCTACATAATATAAAATAGGATCTACTTTAATAGTCACCTAAAATTGTTGGGCTGTAAATTATTATCAGGTCCTGGGTCTTGACAATTGGGACCTTGAATATTAGGACCTGGAATATTAGGATCTGGAATATTAGGACCTGGAATATTAGGACCTGGAATATTAGGACCTGGAATGTTAGGGCCTTGAATATTCGGGCCTTGGATATTACGACCTGGAATATTAGGACCTTGAATATTAGGACCTGGAATATTAGGGCCTTGAATATTCGGGCCTTGAATATTAGGGCCTTGAAAGCTGGGACCTTGAATGTTTGCACCTTGGAAGTTCGGACCTTGAAAATTGGGGCCTTGAAAATTAGGATATTGAAAATTTTCAAGCCCTTGGAATCTTCCCCAATCAACCGTCATATTCTGCATGAAAAGAGGCTGCTGAGATTGCTCATTATTTTCAGCCATTACTCTTTCTGAAAGTAATATTTATTATATATTTTAATGAATATATTTCATTTTTATATATCTTATATAGTATGGATCCTCTTAGAGATTGTAATTTTTACATTCAAAATACCCAATATATTAATTTTTTTATGTTTAATGTTGCTTCATTTCATTCCTATGAAATTAAGAAAAAAACAATATTATTTCATAAGAAACTGTTTGTAATTTATAAGTTACCTAAAACATTATTTGACATTAAATTGCAATATATATTTATATAAAATAATAACAACTCTACTTATATCTTCTATTCCTCTCCATCAGTCGTTGTATATTGGTATTTGAAAAGATTTGTGTATTATTTGTGTTATATTCATTAAAATTGATAGTCATACCTTGTTAATAAAAGCAAATCACCTTTTAGTAGAATATAAAACAATTTTCTATTCCAGTTTCTGTGATTATTCTTTCATTCCTTAAACGATATACACACAGTTGAGGTTATATTTGTATATAGACAATAGTGTCAATGTCAAAACTAAAATATCACAGAACATAAGTAACTACATATTTAAAATATTAAAACGTTTAAATAGGACTATAATACTTTTAATAATATGTTTTAAAAGACAAGATTTTCTGTTTATTTATAATTAAATGAGTTTTCGTTAATAGTAGTGACAGATGTAGTATACAAAATACAAATGGACCATGATGTATAAAACGTCAATTGTGATAACTATTTCACTTTCCATTATTCCTGTTCCATAAAATATTTCACGCTTTAACTTTAAAATAATTTAAATAATAATTATAATACTTCAATATTGTATACCTATAGTATATAAGTAGTATCTCGTTCCTGTGATATACTTAATTTATGTACAATCTTTATCAGTTGTAAATATAACCTCTTGTTAGAAACTGTCGTTTCTGTTAAACATGAGCTGTGCAAAAGGTAATACTCAAAGAACCAGACCACAAAAGCACCAAAACAGAACAGCATTTAAAAATGATCTCCACGATACAAGTAAGAAAACAAAATTTTTGAAAAGTCTGGAGATAAATGGAGTATGCGAGCGATGTAAAGAAATAATAGAATGGAAAATAAAATATAAAAAGTATAAACCACTCACGGCACCCAAAAAATGTGTAGGATGTGAGCAAAAAACAATAAAACATGCATATCACGTGCTTTGCTCAAAATGTGCCACAGAAAAGAGAGTCTGTGCCAAATGTTGCAAGCCAACAGAGGTATATACTGCCATTATTTATCTAGATTCCAGAAATAAATATATCTTTTAGCATTTTTAACACTCACCATATTTATTATTTAAATGCTAAAATAAATGACGAATTGCAGATTACAAATAATAGTACCGCAGAAAAGGAAGAGGAGAGCAAACTTCAAACAGCTCTTAAAAGTCTCCCAGAACGCAAAAGACGTACATTATTAAGGTTCGTAACCAATGATATTTAGTAATAAATTTTTATCAAAATTATGGAAATTACTTATTATTTAATTTCAGGTATCTTAAAAAACAACAAGATGGACAAGAAACTTCTAACCAAAATATTGAAGAATTATTAGCTGGCTTAGATGAAATAAATTTGGATGATTTCAACGATTTTTCAAACCAGGATGATAGTGAATCTGACTCAGACTTCGAATCATAACTTATCTCTATAAAAATAACTATTGTAAATAAAACAGTTTTCAATAATTATTTAATTTTTATTAACAATTCAATGCCACTCTTGAAAACAATTTATATTGAATTTTAATATATTAATTGCATTACATATTAACATCTAAAAGTATTAAGAATATAAAATCTGTGCTTAATTGAATAAATTATCAAAAAATGGCAATGTTATTACAAATATGCTTCAGCTATCCTAATTTATGTTAAGTCTCTTATATACATTATTATAAAAATTCAAATTAAAAACATAAATAAATAACAGAATAATAATTCTTATAACTTCTACATAAATGATGATGATCAAATAATGCCAAGTTGCCGCAACTGAAACAAAAAAAAAACACATTAAGTTCTATATTTAAATGATTAAGACATCTTAATTATTTAATAACATACAAAGCCTTGTCTTTCTTTTTCTTTTTGTAAAACTGCTTCTGTCTGTCGGTCATCAAATTTTACTACAGCGGCCAACACTTTGGCGAGTGTTATGGAATGTGTCCCAGATCCTGTGAGATACTCATATAGAATGTTTTTAAGATATTCTAGTTCTGTATTCTCTTGCAGAGAATGCAAATGCCTTAAACTAACTAAAGCCTCATCTAATCTTCTTTCCAGTTTGTCATTGGACAATCTTAATTTTTCATTATTTGCTTGTACTTGTTGCATGTTCCCGCTGACTGATTGATTTATTAATTTTAAGTCTGTTACTTCTTTTTCCAATGTTCTCTTGGTGTCCAATAAGTCATTTATCTTTTCCATTACATTATCACTGCTAATATATTTATTACTATCATTCATTACGGAAGTTTTATCGGTTGTTTGTGTATTTATTTGATCTTTAAGTTCTAAATTTTCTTCTGCGAGTAAAGTATTCTCTCTAATAAGATTCTCTATTTTTTCTTGTCCGGCTTTAACTTCGTCCATCAAGCATTGCAATTCATATGAGGATTTCTCACTTTTATCGCTTACATTGTCGCTGCTAGCGATCAACTCACGCAATCTGTCGTTTAAATTGCTATTCTCCTTTGAAACCTTAGTCAAATGTGTTTGTAGACCTTCTATGTCAGACTGTAAACGCCTTTTTTCTTCTCTTAATACATCGTAATTGTTCATCACATCATTCAGCTTACTCAAAATATCATCAGTGTTACTGATTGTTATCTTTTGTTGTTCATTTTCATGAGTTAATATCTCATTAGCTTCTTTTAAATCTTTGATTTCTTGTTCAAGTAATTCTTTATCATTGCAATGATCAGTTTGTGTATCATGATTTAGTACATCTGCCTTCTTTTCTAGTTTCTCTATGATAGAATTTAAATGGTCTTTTTCCATTTCAATTTCGGTATGGGATTTACGTACATCTTTCAATTCAGACTCAATTCCTTCTAAAGCACTGGCAATTGTTTCAGACATTTTTTTCAATGACGCATTTTCTTGAATAAGTTCATCGATGCGTTTCTGTAATGTAATTGTAGTATTACATTTCTCTTCGTAATTTAATTTTATATCACGTAAAACACCAATTTCTTTATTCAAATCATCTAATTTTTCAACTGAATTTTTATATAGATTATTAATTTTATCAACTTGGTCTTTTAAAGACTCATTTTCTTTTATATGATGAGAGAGTTTTTTGTTCGCTTCTTCTTTATCTTCTTTGGCTTGATCTCGTTCTTTGATTGTCGCTGCAGTTTCCTCTCTACATTTCATTAAGGTATCATTAAAATTCTCAGATTCTTTTATCAATACACTCAACTTATTAAGAGCTGTTTGATTTTCATTTTTTAAAATGTCTATATTTTGTACATGTAAATTTAAATCTGATTCAGCTTGATTTAATTTTACTTTAAGGTTGTCATTTTCAGACACCCTTTGTTTTAATTCATCGCTAACGGATTTAAATTGATCTGAAATAGTCTTTATCTCAAGAAGTAAAGATTGATTGGTTTCTTTCAAATCATCGGAGATTTTTGTACTGGTATCATTCTTTAAACCCTCATCTAACAACATCATTTTATCTTTTAACATATGGAAATGTTTGTTTATAAAATTCTTCAACATGTTTGATTCATCTATGCTCATATTTATAAGTTTACGTAATTGAGATACTTTCTTTTCCAAATCTTTACAATTTTCTTTCAATTGCTCAAGTTGGACAACCTTTTGGTTCAATACCACATTTTCTGAAACCAATTCCTCTATTTTGTTCTTTAATTCGATGTTATGATTTTGAACTAATTCATAATTAGTCAAAAGCTTTTCTATTTCAGATTGCAGTTTTATTAACTCAATTCTTTCTTCTTGAATCTCAGATTCCAAGCTGCTACACTTTTGTTTCCATTTATCAACATCTTCAATATATTTCTTGGCTTCACAAGACTCCTCTGATGCTCGAGAATTTAACGTTTCCAGATTTCTCTCGAGCGTTTGTATTTCCTCTTCCAATTCTTTTATTTTAGTACTTTTTTTCGTATTTTCTTCAATTAATAACTTATTTCTATTTTCTAAGTAGGAATTCCTATCAATCATTGCTAATTTTTCAGCCGTTTCTTGTTTCAATTGCAGTTGCAGACATTTGTATTCTTCCTCAGATTTACTATTTACATTTTCAAGAGCTTGACATTTTTGTGCAAGATTTTCTAAATCTAATTTGAATCCCTCTACTTTTGCCTTATCAACGTTTAAATTATTAATTTCATCTTTTAACTTTAACCGTTCTTCTTCTAACTGTTTAATATTATTTTTAAACTCGTTGTTCAAAATATTGAGTGATTGAATTTCTTTTTGGCTGGTCTCCAAACTGTCCTTTAAGGACTTTATTTCCTTCTCTTTGTCTTCTAATTCCTTGTGAATGCTTAATTTGTTTTCTGCCAATGATATAGCATATTCTTCTTCTCGCTTACTTAGTATTTGAACATTTTCTTGTAATTTTTGAATTTCTTCTTGCGCATTTTTATAATTCAATTCAAGAATCGATATTTCTTTTTTCTTTGAAAATTCGTATGTGTTATTTTTATTTTCTAGGTCTTCAATTTTTTCATTTAATTCTTGTATTTTCTTCCTAGCTTCAGTTAGTGATATGGTTGCAGCTTTTAATTGATCATTTTCCTTCACTTTAGACTCTAGTTCAGTTGAAATTATTTGTAATTCTGTTGTCAACTGAGCATTCTTTTCCTTCGTAGTTTTCAATGAATCTTTATATTTACTTATCAATTGTTCCATTTTTTCAATTTTGTTGTTTAATACCGTGACTTCAGGTGCTACAGGTTCGTCACTAGATTTGTTATCATTGCTATCAGTGGATAAATTTATCAACAAAGCTTCATTATCACCTTTCTCTTTCACTTTTTCTGCATTACTTTCTATAACTTGTTCTTCATTAGGATTATTATTGCTTTTTAGATAATTGAGTTGTGTATTTAGAGTATCTATTTTCATATTTTTCTCTTCAATCTCTATTCGGAGGGCCTTTTCAAGGTGAGCCTAAAAAAATATAAATGGTTAAAGAAATTTTTTTAAATAATTTGTAGGAATTAAAAATACAATGTACACTAACCTTAGCACTTTGTTCTAAAGAACATTGTTCTCTTAGTTCTGATATTCGTCGCAAAGCTTTATCCTGTGTCTCTACTAAGACATTCTAAAAATAAAATAACAACACAACACTATTTATAATACAAAAAAATTCTTGCATAATAGCACATGCAATCATAACTAAAAACGTGAATAACGAGCTTATCTATTCTACTCTATCTAACATAAAGCTGTTATATATTAGGAATATTAACCCTTGCTTTGGCGTTTTCTCTTTCCAGTAGTTTATAATGTCTTGCAAGATCTGAATACTGTGTTTTGTATTTAGTACATCGATCTTGTGTCCTCCGGTAAGCGGAATACAACTGCTCCTTCGTTACCCTATCGAGGTTGACAGTTTCACTAGGAAATCCTTTATCTTCAGCCTCACTTGCTGACACTTCCATATCCGACTGTAAACAATTACTAAGACTGAATAAAACATCATTAACATATTAAATCTTAACATTTTTATGTTCTACCTGCAAGTGATACATAGATGGACTCTCATAACTAGGTAATCTGAAGGAGATGTCGCTTGCAAATGAACTGTTTGATAACCGCCTCTGTCTTGAACTATCCATATTAACCTGAAACAAATTTAGCACAATTAGTAATCAATAGAACATTGACATCAAATTTGGTTTGATATTAAACTGTAATAAAAGTGAAATTACAAATATTAAGGTATTATAGGTAAAGTTGATGTATCGATATAACTGTTACAAAGGAAACAAAAAGAAATTGGTAAATAGAAGTAAAGTTAGTACAATATTTAGAAAATAAATTACCTAGAGCATTGAATAAGTTTACACCAAATTTATAGAGAACAACTTCATAGTAGAAATGTAACAATAATAATATATGCAGTGCTTTACCTCATGATTGGGTGAGTAATCTAAAAGAATATTAGGCTGTGGTGCTCCTGTGTGACTTAGAGGTACTTCATGAAATGGTCCTTGCTGACTGTTACTTGGAATACGATTTTTATTTGTGGCATCTAAAATGTGTAAATAAGATTCTGTACATGGTCTCAGGGAAAACTAAGTGATAATATATACGTAAATTTACCATTATCTCCAATAGAGAACAAATCATTATTTGTAATATCAGATATACTGCTTGAGGCAGAAGTCACTGCTGCCTGTAGTGAACAACAGCCAATTATTAGAATAAAGGTATTAAATTCAACGTAAGTGAACAAAACATCAACATATTAAATCAAATCTAAAAATTATATTTTAACCTGAGCAGCTTGTGCAAACTGTTGTATTCTTTGAGGCGATGATTTGACTTCTTCAGCCAATTTATCTTTAAATTTCTTAAACATTTTACTTCAAGATCGCAGAAACAACAAATTTAAGGAAAAACTAATTTAGGCTGCATTAATGTTAATGTAAATTAGTAACATTTAACGATAACAACGTATTACAACTTAATATACTTCCAAACTCAGTTTTATATATAAGTAAATATACAAATATCACCCCAAAATTATCACTTTAACTTAAAAACTGCAAAATTGTTAGATTAGTACGTCATATGACATTTCATTGATCATTCTTTAACTTCAATCAGTAATCAGGGCAGCCAGTAAAGTCAGATAGTTGCCATGAAAAATATGTTGTATAAAATTATACATATATTTTATGACAAAATTGGATTGCTGACAAAATAATACGATAAAAGGTTGATTTGATGGCATTGAAAACATGAAAAAAAAATGTGATCATTAGTTCTTATAATAATTTTTTTTTTCTTACTTATCACTTTTCTTAATTTTTACCTAACTTAGAATTTAATAATTTTTCGGCTATGGATAACATTATTTTATAACAACATTTGAAAAGGGTAAATAGCTGATAACGTAAGAATTAATATGGTCCATATAATTATAACGAAACGTTAAGTTATTCTGTTTATTATATTTATGTACATTTTGCTTAGTTTTGAATAAAATATTGGACAAAGTTTTTGTCATGCATCTCAGTTTTCATATTATATATAATTGTATTACACTTTATACTAAAATAAACACATTGAAAGAAAAATCGTACAATTTTTACCTAAAAATCCATCATAACTCTATACATATTAATAATTCAAGCACCTAATAACAAATATTTTAAAATAGTTTCTCTCATTCAGATAAACGAAAATTTTTAAATTCTGTGAACAAGTCTAAAATAACATGTAATACTAAAAATCTACCGAAGCACTTCAAAAACAGAATTTGTTTTAAATAAAAAAATAAAAAATTACTTACATTTGTTTTCGTTCTTTCTGATAGAAAATCGAATCGAATCGAATTAAAGTGTTTATTCCTCATGTATGTTTTTTTAGCTACAATCACAACCACTTAAAATACTTAGTTTATTTACAGTTTGGACCTTTAAAAAATTTAAGACAACTTTCTAAGTATAAAAGTAGTCCAAGATTTTTAAGTTATGTTTTTATAATCTTTTTTAATTTTTTTATATATATTTTTGAATTATGCTAAAGCTTTATTTTCATTAAAATTGTTTGTCTTGTTTGTTTTTCTATGCTAAGCTTATTTTTCTTTCTATACTATTGTGATAACCTCAACAATATTTTCAGTTTTGACAACTTCAAACAATTCAGATTCTTGAATTTGACGTTTTGATAAAATCAAAAACTGTAAATTTCTTGTTTCTAAGGAAATACCTGAAAAAGAATGAAACTGTGAATGATTATAATTATTAAATAAGTATAATTTGAATCGTTTCTGCCAAGGAATTAGAAAAATTAAGGTAATAACTTTTAAGATCTAAGCATAATGAAGGTATCAAACCTAAGATTGATGCAAATAGCTGGTTGGGGTGGCGTTATAGTTGCTTCAACTGGATTTTTCTTACAAAATAGACTCATTGAGAACATAAGAAATACAGAGCATTATAAAGATGCTTTGAAGACTTTAAGATTAAATGTTGGGGCTGTTCACTATCTTGGAGAACCCATAAAGGATAAGAGGATTAAATTAACTGACAGTGAAAATAATAACGCCGATGAGACTAGCGCTAGATTTTGTGTGCCTGTGACTGGTCCTAAAGACAAAGGTTGTTATTATTTTTGGGCAGAGAAAAAAAATGATAAGTGGTCTGTGGTTAAAGCGGAATTGGAACTGAAATCAAAACCAGATCAAAGATTAGTAATTGTTAAAGAAAAGTAGTGATTTTCATGTTTAGTCATTGTTAGCTAGTTATGTTTACAAATTTTGAATATATTATATTATAATCATCAATTGTTTTTTTTTCAGTTCATTTGATAGGATAATAAATTGACCCAAATCAAAGTATAATTAAACCGATAGATATTTTGTTATATAAACATCCACATATATCAATATTACATCAGGATGTTTGTTGGAACATCAAGAGAAAAATTCTTTTATCACAATACCCTATTATGCCTTGTTAAATCTTTACAAAACCGTAATATCACAGTTGATCTGAGAGATGATTCATATGTTTGTGGTCATCTTGATTCAGTGGATGGGTAAGTTCATAGAATATCATAATTTACTACTGGAATGAAGTACAAACAGTTACATAGCTAAGTTACATAAAATGATCTAATAATGAACTGCTCACTTTATGGTAAGTTTATCTTACTGTAATGAAAATAAAAAACAGTGTACTTGTAGTTAAATTTAATAATGAAACATTCCTACAATATATTTCCATGAAGAAAGTTTTAAATTTACCTGAAACATTATATTTCATGACATTTTTTTTGATACCTTTAATATTGGCACAAAAGCACTTAATTAGACTTTACATCATTTCACTACTCGTATACATTCATTGAATTTCATTAAGGGAATGAGAAAATTGTAGCAAACATGATAAATAGGTATTATAATTAATAGTTATATGTCTATAGAGCTCCTATTGAGTTTACTAAGTTACAATAAACATTATGTATAGGTACAACCAGATTGTCTAAAACAGTAAAACATTTATTTTGAGAAAGTTGTTTAGACATTATATTAATATATTATGTAAGTTCCTTTAATATATTTATGTAAATGATCCTACTGAATTTGATTACAGCTATATGAACCTTTCACTTAGCAAAGCTGTCTATTGTGACCCACAACAGAATGAATTCCTATTTGAGAACTTGTTTGTTCAATGTAGAAATATAAGATATGTTCATATACCAGAAGAAGTAAGTACATATGACACAATATTTTATAACAACTTTGTTTAAGACCATATTATCTACAATATTATTTATATATTGTAGATGTAGATCTGTTTCTTGGCTATTATAGATACCATTATTTTCTTTGTTAGATATCTATCATAGACAATATTAAAAATGAAGTCCACAAGGGAAATATGAAACATACCAACCCAAAACCGAAAAAATCAAGGAAAGCTACAAAGGCTCTCCAACAACATATGAAAACGGTAGCAATGTTAGAGTAATGACTAATGTAACCAAAACATTTCTCACATCAAAAGAATGTACACTAATTTATAATATTTACAAATTATATAATAAAATAATAAAGTTGAACAATGATTTTCATTTACTTACTAAAACACATATCACATTTAAATTAATTTTTCTTTTCTGATGAGATCTTATCTGTTTGTGGGTTACTGTGTACCTCACTAACTCTGTTAGACTCGGTACTCTCCTTATTATAATTATCTGAATAACTATCCCTTTTAAAAGTTTGTGCATTATCATTATGAGTTATAACTCCATTTTCTGTGAAGTAAAACTTTGGTTTGCTGGTACTATACACATCTATCACATTATTAACATCTTGGCCAAAACTTTCATTTTTATTTGGTGTCTGATTCAAAAAAGTTAATGGCTCATTTGAAAATTTATTCAAATTTAACGTCAGAGCCTTGAAATCATAATTGTTTTGTTTGACAGGTATATCATTGATATTTTTATTTATTTCATTTACAATGTACTTATTATCGACTGAATGTCGTTGATTTTCTGCATGCTTATCCTCCTGTACAATAACAACTTGTTTGAACTGTTGCTGTTTATCAACATTTGATTTTATGTTATTCACTGTGGGCTTAAGGAATACAGCATCTTCTTTGAATTGATTTGTTGTTTGATTAGTGGGAGTCGGCACATCATTATTCTGACTGCACAGGTAGTTAGACTGATTTATATTTGCAATTATAGATGTTGGACTGGGTGATGACTGCAACACATTCGGTCTTTGCAACATTTGCGGAATTAGTGCACCTGCAAATGTATTTGTAAAATAAATAACACAAAATATATATGTACCGAGAATAAATTATTACTTTACGTTTACATTTACTACATAAGAAATAAAAAATATGAAACAATACATATAGTTTTGTTCTTCTCTAGAATTTTGTTTTAATTAAAGTATTTAGTGTAGTAAATGCTAATATATCTTCTTTGACTCTGAGAAATCTAAAGGAAATTGTTAAGTTTTATAGCCATAATAAAATCCATTTGAACAAACCTTGAGGTTTAAACTTGGCTAGTTGTGCGTACACCTGTTTGATGCGCTCAAGGTTAATCTCCGACGCCTTAGTGTGGTCAACAATAGGCATTGGGTAATCCTTTCCTATTATGCAACGAATAGATTTTTGAATTTCCTCCGGACATACCCATGGCTCATGGATGTATCGCGTTGGCATGTTTTTAAGGACTGGGATGTACTTCCTGTCATAAAAATGTGGAATTTTAATATATGAGTTACAAAAAACATGATAGTATATTGTATTCATTTCTGGAAAATTTTCAAAGTATTTAAATAAAACTAATGTTTTTCAGATTATACTTCGCGAATTTATATGTAAAAAACTAAATACTCTCGACGTTTCGGCTACTTTACAGCAACCGTGATCATGGACAGACGAGATGTGAATGTGACTTCGAGAGTGTGTAGTTTTTTACAAAAATAAAATCGCATAGTATAATCCGAAAAAATATTAGTTTCATTTAAATGAATAAAAGTCGCGAAAGTCTTAGATATATAATTTTCAAAGTAGATACATAGCTGAATATATTATGTACGTGCCTAATAAAATCTCCGTTGGGGTCAGTTTTTCTTCCGAATCGCACTGGACAGTAGCAGTGGAAGAACTGCTGGAAGAAAGATGAGCATGAGAGCCACATCCACATACCAGCGTTCACAGACCAGTCGGCGTCCAGGAGCAGCTCGTCGAACACCTGAAAAAAACATGCATTATTAACATATTGATAATTAATTAGCGTTTTCTTATAGTACTACTAGCTGCGCCCCGTGGTGTTGCCCGCGGATTTCCGGAATGTAAAGTAGCCTATGTGTTATTCCTGGCCGTCGGCTTCCTATATACAAAATTTTATCAAAATCGGTTCAGCCGTTTGAGCGTGAAGAATTAACAAACATACACACACACTCACAAACTTTCGCAATTATAATATTAGTAGGATGTGTCATAAGTTGTCTTATACATATACAGGGTGACTGGTGAATTACTATCGATACTTGAGAACGTGATATTTGACGGTCATATATGACAAAATAAAAATTAATAACACATAAATATTAATAAACTTCTAAGTAAAGTTAACCAAAAGTTATGTAATTAATTACGCATCGTGTGAACACCCTACAGATTAGGTATACACACACACACACACACACACACATGCGGCGGCGTGGTGTTGTATCAGCACGCCGCCGCACGAACGTGTCCACACTTTATTTATTTATACGGAAATTTAGTCAAAAATTAAGTACCTATTTTTTTTACATAATTCGAATGAGAATCATGTACCGAGTATTCTCCTTAAATATTGATAGTAATTCACCAGTCACCCTGTATATGACTAAATGTCAAACTAAATTGAAGTGCTGATTCATAAATAAAAACAATCAGTGAATAGATTCGGTATTATACTTATATAGGCCATAGAGAATTAAACTTCCCATAAATGATCTAAAATTTTATAAGTTACATACAAAGATTTTATTTTATATTCGCAAACATGTATTAACAGGTACTGCGCTTTTATAGTACTTAGAAAAAAAAGATAAACGCAGTTTACAAAAATAAGAATTTGACTTTCTATCAATATTTATTATAATGATTGTAATTATAAGTCAGTGGTGGCCTAGTGGTTATAAGGCCCGCCTCTCATGCATGAGGACGCGGGTTCGATCCTGGCAAGTACCAATGTGATTTTCACGAGTCAGTCAAAAAGAAAGCTTTATCTTTTTATTTCTTCTATTACGAAAGTAAATGTATTTTATTTTACCGGTAACAAGCAAATGCATTTTTTATAGGCGAGCGGATAAATCTGTAATTGGATAAAGGAATCAAAGTTCTCAGTAACTCTATGAAAGTTTTGAATTTTTGAATCATATATTTTTAAAATTTGACTCACTTTCAAATGAAATTGCATTGAAGTCACCTCACTAACAAACAAAAAACTAGCGTGGTAATTAACATCCTTTTTAGACACATACGATTTGTGTAGGAGTTACCTCTCGTAATTTCTCTAAATATAAGAGTTCGCCTAAATAATTTTGTGGTATGGTCGGTAAAAACTTATCACGTCTAGTGATATAACGGAAATACAATAAAACTCGATGGATAAAAATATAAAGATTAAGAGAAGTCATCTCCAGTCTATTCACTTGTAAAAAATATACACTTCTGAGTTAACATGGCTAATAAAATCACTGATAATAACTCATTTCGTTTAAAAAAACTCACGTATATAGATATTAATCATATATAAAATATTTTCTAACGAATTATTTTTTTATATCCAAATATGTTGTTTTAAATTCAAGGTCATATTTATTTTTCTTTTGTACCTAGGTTAACTATTTATTTTATAGTTATTGATAACTAGCTTTCCGCCCGCAGCTTCGCCGCGTGGAGTTCGGTTATATCGCGTTTCCAAGAGAACCTTTCAAAAGTCTGGGATAAAAACTATCCTATGTTCTTTCTCAAGGTCAACTCTATCTCTGTACCGAATTTCATTAAAATCAGTTCAGTGCTTTAGGCGTGAAAGCGTAGCAGACAGACAGACAGACAGACAGAGTAACTTTCGCATTTATAATATTAGTAGGGATAATCTTTATAACAATAAGTATTGAAATTATCAACTCATTCATGAGTCGAGACTATAAACTGTTTACCTAATAACTCTCAAACCTAAGATAAATAGTTTCTATATAATGTTTCATTGTATAGTACCTTCATGCCTTCTTCCCACGAGATCCAAAGATCCCCCCTCGTGAGGAAACAAGCGACCGCGTGTCTCGCCAGGTGATGGATCCAACCGTCATTGCGAAGCTGGATCATTATAGCGTCGATCCACGGGAATCCAGTCTGACCCTGTTTAGCACAGATAATAAAATACAGACTGTATATAAATAACTCCAACAATGAAAAAAAAACAAATCTATATGGTATATATACAGAGCAGGAAAACATTACTAACAAAACCACATTAAACAATCGTCCGGTCTACGCATTTGTAGGTCTTCAAGGCTTTGCGCAATCCTAAACAAATATAATTGAAACACAATAAAGAACTTAGGTTTATGTTATGAGTCCAACGTACAACTAGGACGTTTAAAAGAATTATAATAACAACAACGTTTTATATAGATTGTTAATTGTTATATTTACGTTCGCCCATTTCTTGAGAGCCTCCTGATTTTTTTCCCACGGTATTTGGACACATATCGGATTACCCTCCATTCTGTCGAAATTAGGATTTCTTGTTGCAGCGCAATAGAAAAATTCCCTCCATAGTATCTGACCGTGAAGCGACAACGGCGGCCGTTCTTGTTTTATCCTTTTATAGAGCTCGCTCAGTTGATAATAGAAAAGTCTCGTTGATAGACAACCAAATCTGAAACGTAATTTTGACTATTAAAAGGGAAATAAATAAATTATTAGGGCATCATACCTTGTTTATATCGATTCATATGTTGATAAGTTTCAATTTAATTACCTTAGATAAGGAGATAAGCCCGTTTGACTCGACAAAAGTGATTCTGGCGTCATCTTTGGTCTTCCGAACGAGGCAACCCAAGCCTTTCTCTCCAAATGTCGTTCTAGTCTCAATAAAGCCTCATTTTCTCCACCAATCCATATCGGAGGTTTAAGTCCTTCCGTATCGAAACCTTAAAGTTTAAATTTCATACATATAATGAGATCTAAGACTTCCGCGAGTATTCATTTAAATGAAACTAATATTTTCGGATTACTAGGATTTATTTTTAAAAAATTTTGGTTACTTTGTTATCCGTGATCACGGTTCTTGCAAAGTAACCGAAACATCGGGAGTATGTAGTTTTAAAAATAATAAATTAACACGTAGAAATCTAAAAATATTAGTTTATTTCCATACATGTCCTTATGAACAATACTTCGCAATTTGTCTGTATTCATATATTCCAAACCAAAAACTTGTTTTATTATACGTATTCGCTTGATATTTAAATTTCAGTAATACCACTAGCTAAAAGCTCGTTCAAATATATTTATGATATTGGTTAATAATTTTAAGTCCTTGTTTGTTAATAAAACAGTAGAATTTCATTCGTAAAAGAAAATAACTAATAAGAAAACTTCTCATGGAATCTAACATAAAACTTTATCGTCCTATAGATAAACATTATTGTTTTTTAATTACTTAGATATTTTTCTATACGGAAGTTATTACGTAAGAATAAACAATCTATATTTTTCATTCAGACGCTATGTTGAATTGTTTGTTAATTACGTAGATTGCTTTCGAGGTGATTAAATTTCTCATACATTTCTGACACGTTTGATAATAAAGAAAATATTTATTGCATTCTAACGTCGCTTTAATTGGTTAGATGTTATTGAATGTATGTTAAGAAAAATTATAACTATGGTATAGCTTTAAGTTATTTATACCGAGTTCTTCGAGTGTTGGTACTCCAAATCTTTCGTCATGGTTATCCGAGATAGGTGTAACGGCGCGATTCAGTGTCTCCAAGGTAATGGTAGGTTCAGCGGACGGTGGTGGGGGCATGCTCGCTATCAGCGCTTGGAACTGATGGTAGGTCAACGGCGCCTTACCACCATTCTTCTCTATTATACTAAAAACCACGTCAGAATAACAATACACAATTAATACCACGAAATCGTCACATTTCACTACACTAAGTCACCACAATATTACTTACTCGTCTAATTTGTACAACGTGTGCGATACTCTTGAAATTACTTGAATACCGACTTCGCGGCATTTGGTCATGATATTATGATCCCGTACCCGGCCATAAGGCTCAGGGTCTTCTTCGAAGGTCAGCGCAGTCGTTCCCCACTCTCGAAACAACTTCGGCAAAGCATCTGCCGGCTGACCTCTCACCACGAATAAACGGGAATTTAATTTCCTCAAATTCTTGTCCAAATCCTCTAGACATTGCAATAGAAATCTAGAAAATAAGAATTGATAAAACGTAATGTATATATATGATGGCGTGAACCGGATATTATTTACCTCCATTTATTAATGCCGACGTTAGATGAGCTCGCGAACCACGGGTCTATGATGAAGACGCATCTGAAAGTTGTCGCGTCAACGAGCCCCTCTCTCAGGGCCGGGTTATCGTGTAACCTGAGACCCTTCCTGAACCAGTGGACTGTGTGCTTCTCCTTAGGAACACTAGCTGGTTGCGTCTTCTGGGTTGTGGGCGAGCGCGCACGTAGCGGCACCGTCTCGGCAACCGACATAATTACGTTACCGTCATCACAGCCTACAATTATACTCTCTATGAAGCTCTTCCAATGTTTCATTCCTTATTAGAAAAAAATTACCTATGTTTCATATTAGGGTATCATATTACAATCATAAACAGCCTTTGATTTTTGAAAATTTTTATCAAAACACTTCCTAAATCATCGGTGATCATGCAGATTTCTTTATGTTGAACATCAAAATGGTATAAATACACAAATGTGAATACATATGACTGAAAAATTAATTTTCTTCAATATATAAATAAATAAATAAATAAATAAATAAATATACTTTTTTACTGGAAATTTATTATAAGATAATTCAAAATGATTATTGCAATCTGTAAATATGAAACAGACTCTGAAAGTAATGAATACCAAAAGTTTTATACCATTTCAAGTACATATATTTTAAATTTTTACATATTCTTTTTTTTTTGGTAGTCTCATTTTTGTCTTCGAATAATAAAATTATGTTTAGCTTATATATTTGAGTAAGCATCCTTTACAAATACCTAGAATATATACATATTTGATTTAGTATTGGTTTAACTTTTATTAAATCAAATATTTATTGTAATAATGATTTAAATCTAGCTGGTTTACCCCAATTTTATGGATTTAAGATTTCATGGCTATTCAAGCCTCAATAATTATATTTGTAAACTTATTATATATATTGATAAAAATGTGAATTTAATTTAAATTGTTTATTAAAAATCATTAAACTGAAACATGGTCAGACAATTTACATTTCTGAATCTGGAACATTGAGTCATCAAATTTCATAATCTTTATGAATGAAATGAAGACAAAAAAACGAAGCAACAAAATTTCTACAAAATTTACAATATTAGTTATGATTCTAATAGTATTGCAGTGAAAAATATAATAATAAAAAGACGAATGCAAATTAATATTCAATTTTGTCACAATATAGGTCACATTTACATTTTGAATAGATATTGAAATTAATGATTAGTCTAAGGATTTTTTTTTACGAGTAAAATTTGCTTTTTCAACGTAATAAGTCATCCATAAGGCGATTAACAATTCTGTAATCAACAATAACATTTAATAAACTATTTTTTTCAAGAATTATTATATTGTTATTTAGTTAATATTAAGGGATTAGCTATGTTACTTACCTACTGATTGATTATTCCGAAATGTATAATAGTTGACTTTTTAAGCATAAAACAATTTTTGTTCACTGTCATCACTATATTGAACCGTATTATAAACTTCGCGTTTTACAAAAGTCACCAATATTAACATGATGTGAAAGTTCACTTTATACTATAGCACAGTGTTTTTACTTTCCAATATACTTCTATGGAGTCACATTAACATTTTTTTAATCTATAGTCTTCATAGAAAGATTAACTACAAGGGTCCGACTCTGAAGTCTGAAGGACAGCGCCTATGTAGTCATGGAATTACAAAAATAGGTTTTTGTTAATCTAATTTCAAATAAAAAAAATATAATGAACTTAATTAACACTTTATTATAAAAAAATATAAAATCTACGCCCTTTTTATAAACACAGAAGAGTTCAACTTAAGCGTGGTATTTAGATTACAAATAAACTGTCAGAATAAGAAATTATCCACGCCGCTTGCAACGTGACTTGTACAAGTATATACCTACGTAGTTGAACTTAACTCAGGGTAATGAGGTACTTCTTTAAAAAAACGTAAAGTAAATATACACTTTATCAGAAGGGGAAAAGGAATAAAATCAATTTTTACTTTGAAAACGTGATAAAGTAATTGTGGAATTATACATCTGTCTCTTTTAACATGTACAGAAAAATAAGGATAGTGATAGTGAAGTTATATCAACATAAATAGCAAAACATTTTTATAGTTATAGTTTCACGATTATATATTTTTTATATGTTTAATGAAATAAAATGTTACTGAATAATACTTATTTTTATATTAGTATATAAGTTCGTAACTAGGCGTATATAATAATCATATTTTTACATTCAAACGTCTGAAAGCTTAAAACATTTTATAGTATGGCAATCTTTGCTGTTCAAGTGACAACATTGTAGTTAAAGTCAATTTGACAAGTTCTTTCTAAAGTTCCCCTCATTGCAAAGTGTACGTAAATATGTTTCATTAATATTAATATTATCCGATCCGATCTTCATAATTTCTTATTTAGTTTCTCTTTATAATTAAAAAATAAGATGCATTATTCAATGAATTATTACGTAGCGTTAATATTTCTTAATTATACCGAAATTATTTTAGTGAGGGCTGACGGAACGTAACCATGGGTCGTGTGATTCGGGCTCAGCGTAAAGGTGCCGGTTCAGTTTTCGTGTCACATACCAAGAAGAGGAAAGGAGCACCAAAGCTCCGATCTTTGGACTATGCTGAACGTCATGGCTACATTAAGGGAGTAGTTAAGGTATGTGTTTACAAAACACTTGTCTATTTCGTAAACGTTGCTTGTAAGCATATTATCACATTTCAATACGTTATTCCCAGGACATCATTCATGACCCCGGTAGAGGTGCACCGTTAGCGGTTGTGCACTTCCGTGACCCCTACAAGTTTAAGACGCGTAAAGAACTCTTCATCGCACCTGAGGGTCTTTATACTGGACAATTCGTTTACTGCGGCAAGAAAGCCACACTTGAAGTTGGTAAGTCTGATATAATTTGATAGAAAGAAACTGCATTTCTTTAAACCATTAGTATTTAGAGAGATTTTAAATACTATTTCATCAGTCAACCAGGCATGTGACAACATTTAATATTAGAACATTAATCTTCTGTCCACCTGTGAAATTACTGGTTATGAGTATTTAGAGTGTTTTCTGTATTTTTCTAGGAAATGTGATGCCAGTGGGAGCTATGCCTGAGGGTACCATTGTGTGCAACCTTGAAGAGAAGATGGGTGACCGAGGTCGGTTGGCTCGTGCCTCTGGTAACTTTGCTACTGTTATCGGCCACAACCCTGATGCCAAACGCACAAGGGTGAAGCTGCCATCCGGTGCAAAGAAAGTTCTGCCTTCAAGCAACAGAGGAATGGTTGGTGAGTAAAGTTTTAAATGAAATCTATATGATTTTATCTTCATAATTGTCATGATGACTTTCACTTACCTACTCTGAATATGGCTATGATTACACAGAGGCTCTTTCTGATGATTTTAATACTAAATATAACAATAGATAGGTTTGTGACAAATATTATACAAGTTGTGTATATTTTCTTGCAGGTATCGTCGCTGGTGGTGGACGTATCGACAAGCCAATCCTTAAGGCCGGTCGTGCATACCACAAGTACAAGGTGAAGCGTAACTGCTGGCCGTATGTACGTGGTGTGTCCATGAACCCAGTAGAGCATCCTCACGGAGGTGGTAACCATCAACACATTGGTGAGTATTTGTTTTTAACTAATATTACTTTGTAACTGGCGGCCAATTTTTATTCATCTATTAAATGTTTCTTTTCACAGGTAAGGCTTCGACTGTCAAGAGAGGTACATCCGCTGGTCGCAAGGTCGGTCTCATCGCCGCCCGCAGGACCGGAAGAATTCGTGGAGGCAAGACCGAGACAAAGAAGGAGGCGTAAACTGTACTTTATACCAATTAAAAATATTAAAAACAAAGCAGAATTTTATTTTGCTACATATTTTATATATAATATTGATTTGGTCACTCGCTTCACTGAGGAATTAGTCACGAAAATGCTTGTGAAGCACAGTTTGATTCTAAGCTAATGAATTCTTTATAGATAAATTTACTTCTGGTATTGTTTTAGGGGCTCAACGCATACAATAAAATTGGCAATAGAAAATATTTTAAGGAATATTGATAAATAATATCCTCTCAATCAAAATGGCGTCTTTTAGAACAATAGTCTCGTTTTTAATTCATTGCTGCTGCCAACTTCTTAAAGCTCTGTTTAAAGTTGAAGAACTGATATAAATGTTCAAATTATAAGTCGTCATGTCAAATCCTGAGGTCTTTTCTGTACTATCGCTTCACAATCACCATCCTAGCTGGAATTAAATGCCTTACCAATATAGGTAGTTCGTGAACTTCATTTAAAAATTTGAGTCATCCTATAGGTGTTGACCTGAATAGTATTGTAGTTTGATGTTTTAAAAGTGATATCAAAATTCACATAAAAATACCAGGCCAAAAGGTCTCAAAAAAATTATTTTTTCAAACACAATTTCCAGCTAAATATACAGGGTGACTGGTGAATTACTATCGATACTTGAAGACGTGATATTTGACGATCATATATGACAAAATAAAAATGTATATAACATAAATATTAATAAACTTCTAAGTAAAGTTAACCAAAAGTTATGTAATTAATTACGCATCGTGTGAACACCCTACAGATTAGGTATACACACACTCACACATACGCGTGAAGCGGCGTTGTGTTGTATCAGCACTTGGAACACTGGGAACGTGTCAACACTTTATTTATTTATACGGAAATTTTGTCAAAAATTAAGAGTCTATTTTTTTTACATAATTCGAATGAGAATCATGTACCGAGTATTCTCCTTAAATATTGATAGTAATTCACTAGTCACCCTGTATATGAGGCAAATAAGATGATATTTTCTTGGTACATTCGTTGAAGGGACTCCAAAATTAATATTCAATACGTAGATAACTATGTACAAACTTTCAGTCTTTGAGATATAATAATTATTATTTTATCATTAATAGGTCTATGAGATATAAAAAAATGAGGTCGAAGATTTTATATTGATACAAATTTTTCGTTGCGAAACAGAAAAAAGTTAAACTGGAATCAATTTAATATTAGGATAAACTTCGGTTGTGACATAGGAACTGTGCCATATTTTTTGATGTTTTTTTTACTTGATAATTCAGTGATTAAGAGTACCATGCAAAAATTCGCTATTGCAATCTTCTACAGTAGACCATATTTACCTCGCACGTTCATGCATTCTTACAGCAGATAATTGAGATTAGAGTGATTTAAAAGTCGTAAAGGGACAATAGGATAAACGCTAACAATAGTTATGTTTATAGGATGACAAGAAGTGAGTTGTAAAGCATAAAGAATAGATGCTACTACTTATTCAAATCAACAAATATACAGACTACTTTCGGTTATGTTAACCGAGTCCAATTGACTCTAGTTACTCGAATAAAATAGCCCGATATGTTCAACGCTGCACAGAATTGTATCATCACATAATGACGTCCTTTATTAGTGTTTCTCATTTGTATTTCGTAGTGCGATTTAAACAGCCATGTGTAACGGTACTCTGTTTGTGTTTTTGTTGACTCTTTTCTTACCAAAGTTCTTGTTGGCAGAATGCCCGGAACATAAAATAGAGATGAACGATGAAGAACGACTTTTCAACGCCCTAAAATGCAAATTCAAGGACGAATACAGACCTGTGAAGGATTACACAACCCCTGTTCTTGTAAAACTAAGATTTGATATAAAATATGTACATTTCGACACTACTAAGGATACGTTATCGGTACACAGTTGGGTTGTTTATAATTGGAAGGACGAATTTTTATCTTGGAACGCAAGTGATTACTCAGGTATAAAGGAAATGCAAGTTAAAAGCTATGACATTTGGTCACCTCGGATGATGCTTATGAACCCAGACGTCACCTACTACCATTACGATAAAATTTATACGATTTGTATATTGAAGTACGATGGTATAGTAACATGTGTGCCGAGGATTGTATACAAAGCGACATGCCAGTCGCAACTTACAAACTGGCCGTATGACGAACAAACTTGTACTATATATTTTGGTTCTTGGATGAATAAAGAAGAACACGTGAATTTGACATTTTATGAAAATGATCCAATAAAATTGGATGAATTTGAAAACGCTCCAGGTTGGAAACTTTTAAAAGTAGTCCATTATCGTTTACCGGGTGAGCAGCAAAAAATTTATAATTCAAATAGAAGTCAATCAACCTTAAAGTTAACGTTTTTATTACGTCGTGAAGCTGCTGGGTTGGCGATCCTTATTATTGTTCCACCTGTAGTATTAGTATTGCTAATGATTTCATCTCTTTTTATGAAAGTTAGAGATAATAGTCGATTAGCGTTGTTGGGCTTTATTTTATTTAATCATTTTGCTGTTATTATAACTATAGGTTTTGTTGTGCCTAGACTTAGTTTAGATACACCATATATACTGTTTTTTATTCGTGATTCAATGATTATGACATTAGTAAGTATTTTGGAGACCTTATTGCTCATGTCTTTGACAAGAAGAAATTTACTAGCTCCTATTTGGATAACGTCTGTAAATCGTCTTGCTACTAGAGGAATAGGAAAGTATTTAATATTTAGTGATCTAGAACATTGTGAAGACCTACAAGAAAATCTAATTTCAGAAGAAGGTACTACGAATACAAATTTGAATCCGCGATTCAATTTCGACTGGATCAAGTTTGCCAATTTAATCAACAGTTTTTTTGTCATATTATCTATACTATTTTATATAATTATTATGTGCAAATATATTCCACATTATTAATATTGTAATATTAAATATAGTTCAACTTTTTAATATTTTTAACCGACTTTCTTGTTTAGTAAATGTTCGATATACATATAATGTATTAATATTTCAAAACTAGGTAACCAAAGTATTAAAAAGATATCATATATTCCCAGGTTGTGTAATAGATACATTATTTCTTTATTCGTACTTGAAAGGTTACACCCACGGTTTTCAACTCGCTCGCATCCTTCTTAAAACGGAAAGGAACATTTAAACCAATTTGCTACAGGATAAGTCACAAAATATTTTTTTCCTTGAGTGAGACATGAGACATGAGTTTTCCTTAGAATGCTGATACCTGGAATTTTCGTTTTAATATTTTACATACAAGGGAAACAGGTTTTCTTTATTTCAATAATACTTATCAATGAAGACATTTAATTTTTTTAATTTAAATAATTTTTAAAGTTACAAATTATATAACTTCTTCCCTAACCTAGTTCTTTAATGTGCTAAGTATTTTTGTCGATAATCTTTAAAAAGTTGCGTGTTAAGTGTCAGTTGAAGCGCGTTTCTTAGTAGTACAATTTAGTTTTAATAAGTTTTTAGTAATGTATAAATAAGTTCAATCATCTCAGTTAATATTTCAATTGTTTGTAATATTCTTAATACATATTTATGTATTCTTTATATATACATTTATATTACATACGCATGACGTGTTAAGTTTGTATAACTTTAAGAGATAATTAAAAAAATCTTTGAAGTTACATTTTTTCTTCGTTGTATCTATGAAATAGATTGTTTCGTAACAGTAATTAATTAATAATACATGTATATAAATATTAGTTATATATATTTTAATCAAACTTGCGTTGTTGGATGTTTTTACAGTGCTGAAATTATTTTCGTAGTTTTTAAGTAAGTCACAAATAATTATTGTAATTATTATGTAACGTTTTGTTGTTTTATTGTTATTTTAAACCACGCCATCTTTAAAATAACAAGTTAAGTTGATAAATCAATGTTATTTACTACTCTTTAATATGGAGTTAAATAATTATTATTCATTATATTATAAAATGCATCACTCCCGACAATAGCTTATTCAACTCAAAGGAAACTGTTGCTTCGACACTCCGGCGACGGATACCTAAAATTCCATTGCAGTAGCATCCGCCTTCCCAGTAATCCCAGCTCAATAATTCATATATCTTAAAATATAGGTCACTCTGTTAATATTCAAATTATAAACTATTAAGTTTTGTTTTTAATTACTTTTTATAGTTAATCCAATCTTATATTTTACATTTTAATGTAACTCTCAAAAGGAATATTTCATTCCGCTTTTATATATAGGAAAAACTGTTTGATATTTTTTATAAATGGTAATTAATTTAGCACGATTTAAGCAGAATAATGCAAAAAAACATTTTAGATTTATATCCCTACTAATATTATAAATGGGAAAGTAACTCTGTCTGTCGGTCTGTTACGCTTTCACGCCTAAACCACTGAACTGATTTTGATGAAAATGAAAAGATAGAGTTGACCTTGGGAAAGAACATAGGATAGTTTTTATCCCAGAATTTTGAAAGGCTCTCTTGGAAACGCGATATAACCGAACTCCACGCGGACGAAGCTGCGGGCGGAAAGCTAGTAAGTTATAAGTTCAAATTGAAACGAGACAAAATATCAAACCAGTTCTGAGTGTGACATTGAAAGTTTGACTGCGTGTTTTGTTTCTAGTATGAAGATAATACTATTGCTATTCTTAATTTTCATCTTCGTGAATATAAGTTGGACTAAAACTAAAATATATCCCAGAGGTTGTATTTCTTGGGGAGGACTATGTATGTTATCGAGTAATAAGTTTCACCTAACTTTACGATTTTATAGATATCTACTTGCAATAATTAAGATAGGGTAAACGGGTTATGGGTGATATTCTCTCTAATATCTTCATTATAGTGTTAATATTCACTATGTGATCTATAGGTATACAGGAGTGTGAAGAAGGTACTCACGCCTATGCAGTCACTAATGGTTATTTGAAGCCGGAGCGTACCTGTGATAATCCCGAACCACAAATGAACAAGAGTCAAATTTATTATGACTTCTCATCATGTTACTGTGATTTTCCTACTGTTAGAGATACTAACACGAATAAATGTGTGACACTTGATAACTGCACAAAAAATTTGAATATATAAAAATAAAATACACTATTGTATTGCATTGCATTTATATAAAAAAAATATTAATAAAAATAAAGTTATTACTTAAATCGACCGATTACTTATTATATTTCTTGTTACTCATACTGGTTTCAATTAAATCAGAAATTTCTATTTCACTGTCATCTTTTTCTGTCACTTTCTTCGGTTTCAAGAAAGCGTTACGTGTTGGGAGAGGAAGACTGTCATCGTCTAGAATTGAACTCCCTAGACTAGTGTTGCTGCCCCCGAAACTGGCTTTCTGTATGGGAGTAGCTAGAACATCAACTCCGCCGACGATAGTTGTAGATAGTTTTGGGTTCCTTTTCGTTAATTGAGATTCAATAGTCTGTTTCAACTCTGCTATCTTCGGACTCGTACGTGTTGAGATTTGAATCTTTGCGGTCGTGTTTGCGGGTTCGTTTTCGATGCTATAGCAAAATAATATTTGTTTATAAACTAAATATTTAAAGAAATATTTTTTAAATATGAGATTTCTTACCTTGAAATATCCCATTCCTCTGTATCCAGATTTTCTACCCCTAATTCGTATTGATCGTTTTTATCACTTTTATCAGTTATACTCTGTGATGGTGACGCACTCATTAGTTTCATCTGTATCGCGTCCATGTCAAACAATACCTTCTTCTTGTTGAGTGATGAAATAGATGATGCACTTTTTAAAACTCCCTTCGTGTGTTTTGTATTAGCAATGTTATCTAAAGATGAGTTCTTTTTAGGAGAAGATATCGAATCTATATCGTCACTGCTAATTTTGGAAGTGTCCATAATAGATGGTTGTTGATTATTAATCCCTTGAGTTTTAGGAGACGTAACATTTTTGTGATTTGCATCAAGGCTGGTAGTTACATTGTCAGTTGGTTTACGTACTGGTGATTTAATAAGATTATTTATTATTTTTGACGTGTTGTCTAGGTTTAATTCATGTTGATCGCTATATTCACTATCCTCGGTACTTTCGGTACTGCTTTCTTCATGCTCATTTTCATGTCTCGAGTTTTTATTTAAAGGCAATAATTTAGATTTTTGTCGAGAACTGCTTCTTTGATTTTCTTTCATTTCACCTACAGTTTTATTTGACAAGTTAAAGTTGGCCCGTCGCTGTATTACCGGGCTTGAATTAATGGACTCTGGAGGTGTCTTTAGCAAAGCTGTTGCAGTTTTGACTAAATCATCTTGAGTTTTGTTAAACTTGTTATTTGCCTCATTTTGTTTAACCAAAGATAAAGCCTTTGTCTTCACGTTTGATAAAACGGAGGAAAGGCTAAAAGTCTTCGATTTGTTAGGAGAAATTTCTTGAAATCTCTGATCATAACTTGTATTTGTTGCATTTTCATCCAAATGAGTTATTATAGAATGCATTATTCTTTCTCGCGATGGAATTTTCTAGAAGGAAGCAATACTCAATAATGTGGTGCGAAATAAATGTAATCAGAATATAAAATAAAGTTAGCTGTTACCTTAGTTTTAGCTTGCTGTTGTTCAAGCAAGTTCTTGCGTTGTTTCTTGAAAACGTTCTGTGGAATTCGATTTTTAAGTGGATCAACTCCTAATGAAATTAAACGATTATTGACTTCCTCTGTTATTTTTGCTCTGACCACTTTTATAGGGCTGTAAGAAAAAAAGTAACAGGATGGCGATTTTATGCTATCATGATATAATATAAGTACAAATAATACAATATTATTCATTGAGAAAATAACTTTTACCTTGCAGGAGTATGGGCAAAACCGTTTATTTTTTTAGATCCCTGATCGATGGTTTTAGACTTAGTTTTAACTTTTTTTTCAACTATATCTTTTTTCTGTAAGTTATCATCATTTTCGTGAGTTTTAAAGTTTCCCTTAGAGTTGATTATAATAGTGTCTTTACGCTTACGTCTTTTCTTGTTGCTAATTTTATTTTCTTTGCTGTTCTGCTTAGTTTTTGACTTATGATCGCTTGTGATTGAATTATCACTAGTAGTGGATTGATCCATGTTTAAAAGTTCCTGTGCTTTTTGTTGAAGTTTTTTTAAGGTCAGTATGTCAGCAGTTGGACTTTTATTGGGGTTTGTTATTTTTTTGTTCATACCCTTGTCAGGTTCATCTTTCTCTATTTTGTCTTCTGTATTTTTCTCATCAGGTGCACCCTGTGTTGTGAATAATTATGAATAGACAATTTTAATAAATTAAATAAGTATAATTATATTAAATGTTAAAATAAACGATTTTATTGAAAACAGTCAGCAGTTGAAACGCTATAAAAAAACTTACTTTATTTTGTGAACGTTGATTGCGATTTGGAGACGTATCGTATTGTTGCTGTAATAACAACCTTTGCAAGTTTTCTGCTTTTTCTTTTTCCGTTTCTGCTTTGACTTTATATTCCCTGGCTTCATGAGCCACTTCATTCAATTTTTGCAATAATGATTTGTATTCATTTGATTGCATTTCAGCTCTCTTAACCCAATACGCCATTTGAGTCTCAATTTCCTTTCTTTTTTCAACTTCATTGTTTTGTTCGCTTAGAAGTTTATCTTTAAGTGATACTATTTCATCTCCTTGTTGCTTGATTGTGTTTTGAAGATCCTCCATTAATTTTAATTCATTCTTTACAGCGATATGGTCTTGTTTATCTTTCTTGCTTATAATGTCAATAATCTGCTGACGTAAAAGTTTGATTTCTTCATTGTATTTGTCATGCTCTTCTTTTTTCCATTCTTCTATTTTATCTAGTATATAGCCTTCTTCGTTGGCAATCACTTCTGCATCTCTCATCTGTTTAATTTGGGTGTTTGTTATTTTCTCATCATTTTCATTTCTACTTTTCTCAGCTAAAGTAGAGGAGGAGGCTTCATCTTTCGTTGTATTGTTGAATTTTCTCATATTCTCCATTAAATCTTCCATTTGTTTTAATTTTACTTTTAAATCGGTAATTTCATTGTTTAATTTTTCATTCATATTATCTGTACTTTGGTTATTATCTGTTATATCTTTTTGAGGTATTTCTAAAACTTGTTCATGTCGCCTAGAGATGTGACTTTTTAAATAGAGTTGATTCATAAAAACTTTTTCACAATAATTACATTTATTATACTGCATTGCATCTAGTTGGGCAGAAGAATTAAAAATATCGCCTTTATTTTGATTCAATGTCTTCAATATCATGGTCGCAATATTTTCATTTCCATAAGGAAGGGGAGTGCGTACACTATGTTTTGATTTTCTCTTCAATCTTTTATTTTCATCGTCTTTGTCTCTTAAAAGTTTTTTATTTAACTCAAGTTCCTAAAAATGTTACAACTTTAGGATTAGGTTAGTACACTAAAATATATTTCTTTTGTATATTTATGTATGTATTTGTATATTAATTTTGTATTTTACTTTTGCATTTTCGACTTAAATCTTGGATTCGTAAAGCTCATATTTGTTTAATAACCATAGAAAAAAGTTTTACCTTTAATAAGTTTGTGACTTGTTCTCGAAGTACGAATACACTTCGATCAAGATAATGCCGGCAGAACTGTTGATATTCGACTGCTAATTGAGCCAAACGAAACATTTTTAAAACACCTTCGTCAAGTATGCGAACATCAAATTCTGACTCCAAAGCGCAGTCTAAAATCTGTTTGATAATAAAATATTATTGATTTGTGCAATAGAAAACTTGTTGAATTTTGATAAGATAAAAATACTAAAACAAACGCATTCTGATAGAATAGTCAGTAAAGTATCGATTATTATAGTATTCGAATAATTGAAAAATCTGTTTGTATACGGCTACTGTTACATATGCTTATTTCAAGCACGTAAGCGTGCTTTAATTTAATTGCTGTTTACTAGCATGTGTCCAAGTGCTGCTTAAAATAAGCATGCTTTGTATTGAGCATGCTTATTTAAAGCATTTGTAACTGTAGCCTGACATTAAGTCTTGTTACTTACATCATTAATGTGTTGTTCAATAACAACAAACTTTCTATCCCTTATTACGTTTTCTATGTCAATCAATTCTGAAACACAAATAATCGTCACAATCTAAAAAATAAATGTATTATTTTATGATTTATCTTCTATATATACATATAAAAATGGATTGCTGTTCCTTAGTCTCGCTAAAACTCGAGAACGGCTGAACGGATTTGGCTAATTTTAGTTTTGAAATACTCCTGGAAGTCCAGGAAAGGTTTAAAAGGTGAGAAAAATTGGAATAATTGCCGGGAAAACCCTAAAAACAGCCCTTTTCTATTTCCCATACAAACGTTTTTTTTGACATTAGATTTGACAACTAACTAATATGTCAATCATTCTGTTTGATTGAAACATGAAAAACCTGATTATTTATGGCCTCTGAGGCGGAATAGAGTTTGCCTGGTCAGCTTCTTCTTCTACCTGGCAATTTCCCAGCTATAGCCAGGGTCTGCCTTACATGTTTGTGAATAGTTTTGGCTATTTGTTTTTACGACCGGCCGCCTGCCTGACATCAACCCTCTCTTTGGGAATCAACATAAATCAGTGATGTCTAAATACTCTTAGAAAGTACATATGACTCGGAAAAATCACATTGGTACTTGCCCGGGCCAGGATCGAACAAAATGCCTCGATCGAAATGCCTCGGCAACGAGAGGCGGGCCCTTTAACCACTAGGCCACCACTGCCTGGTCAGCTATACCTACATATATTACTTTTGAGCAAACTAACGAGGACGAAGTCGCGGGCAAAAACTAGTCAATCAATAAAATTATGGTGCAAAGCAAACAAAACGATTATGTTTTTTTGTTTAACCGACTTCATTTACTAAGCCGAAACAGTCTCTTTAAAAATTACAGTTTTTTCTGATGCTATTATTATTTAGCAAAACAAAATAATTTGTAAATTGTAAGATGTGTCTATTTTTTGGAAATGAAACCATGTAAGTGAATGTAAGTAATAAAAGTGCATACATCGTAATATAGCAAACAACTCACTTATTTTTCTCCATTCAATATGTACACGTGGCTTGTGTGTATTGAATGTGAATCCAGACTCTTCAGCTAATTTTGGAAAATTGTGATGGAGTTCGAAAGTTGTTTTACAAGCCATTGTCTTTCTATATTGTTATTAATATTGAATAAAAACTGTACTATGCTTTTTATTTCATGGAAAATAATAATGAAACCACAATTTAAGTGAATTGACATAGCTTCTGTTTGCTAAGTTTGTTGCTTGGCAACGATATCTGCCATAAAATGTGTTGCCTTTGTATTTTTTTTATATAACTTGTTATGGCCATTACAAAATATAATATATTATATTAGATCGAATTAACAAATTTGGAACATAGAAATTATTTTTCCACAGATTCATTATACAAATGTTTGATTCCTTTGACATTAAAGTTATAGTTAAGCTATTATTTTTAATGGGAGAGGGTTTGTTAAATGAAAATCATATGTATGTGGTCATGAACCACTTTGCCATTCATTATGTTTATTAGTCCAATATTCAAAGCATTTTTGCCGTCGTAAGGTATCCGTTGCGTTATTTATCTAATGGGAGCAGTCTCGTGGTTCCGGGGCGGCCTAGCGACATGGGTACCCGTGATTAATTTATGCCGCCGGCCCATGTTTACAAAGGCTTAAAAAGTGTGCAATGTTCAACTCGAAGCTCAGAACGCTAACTCAAAATATGCAGAAGTTGCGCAGACAACAAAAGAACACCCTCTGACAAAGCTGCTGAATATTTTGATCGTTTTCGCTCTGACCTTAAGTATTTAACTTTGTACCGTTTAAATTTTATGTATAAAAATAATAAAGAACATCGCATTGGCAGAATCGTTTCCGATGTAGAATAGCCAGGGTAGTGAATCGTCGAGTTCGGTGTCATGGTTTAAGCAGATGGTTTCTCTTCAGTGCAGGCGGTGGCCGCAGATGCTGCGGACACGTTGTCGTCAGCTGAAGGTTGGCATGCCAGAGCTGGGAACCTCGCATACAGCGCCGCGCGGTATTTAGGGTGGCTGCAAGTGATTTCAAAGGTAAGTTTCAATGAGAATTTCAACATTAGCAGGTACATTTTGGCAGTATTTATACCTGATGCCATATACAATTGGGTTATACACGGCATTAGCCTTGGCGAAGACAGAGCCCCAGATGGTTGCGAGGGGGCTGATTGGAGCACCGTCGAAGATGCCGCAGTAGTTGATCACCAGGTAAGGTGTCCACGCCATGAACCACAGGGAGATCGTCATTAATGCTACCTGTAATAAGTATTTTGTGATGAAAGCGGCTGTAAAAGAGAATATAATGTTAAAAGAGTTATATGAATATATATTTACCTTAGCCAGTTTGCACTCAGCGCTGGTGTTAGCCTGGTCAGAAGACCTAAGAGAGGCAACGTTCATTTTCTTCGCCTGCTCCCTCATCGCTTTTTCATGAGCTGCTACAGCCTGTACAGTTATGAGATATTAATATTTAAATTTCAATTCTTGTTGTGGTATATGGCCGTTACCTTTGGCTATGGCTGTAACCTACCTGAATAATGAAGAAGTAGGAGTAGATAATGAGAAACAGTGGTGTAAAGTAGCAGAAGACTGAGTAGACTAAGATGTAAGAGCGGTTGGCGAAAGATTTGTCGAAGTAGTCAGTTCCACAGGCAGTCATGTTGCCTTCTGGTACGTATCTGATTATTAAAGAAATATATAATTAAACACAGACAAATTTTAATATATTAAGTATACTATTAAGTGGCTACTGTTATGTATAAATTCCTTACCGGCCCCAGCCGACCATTGGAGCAATGGTCCATGCAAGGGCGAAGGCCCAGATACCAAGTACTCGCAGCAAAGCGCCATTGATGGTCATTGGTTTTGCAGCTATGCCTTTTACGATGACGTTATAGCGGTCGAAAGCGATCATGGTCATAGACCAGATGGAACCGCATCCAAACAATGATCCAGCGCAAGCGTATAGTTGACAAGCTAAGGGTCCTATAAAGATACATTTCATTATAATCACCATTCAGTACTTTTTGAATTTATTTTATCCCTTCATATTATTTTGACTAACCCAACACCCAGGTTTCGTAGTAGCAGCTAATCAGCATAGGCGGGGCCATTACGGTCATCATGAGGAAGTCGGAGAAGGCGAGATTTACAACGAGAATGTTTGATGGAGTTTTAAGACTCTGAAATGGATTAATCAAGGTATAAAATCGAGTCGCAGATATATGGAGAGTAACATACAATTTTATCTGTTTTTTGGGAAAGCACCTTAGTGGTCGTGAAGATGTAGACAACCATTCCGTTGCCAGTGATGGAGATGAAACCAAGTATGCCCATTACAAAGCCAAGTAGTCCATGCCACATAGGATTCATCGGCGGGAATTGGTACCTGAGATATATAGTTTTGAGATATATTTGATACTCGTTTGAAAGGTAAAATAGAAAGTAACGCTTCTCACGAGTTTAAAACAGTTCGTACCAGTGAGGATCGATGAGGTGCAACATGTCAGGGAGTACTTTGTCGACAACAGTCTCGTTGCTACCGAAGGCAGCCATTTGGCCGCCCCAAGCCTGCAACGCAGCGGCACCTGGTCCGGGATCCATGCTTGTGATCGCCATTGTGAATTCAGTAGGCCTAAGTGTTGAACCTGCGAATAAGGAATTATATTTATATAGACATTCCCAGTCATATTAGAATTAAAGGAAATAAATTGGAATGGTGACTTTTTTACAAAACCACGAATACATGAATGTGTTTTAGCACCAATTTGTTATATTAATTCAACATATAACATAATTTTGAAAACAACTTCCAATAACATTCAGAAGGATCATGATGGTGTTAAAACAAATTGTTCTTCATGACTCACAAAAAAAGGGTTACAGGTAGTTCGCCCCGAGATGGTTAATACCAAAAATACTGAAGAAAATCGCTTCACGAACTACTCCAGTCTTTAGTTTGCTATAACCAATCTCCGGCGGGAATTGCCGTGGCGATGCGGAGGCTACTCGATCTTCTGGTTGAAACGCTTGTCTTTTATATTAAAATACTGTCATAAAGAGATCGATATTCATAATTAGATATAGATAATAGGGTGAATATATTACTGGTTGTCTTGTACAGGGCCGGCTTCAATTTATTTTGTGGTTAGTGATTTTTTATAAAAAAAAATTAAGTCATTTTGTTAAGTTACAAAATATCTCAAATTCCTTTAAAATAACTACATTTTAAAAACAATGACATAATTGAAGTTTAGAAATATTTTATATCATTTGTAAATTTTACACTTTACCTTGTTAATATATTGTATCAAAAAGTAATAACTGCATTTTTTCTTATGACAATTCTTTTAGGGTTTAAAACACCTTTGTTATTCGCGATGTAATTTTGTTTTTTTCTTATATGTATATATGAAAGCCTAAAACATTCAACGTAGGTACTCTTTGAACTAAGAGATCTTTTTACAGCTTCTCATTGAACTGTTTTAAAAGGGTATCTTATTCATGTTCTTTACATACTTGGTTTTGTATAAGTTTATTTCACAAGGAACGGTTGTGTCCCTAAAATACAATATACAATTTAACAGCAGTAAAATATCACCGTTTAAAATAAAGAAGGAAGTGTATATTTTCTCGATTATTATAACTATCATATATGTATAATAATACCACCCTGTACTTCTTTAATATAAGCCAGGTAATATTGTTATAGCACCACTAAGCATGTGGAAATATAAGTATGATAACAAGATTATATGTGCAGCAGCACGTCGTCTTATATTACCTGTGAATGCTATTATATGCTTATTAGATTGATGATTTTTTGGAAATGATACCAATTAATTATATATGTACATGTATCGTAGTATAGCAAACAACTCACTTATTTTTCTCCATTCAATATGTATACGTGGCCTTAATGTATTGAATGTGAATCCAATTTTTTCAGCAAATTTTGGGAAATTGCGATGCATTTCGAAAGTTGTTTTACAAGCCGTTGTTCATCTATTTTGTTTTCAATATTTAATGAAAACTGCAATGATATCTGCCACAAAATGTTTTGCCTCTGTATTTTTTCATTTAACTTATTTAGGCCATTATAAAATATATTATATTTAGCTCAATTAACAAATTTGGAACGAAGATATTATATTTCTAAAGATTAACTTTACAAATGTTTGATTCCTTTGATGTTTAGAGTTATAGTTAAGTTATTATTTTTAATGGGAGAGGGTTTGTTAAATGAAAATCATATATATGTGGTCATGAACCACTTTGCCATTCGTTATGTTTATTAGTCCAATATTAAAAGCATTTGCCGTCGTAAGGTATCCGTTGCATTATTTATCTAATGGGAGCAGTCTCATGGTTCCGGGGCGGCCTAGCGATATAGGTACCCTTGATTTATTTATGCCGCCGGCCCATGTTTACAAAGGCTTAAAAAGTGTGCAATGTTCAACTTGAAGGTCAGAAAGCTAACTCAAAATATGCAGAAGTTGCGCAGACAACAAAAGAACACCCTCTGGCAAAGCTGCTGAATATTTTGATGTCTTCGCTCTGACCTTCAGTATATAACTTTGTACCGTTTAAATTTCATGTATAAAAATAATAAAGAACATCGCATTGGCAGAATCGTTTCCGATGTAGAATAGCCAGGGTAGTGAATCGTCGTGTTCGGTGTCATGGTTTAAGCAGATGGTTTCTCTTCAGTGCAGGCGGTGGCCGCAGATGCTGCGGACACGTTGTCGTCAGCTGAAGGTTGGCATGCCAGAGCTGGGAACCTCGCATACAGCGCCGCGCGGTATTTAGGGTGGCTGCAAGTGATTTTAAAGGTAAGTTTCAATGAGAATTTCAACATTAGCAGGTACATTTTGACAGTATTTATACCGTATTTATACCTGATGCCATATACAATTGGGTTATACACGGCATTAGCCTTGGCGAAGACAGAGCCCCAGATGGTTGCAAGGGGGCTGATTGGAGCACCGTCGAAGATGCCGCAGAAGTTGATAACCAGATAAGGTGTCCACGCCATGAACCACAGGGAGATCGTCATTAATGCTACCTGTAATAATTATTTTGTGATGAAAGCGGCTGTAAAAGAGAATATAGTGTTAAAAGAGTTATATGCATATATATTTAATTATTTACCTTAGCCAGTTTGCACTCAGCGCTGGTGTTAGCCTGGTCAGAAGACCTAAGAGAGGCAACGTTCATTTTCTTCGCCTGCTCCCTCATCGCTTTTTCATGAGCTGCTACAGCCTGCACAGTTATGAGATATTAATATTTTAATTTCAATTCTTGTTGTGGTACCTATATGGCCGTTACCTATGGGTATTGCTGTAACCTACCTGAATAATGAAGAAGTAGGAGTAGATAATGAGGAAAAGTGGTGCAAAGTAGCAGGCGATCGAGTAGGTCACGATGTAAGTGATGTTGGCGACAGATTTGTCGAAGTAGTCAGTTCCACATGCAGTCATGTTGCCTTCTGGTACGTATCTGATTATTTAGGAAATATATGAGTAAACAGACAAGGAACTTGAATATTTACATAGTGACTACTGTCATTTGCAATTTCCTTACCGGCCCCAGCCGAACAATGGAGCAAGAGTCCATGCCAGGGAGAAGGCCCAGATACCAAGCACTCGCAGCAAAGCGCCATTGATGGTCATTGGTTTTGCAGCTATGCCTTTTACGATGACGTTATAGCGGTCGAAAGCGATCATGGTCATAGTGCAAATTGAAACGCATCCGAACAATGATCCAGCGCACGCATATAGTTGACAGGCTAAGGGTCCTATAAAAATATGTTTCATAATAATCACCATTCAGTACTTTTTGAATTTATATCAACTGTTCATGTATTTTGACTAACCGAACACCCAAGTTTCGTTGTAGCAGTTAATAATCATAGGCGGAGCCATAAGAGCCATCATGAGGAAATCGGAGAAGGCGAGATTTACAACGAGAATGTTTGATGGAGTTTTGAGACTCTGAAATGGATTAATCGAGGAATAAAATTGAGTCGCAGATATATGGAGAGTAACATACAATTTTATATATTTTTTGGGAAAGCACCTTAGTAGTCGTGAAGATGTAGATGACCATTCCGTTGCCAGTGACCGAGATGAAACTAAGGACGCCCATTACAAAGCCAAGTAGTCCATGCCACATAGGATTCATCGGTGGGAATTGGTACCTGAGATGATACGGCGTACATTTCAGAATTATATATCGTTTTGAGATATATTTAAGGAATCAAGAAGGTTTCAAACCAGAAGGTTTGAATGGTAAAATAGAAAGTAACGCTTCTATCAAGACTTTAAAACAGTTCATACCAGTGAGGATCGATGAGGTGCAACATGTCAGGGAGTACTTTGTCGACAACGGTCTCGTTGCTACCGAAGGCAGCCATTTGGCCGCCCCAAGCCTGCAAGGCAGTGGCACCTGGTCCGGAATCCATGCTTGTGATCGCCATTGTGAATTCAGTAGGCCTATGTGTTGAACCTGCGAGTTAAAAAATCAAGTTAATATAGACATACCAAGTCACATTAGAATTAAAGGATATAAATTGGATTGGTTTATTCGAATTAGTGACTATTTTCACAAAACCACGAATACAAGAATGTGTTTCAGTACCAATTCGTTAAGTTAATATAAGATAATTTTGGAAAAAACTTCCAATAACGTTCAGAAGGATTTTGTTGGTGTTAGAACAAATTGTTCTTCATGACTCACAAAAAAAAGGGTTACAGTCAGGTCGCCCCGAGATGGTTAATACCAAAAATACTGAAGAAAATCGCTTCACGAACTACTTCAGTCTTTTGTTTTGCAATAACCAATCTCCGGCGGGAATTGCCGTGGCGATGCGGAGGCTACTCGATCTTCTGGCTGTAACCCTTGTCTTTTATATTAAAATACTGTCTTAAAGAGATCGATATTCATAATTAGATATTCATAATTAGATCGATATTCATTAAAGGGTGCAGATAATTACCCCTTGTCTTATACAGGAGCGGCGTTAATTTATTTATGTGGTTAGTGATTTATTATAATATTTTTTTACAGCTCGTTTTTATGTTCCAAAATGTCGACTCGCTTAAAAATTACTACATTTCAAAAACAATGGCATAATTGAAATTGAGAAATATTATTTGTGAAATTTAAACTTTTCCTTGTTTAAATTGTATTAAAAAGTAATAACGACATCATATGTAAAAGAAAGATAACAATTTGTTTTCTCATGAGTTTTTTGGGGGTTTAAAATACCTTTGTTATTGTTGATAACATTCAAGTTTATTTTATAACTATTGTATTTGTTTCTTTTTTTTTATTTGTGGCAGCTTCATTGGTGTATGTTTTTGTAATTTTATTTATAATTTAAGTGTATTGTGAAGTGTTTGTGCCTTAATAAAGCAAAATAAAAGAGTAAGACATTGAACGTATAGAATCTTTGTACTTCGACATTTTTTACAAAAATGTTTTTAAAACGTATTCCTAAGAGATATTCGTAATATACCTCTTTATGGTTTGGTGTGTAAATTGTTTTCTAATACTACCCTGTACTTCTTTAATATAAGCCAGCTAATATTGTTATAGCACCACTAAGCATGTAGAAATATAAGTATGATAACAAGATTATATGTGCAGCAGCACGTCGTCTTCTATTACCTGTGAATGCTATTATATGCTTATTAGATTGTTAATTTTCAAACAATGTTTTTAGCGTTTTTGAAAAAAGCAATTTTTGTTTTTAAGTCGCTATATATTATTTTTAGAACTATTTTCATTCTATATTATACTTTTTTTTGCTGTATATTTTAATATTATTACACTGCTTATAGCTCTCTGGGATATAAAATAAAAATATATTTAAAAAAATGGTCTTCTTATTTTCGTACAAATTGCATGAATTTTAGCAATTTATGACTCAACTGTTACGTAAGCGCAACATGTTAAAAATTAAATAAACATAGTCGGGGCAACACCGTTGTATGGATAAAATATCATGTAACGAGTGACTAACATGGGGGCAGTCATGTAGTCTTAGGTATAGGTTATAACCTAAATTAAAACTTATAAGATTTAATTTGTAAGTCTCATTATAAGACACATATAAGTAACTTTCGTAGTTTTCCTGAAACCCCCGGTTGCCACCCTTCGTGATTCGGTCGTATTCAAGTACACAGTTTTGAAATTAAATGTTTTTTTATTAAAATTATTATATGTAGGAATGTCAAGATTTTTTGAATATATTTTATTTTGGCCTTTGAGTACTCTACTAAGTTTCATAAGTAAAATTAAGCTAATGTGAAATGTTTTTTGTTATTTACGAAAACATGTTGGAACTCTTAATCGACATTATTCATATTATGTTCAATTGTCATAAAAAATTCGTCTTCATTTTATTTGATAAGTTTAAGTAAAATAAAATAAGACTATAATAGTTATTCTGTTGAAACATTGTAGACATCAAAAATGTGCAAAAAAATATAAAGTATTATATTATTTACTTTTGTAATTTCTTTAATTGTTTTTATTTATATAGTAATTAAAAGACAAGGTTTCTTTTCAAAATCATATGTATTTCTTATAACCATGATCAAACTACCTACACCTAGAGGCCATAGCATAACAATTATGACAAGTGTTATACATCAACATAAGAATTGTCAAAGTCAACACTCTAGTCTCAAATTAGACAATTCTAGCGGTTAAATATTAAGTTAGTAACTGTTTAATTAAAAAAACGTTTTTTAAAACTAAATAAAACATATTTTCATAGTGGTTAAGTATTAACATTGTCCACTAATGACTTTATGTGTCATTTATTTTTCACCTAAATAAAATGGATACGGAAGACATTGAGTTAAGTGAAGAAGAGGAAGAAATAACTGCTGAAACCGTTTTAAAAACCCTTCAAATAGCCTGGCAAAATGAAAGATTAGCTCCGGAAATTCTACCTCACCGTAACGACATGGTCGAATGTATGCTGGGACAAATACAACACATGGAACGCAATATTAATAAACTCCCCAAGACTGATCTTCGTGCTTCCATTCATCAAATGGAACTAAACCGAATTAAATACATAATATGCAATTATTTAAAAACTAGGTTAGATAAAATAGAAAAATACTGTATATCAATAGTCAATGATGAGAAACAGAGGATTGAAAGCGGGAGTAATTACTTAACAGTCTCGGAATTCAGATATGCTCAAGAATATTTGTTAAATATGGAAAATCATTTAAAGAGTACAGTATTAAACCATGTTCCAGGAAATATGCAATCTTTTGAAATGAATAAAATGGCTATTTATCCAAACTTGCAATCACATATATTTTTAAAAGCAAATGATACCATAAATGGTATTATTTTAGAAGACTTGTTGGGTGATCATGATGAAGAAATAGATTTGGAAGGTGGGCGATTGTTAAAGAAATTAAGGATTTCTATTGTTATTTATATCTTTTTTCAAACCCCAATTATTATTTCTGCAAGTTTTCACTTTTTAACACATATAAATTCTATCATATTTTTGCATATTATTATAAAGTAATCTTAATATACATTATCTTAACATATTTCTAAAATCATGAGTAATCAAAAGACTAAAACTTTTCAAATTTACTAATGATTGTTAATGTAAAAAATTAACTCATTTTTCAGAGGGTTCACAACACATTCTTCAATACAAGCCCGTAGCAGAACTGGTGAAAAATGGTAAAGTTCAATTAGTTTGAAAACAAGAAGAACAGTTTAAGAGGAATATTTTCTATGTAATATTCAGAGTTACAAAAGATATTAAGTAATGCAGTGAATTTATAAAACACTTTACTCATCTCTTCATATTTGCCATAAAATATTTACAGGGCCCATTAAAAGGTATAAAATTTTTAAACCATTACTGATTCAGATAAAATCATTCGGTAATACAAAAGTTTCGTTATTTACATTAAATATTTTTATAGTTTTTCACTCGTTTCATTTAACAATATAAATATTGAACATATTTTGTACTCTATAACTTATAATAAAGGGTTGTTTATTGCATAATTGTTTGTTTGTATCTACAATATGGAATTTACTGATGTGGTTGGTAATTACATAGTTCTATTGCATTGTATGACTAAAACTGGAAGTTGTATATATAAAAATATCATACAATTAAGCCACTATCTAATATTCTGCATACAATAAGAAGGACTGTTCCTTTTAGGTTTTATTATATGATTAGGTACCCACCCTGGCTTTGCATGGGTACTTTACAAAAAATATAAATTAGCCTATGTTGAGTAAAATGCGTTGAGTACTCACTTTTTGAGTTAAATCAAAACAAACAAAATTTTCCACATCTTTATTAAATATATTTTAAGTTTGAACTAAGAAAAACTATATTTTTTATGTTAATAATCGTTTTTTAATATTTGGGCGACTTCATTTTATAAAATGTATTGATGAGTGGTTAAATAATTGTAGTGTAATATCTGTTTATATCAAGAGTACCGAAACATCCTTAATCCTTTCCACTTTCTTCTAATTAATAATTTCCTATGATTCCATCAACAAGCTATCTCGAGATTTGGTTTGACTGTTGGAAACCCTTTAATGAATACATTGAATAAAAAATGTATTTTGCATTAGATTATAGGATCATTCACATTTATTTTTCTAAAAATTTGAGTCAAGCCACCTATTAAATAATTTGTTGACTTTTTTCATCATTTTGCATATTACCTCATTTCTGATTTATCCCATAGCAATATTCCAAGCATAGCTCTCTTCGTTTAATAGTGTCAATCCAATAAATCTAGAATAAATTTTAAAGTTACTTGCATTCAATTAATTAGGGTAATACTTGCAAAATTAATTAAACATATTTTTTAATACAAAAAAGGCACAGTGTTACCAGTTCTATTTTATATATTTGTATATAGAGATAATATCTATTATTATTATTATATCTTAATATGGGATTATAATTTGAAAATTATTGGATTTTTTCTTTACATAATTTTCATATTAATTATAGGAAAATTGTTCTCAAACTTGGTATGGGTAGTAAATAGTAATACAAACTGTATGTTATAATACCTTATTTATTTAACAATTATTGTCTTTGACATGTATAGAGAATTAACAAATAAAAATATTCGAAAATCTTATAAATAAAAGTTCAATTTAAAAATAAATCATCACATTTAGTAATATAGAACATTTTGTGTATTCATACTGTAAATGCGTATGTGATATATGAATATGTGATATATTTTATATAATATATTTAATATAATACAATAAATATCGGCGTAGCAAGCTCTCGTAATGACTCGCTCTAGCTAAGTATAATATTAAGTATAATGTTCCCAGATTTAGAATATTTTATATCTTCAGTAAGCATTGCTCTCATACTACAGCCAATAAACATAATAATGTAAGCTTACATGTTTGCATGTAATTTAAGTATAAATATAATATAATGCATGACATTCTCACTTGGTCCATTTTATATAGTTTGTGATAAAAAAATTAAATCATGTGATTATTTAAATTTCGAACAATGTTCAATGTTTTTTTTTTTTCAAATATTTAAGTACTTGGTATGGAAATAAGTACTTGTAAAGATTCTTTAAGCCAGTGTTGCCATTAAATAAGTTGTGTATTGTGAATTATCTATCTATAAGGCAGGTTGCTCATCGGCGTCGACATATTTAATATGTGCTAAATAGGCTTTGTGGGCAAGTTCTCGAAGACTCTGCTCTGAGGCACTCCCGAGTTGTTTCACCATACGAGTGAAGTATCCGTCATCTTTTTGTAACAACTCGTGAGGATGGCCACACTCCATAATTTCTCCAGCCTCCATCACCTGAAATTAAAAAAAAAATCATATAGATTGTTGACTTCTTAATGTAAACTTAAGTGCTTATTTATTGCAATATAAATTTCTTTCATAAATAACTGTTGTAAATAATAAAAGTATAATAACGAATGTTCTGGCAATGAAGTTGTATTGAAACACTGTAATTTCAAATTCATATTTTCATAAATTTAAATATATTTATAAGAGTGGTAATAGAATGTGTCCATAAAATATTAAGTTCATTTGTTGATATATCATTTGTGGTTGAACTGTTTTCATTAACTTACAATAACTCGGTCGGAATCAGCAACAGTGTGGAGGCGATGCGCCACAGTCAGTACGGTACATTCAGAAAAATGTTTCCGAATAGACTTCTGTATAAGAGCATCAGTGCTGGAAATTAAAGAATAATTTGAAATGGTTTATTTTTAGCCACAAAGCGCTATACTTAGAACAGAATAAAATGTAAGACATTAGCATATTTACGAACTATTTTAAATAATGCCTTAGTTACGTATTCTCATTAAGATATGTCAGAGAAGTATAATTAGGTAACACATAATATTTCTATGTTAATAAATTCAATAATAAACATTGAAAGAAGAATAAAATTTCGTGTCAAATTCGTTATACAATAACGCTAATGATGAAATTATTTGACTTCATCGAAAGTTCAATGAACTCATTAAGGTGAATGAATTCACTTTCCTAATTATACTACTACTAAAAGTTGAAGAATTTCGTTTATTTGGTTGAATCGCTTTAGCTCCGTAGCTAGAGCCAGTGTACGTATTGATTTTATTGTCTTGAATGGTTCATTTATTGAAAGGGACTAAAAGCATAATGACGTCACACTATCACTAATAGAAACGCAACATTTATATAAAAAGGGGACGAAAACGGGAATTATAACTAGAAATACAACGCATAACTTATAAACGCGTGAGAATCAAAGGGCAGTGTAAGTGAGTGTTAAAATTTTAACATTGAAGAATGAAGAACATAAACTTAATAAAACATATATAATATGTACTTTACAATACATCCCTACTCATATTATAAATGCGAAAGTAACTCTGTCTGTCTGTCTGTTACGCTTTCACGTCTAAACCACTGAACTGATTTTAATGAAATTTACTACAGACATACAGTTGACCTTGAGAAAGAACATAGGATAGTTTTTATCCCAGACTTTTGAAAGGTTCTCTTAGAAATGCGATATAACCGAACTCCAAACGAGCGAAGCTGCGGGCGCAACGCTAGTATTCTATATGTAAATGTTTGTTACTTGGTCAAGAATTTTATTCTAAACATTTTATCAAATATCTTATAATTAAATGAATAGTATTCATTTTATATTACAAACATTAATATAAAGGTGTGAAGCGGCAGAGCTAGTGAAACACTTGTTTATTGACGACATCACTGCCATTGCTCTTATCATAGGTCAGTGAACCAACGTTTACAAAAGCTGTTGGCGTTTATTATAGCTATTGTTATATTAAATTTGTTGAGATACACTTAGGTATTGTCATGTTAATCATTACATATTTAGAATATATTTTTAGTCTCGTATATAGTATTTTTATACTAAGTAAATGTTAAGTTTACGATCATTATACAAAACATAGTTTGGTTGCTAACCATTTTAACCAATGTAACTATTGTTGTAACCGAAAAGTGAAATTAAAAATCCTGAAATTGAAACCGAAAATACTAAGTATGTAGTGTGTGTGACGTTAAAAATTTATGGTATAGTCCCGATACCGATGAAATACAATAAGTGATTTATAATGTATATAATATACCTAATAGATTTGTGATAGCGTTTATTATACCAAATTAAAGATGAATTATTATTGTTTTTTTAAAATTTAGTTACATATTGGCATCGTTTTTCTACTGTCAATAAAATATTGTCAGACTCTGTTTGTGTGTGTACACATACGTGAACGCGTGCGTATGATACGTACACAACTATACGTGTGTGTGTGTGTGTGTGTGTGTATATATAAACGTACTTGGGGTCAACATTAGCGGTAGCCTCATCCAGCACGAGCAGCTTGTTCCTCGCGAGAGCAGCTCGCGCCAGACACAGCAGCTGTCTCTGTCCAGCGCTGAAGTTCACACCACCGGACTCCACCTCCGCTGATAATGAGGATACACTATGCTTCAACTCCACCTTCAATAACATGACGATTAATAAGATTTAAAGAATCCTCATTTATTGCTTTCACCTGCATATATTTATTAAAGTTACCACTGATTGTATCCTATATTTTTTATATCGTATGCAAAAACAAGGACAACATTATTTTAATAAAATGAACAAGTCTTGTAAACTACCATAAAAATTAGGAGAGTAGATCGTGTCTGACAGAAGTAATTTTGTATCTCACTCTTTCCTATAGACATTAAAAAAAGACCATATGTTTCTACAATAGATGTGTAATAGGTGTTAATTATAAATAATATTCTATTCAATAAATCATTGCCAAATAATGATTTTTTATAGTGCTTTTTTTTTGTATACAACTTCTTACCTGTTCTAAAGCATTCCAGATATCGGCATCCGTATATTTATCAAAGGGATCCAAGTTGTAACGTAAACTGGCCGAAAATAGAACCGGCTCTTGTGGAATAATTGCGATCTTCGACCTTAGTTCCTGTTATATACAAAACATAAAATTATTTAAATTATTCTATATAAGTAAAGGTCAACCTTGATATATTATAAATACATTTTAATATGTTTAATTTGACCGACCTTGAGTGCTATCTGTCCCGTTTCTACGTCATCAATGTACACATTTCCATCGATCGGCGCTAAACGGAAGAGTGCTGATATGAGTGACGACTTGCCTGCACCGGTACGACCAACTACACCGACCTGGAAAGTTAAATAACTCATAAACTAAGGAAAAAAAACAATTTGTGGAACCAAAACGTCTTATTACTTATAAACGATCTCGTACAGAAAATCTTGAAATGTTATGCATATCAGGAAGTTTCAAAGCTATACGACATTTACAAAATTTTATTGCTGTGGATAAAATAAGGAAGTATGTAGTAGTTTACATTTTAAATATTCTTTATTTCAGTGACAAAGTCTTCGCCACCTATCGTATGTAACGTTACAACTAGTCAAGTATAAAATTTAAAACGAAGAACGAAGCTGACAATATTCGAATTTAATTTCCAATTTTCAAGCAGCAGTTTAAATATATTTTATTTGACGAATATAATTTAAACGATGGCATATACAACGCCTTTTTACTATGTCTAACGTATATTAGAATTTGTCATTGTACATACTGTTTACTTTAACTATTTTATTGCAAATACAATGTCACTGCGTTTTTTTTAATAAATAAAAATCTAAAATTTTCAAATAAATACTTGTCTATAATATAAAGATCAGTTTAAATTCGTAATGGTTTAATGAATTTCACCCTTTCTATATTCACATATGTAGATTAATTTATGTACATACATTTTATTATTTTGTCCAACAATATTTCTAATGAATGCATCTTTTCAAAATCAACAACCAGAAAGACAAGTTGAACTCGATAAGTAAAATTATGGTAAGTTATTCTTTGCAGGTATTAATTCATTTATCACCTTTTTCATATTTTTATTAATACTTGTTAAAGTTAGTATTTCATTGAAGTAATTTTGCTAGATACAGTTTGAAAACTATTTACTAAAGAAAATAAAAAGTTTAGAATAAATTGAAAGCAATTAAAAACATTAATCAATCTTTTTTAGGATAAAAATTAAAAACGTTTTTCTAAGACCATTGTTAAATGAACAACCTCATTAATTAACCTTAAAATAGAAACAGGTAAAACGCGGTGAAAAGCAATTAATAATTATAAATATTACTTTCTGAGATTTGAATTATTGGCTTAGATTCAACAATTAAGAATTATATATAGATTTTTTGTATTTTTGTAAAACGTTATACATGTTCTTATAACATAAACCTAGTCTAATAATTTCAGCTACAAAACATTTGTAATTATTAATTGCTTTACAACGTATTTTACATATTTTTATATTTTAAGGTTAATTAATTAGGTTATTTGTTTAACAATGGTCTTAGGAAAACGTTTTTAATTTTCATCCTGAAATAGATTGTTAAATGTTTTTAATTACTTTCAATTTGACCTCTTTTTTATCCTCTAAGGAAATTATTTTTTAAACTGGGTCTTGCAAGTTTATTTATCACGGGCAATTTGTGTAATATGTCCGTGTACAAATTTTCGAAGGTAGATTGCAAATTGTCATTTTATAAAATGTTTTATGACATAAGTAGCGCATTTTATAGTTTGCCAAGGCATTTTTTCGTTTTAAGCTAGGTCCATACTTATAAAACGTCGAACCCGTTGTAAAAGAAAATATTACACAAATTGCCTGCGATATAGATCGTATCAGTAATATTAAATTAAGATGTAAAGTTACTTGAAAGGATTCTCGAATTATTTTTAAAACCTAAATAAAAACATCTAATATATTTACTGATAGTAAAGATATGATTTAAAGTACTAAACCCATTTCACTGTAATCTAAAACTAATTATACTTATCGGTTGCACTATTAATAGATTTACGATTCAAAATGTAATTTACTCTTGGATACTGAAGAAAAGTTATGGAACATATTATGTCAGATAATGCAGATATCGCAATATTTTCTTTATATCATTTAATCTGCAATTCATAACTACAAGATTATAGGTTGTTCGATTTAATAACCAATTAATGAGATGACTTTGTATATTTAAATGTAAGTGGCTTATAAATGATAATAACTATTCATAATCATTATCGCTATAATGGTAATTTCTGATATAAACGTATTTATCATATAGACATATTAACTTGTTTTTATATGGAGAAATTCAAGAAAATGGAATTCTTTTCATTCTACATATTTTCAGTTAATTAATTGTCAGACGTAAGACATACTATATACACAGATAAATTCGATAATTTTTTTAAAGTTTTTTATAGAAACAAATCCAAACCTTCCATCCACTCTCGATGACTATGTTCAAGTTTTTAAGTACGGGCTCTGCTTCTCTATCATATCTGAGATATAAATCTTTGAACACCAGCTTGGCGCGCTGAGGCCAATCCTTAGGTGGTGAGGGACCATCCGTCACTTCTTGGGGCAGTTTCGTGAACTGCAACACTCGTTCGACACTCGTCATCTGAGATATGACCTCAGTGGTCTGCTTTATACCATACTGAACCATGTTCACCAATATAAGACCTTGACTGATAGCCAGACCGACGTTACCAGACCTTGTTGTACCTAAGAAATATCTAAATCAGATTCATATTCTTTTTTTTTTTTTTTTTTTTTATGGGAAAAGGGGGCAACTGAGCAGACGGCCTACTTGATGATAGGTAGTTACCGTCGCCCATGGACATCCGCAACGCAGATTTGCGGATGTGTTGCCGCCCTTGATTGGGGAAAAGGTGGGAAAGGGAGGGAAAGGAGAGGTTGGGAAAAGGGAAAGGGCAACCGGCTCTCTCACTCACCGGACGAAACGCAGCCTTTAAAGACTACTTTACGCCGATTTTCTGTGAGAGGGTGGTACTTCCCCGGTCGAGCCAGCCCATGTTCGAGCTGTAGTAAATTGACCACAGCTAGGCTCTACCACCACAATATTCAAAATTTTATTAATATAATTCATATATTGCATACCGTCGTCCATTAAGAGGAATGTGTAAGCGACGACTATTACATAACATGCCGAAATGAGACTCAGCCATATCGCGAACGTTGTATTTGTGATAAGACTTAAGTACCTGCAAGTAATGTGTTATTAAAACAGTTTGAATTGAAAACTATATTTAGTATCGGATGATTTATTGTTTATACGCACCAAGCCGCGGTATGTATGTCTTGTTTGTCGTCAAACTGAACTTTTAAAATGTGTACGGCGTCGCAAGCACGAATAGTCGCTAAACCAGACATGCTGGCTGAGACATGGGAAAATACTGGACTGCGAGATACACCTTCAACTCTGTGATTAAAAAATACATCGGATATATATGTATATGTATATAACAGAAAATTGTGTTAGTTGAACTATTTATAAGTCAAGAACGGCTGAAGGGATTAAGGTTAAAAATTGGCGGGGAGATAGCTTAGAACCAGGAGACGGATATAGGATATTTAATTCTTTTCAATAGAAAAATACTTTATAAATTCCAATATCTGCTTATTATTGGCCTCTAAGGAGGAATAGAGTTCGTCCGGTCAGCTATACATATATAATTGCCGAAGTTAACGCGGACGAAGTTGCGGGCAAAAACTAGTAACCAATATATAAATATTTGGACAAAACATTGGCCGATCCCGAATTGTCGTATAACTACTAATTAAAAATGTTTAAAAAATAATAAACTGTACATATGAGTATTCATACAGTTTATTTTTAACCGAACTCATTTGTTTGTTTTGTTAAAGCGAGTGGAAATAAGAGAAACATTTGACAATTGGAACAACAAACTATTTTAAAAACCCGGCGTCAATGTATTATGTAGTCGACCTAATTCCTTGTACAACGCACTCCAACCATATGAATGATAGTAAACTCGATAGTAATGTTATTTATTTTAAGCTTACATTCGATTAAATTGTACAGAACACGAGCCCCATTGTAAAGCGTTAATAATGTTAGTTTTGCTCAACTGATAATAGAAGCAAAGTCAATATTATGTTATACATAACTTGTGTGAAATTGTATGTCATTAGTAACACAATGTTGTCTAGTAATATAAAGTAAGCCAAACGTATACCGATTATCAAAATCAGATTATGTTAACATTTATGTTTTAATTTTATTTCGCTATGATTATATCATGGATAAATTAATTAATAAATTAATATTTTCTAGTGATGTTCCGGATATCCGTATCCGTATCCGTATTCGCGGATATCCGAGGTAAAAAAGAAATCCGTATCCGTATCTGTGTCCGTTACTTTTCGAGCGGATATTTTACGGATCATCATCATCATCAGGTCTGTTTTTTGTCTTCGGATCGAATTTTACGGATCTTTTCAGGTGATTAGGTAGAATTAAAAAACTAATAAATTCCATTCACACTATTTTTATTTAATTCAATATTTGGCACCTTTATATTGCAAACATTGAGATAGATAGATCTTTATAATGAAAGAGCAAATTAACATCACTTTTATGATAATGAAATAACTAAAATATAAGTAATTTTTTCTTATACACTTTTAATGAGATCAATATTATATGATATCAAGTTTTAACGTCATTTTATGACAATGAAAAAACTAAAATTGAAATCTACTTTTTCATACAATTACGGGAATATTATAGCAAGCTATATATAACATCATGGTCACTTTTATGTCAATGAAAAAAGAAACTAAAACGTAAACCTCTTTTTTATAATTATGAATCAATACAGTAGAAAGTTATAAAATCACTTTGAGATAATGAGGAAACCGAAAATATATTGTAATTAAATGATAATTCTAAATGAATACTGCGCGTCACATAAAATTTAAATATTAGTTTACACGAGTAATGACAAAATGTCAGGCAAAATTAGAAGAGCTCAAAAAAATAATTAATCATAATTGAAATTAAGCAATGGTAAATTGTATTTCAAAAAAAGCAACTTCGCAGCTTTGTCCCCCAAAAGTCTGTTACGATGAGGATCATAAACAATTGTTCACTTGGAACGCTTGTTGCAGGTGATGATAAATATGTGCGAGCAATGTGACTGAGACATCCAAACCTTTTACTGTTAATCTGCCAATACTTTAACTGGTCTTGATCTCTTGGTAATCTTTTTTCTGACATATATTCTGTGAGCAATATATGTCAGAAAAAAGATTTTCATAGGTGGTAGAGCCTAGCTGTAGTTAAGTTACTACAGCTCGAACATGGGCTGGCTCGACCGGGGAGGTACCACCCTCTCACAGAAGATCGGCGTGAAGTAGTCAGTAATGACTGCGTTTCGTCCGATGAGTGAGAGAGCCGGTTGCCCTTTCCCTTTTCCCAACCTTTCCTTGTATTTCCTTATTCCCACCCTTCCCTATCCTTAAAAAGAAAAGGTTGGCAACGCGTCCGCAACAAATATGTTGCGGATGTCCATGGGCGGCGGTAACCACCTTCCATCAAGTGGGCCGTCTGTTCGTTTGCCACCTATAACATAAAAAAAAAAAAAAAGCAAGTTAGCTTTTGTATCTGACATTTGATTTTCGGATTGCTCATCATCATCATCACTTTCTAACATATTAGCAATAGATACCTCTAAATCTAAACTCTGGGAATGTTCTTTTCTAATAGTAGGTTTAACCCCAGTACTTGTTGTAGCTGAGAGATTTTCTTCAGTTTTTAAATCTGCACATAATTTTTCTTTTATTTGTTTTATGAGAATATCACTGAAGAATTTATTTTTGTACCGTGGGTCTAAAAATGTTGATATTTGAAACAAAATATTTTTATCAATTTCAGAAAAACGATAATTTAATTCATTCTTCAAAGCACATATAAAATCCACAACAGAGGGTACACTGATATTGAGACTTTCCTGGATCTCATCATTTATTTTATTCAATGCTCGTGTTAGAGGAATAACGTCGGATATACATGAGTTCTGAGAGCTCAATGTTTTGGTTACGTCGTCTAGAGGCTTCAGCACTTTTACTAAGTCTTGAATTAAAGTCCAGTCATCAGCATTAAATTGTTCTATTTTGTTATTCGAAGCATAAAGCGACAGGGAATCTTTGATGCAATCAAGTCTTTCTAACATGTGATAGCTGGAATTCCAGCGTGTCGGTGAGTCTTGCAAAACTTTTAAAACTTTTTGATTGAGTCGAACCTGTATTTTTTCTAATTCTTGCTTTGCCATTGTGGAATGGTTAAAATGTCCTGCAATTTTCCTACATTTTCCGAGTAGCACGGAGATTGTATCAACGTTTTTGATAGCCTCTTTAACCACCAAATGTAACTGATGTGCTGTACAGTCGACATTATGTATTTCAGACAAAGAACAGGCGCGTTTCATATTGGATCCCCCATCTCGTACCATACAGTGCACATTTTGTTTCTGAATTCCCCATTCTTTTAACATACCTTGAAATACTACTGAAATATAATCTCCGGTGTGACGTTCTTCAAGAACTTCTGCTTTCAAAACGATATTTTTTCGTTGAAAGTCTGCGGTAATGCCATGACATGTTAAAGATAATAATGACACTCCTGATGACGAATCTGACCAGATATCTGCTGTGAAGGAAACTTTATCAAAATCTTGTTGTAACATGTTTTTTATTTTTGATGACACTTTTTCGAAAAGCTCGCTGCAAACTAGTTCCGTAAAATATTTTCTGCCTTTGAGAACATAGTTTGGAACAATATGATCTATCAATCGTCGAAACCCTAATTGTTCTACATGTTGAAAGGGCAAATCTGATAAAGCCAACATTTCAGCAATCAAATAGTCGATTTTGATTGACTTGGGGTTTGTATTATCCCACATTCTAGTTTTTTCCATATATTCGTCAAAAAAAGTTTGTTTAAATTCTCTTTTTACCGTTTGCAAAGATGTTCCCGGCCGTGGTGGTTCGTCGGTACTCTTCTTAATAGCGTCTTCTTTCAAAAACAAATCATATTCTTCGGAATGTTTTCGTTGTAAATGATTTTTTAAAGAAGTCGTGCCTTTACCCTTACGGGAATATTTTCCATCACAAATTTTGCACTTCGCACATTCATCATTTACTAACACGAAATATTTCCAAATTGCACTGGAAAACTTCTTAGTAGACATTATTTATAATTTGTATCAAAATAATACACAACCGTTATGAACGCGCCACAATGTCACACTAAACCGTAACCAAAACAATAAATACTATCCGCGCAATGCAAGTCAAAACATGTCCTGCGTGCCGTTGCGGCAAGCGTACCGTCAACTATCATTTCAAGGTCGCGAGCGCTGACACTAATCGAATAAGAAAATAAAGATCCGTATCCGTATCCGTATCCGCGGATCTTGACACTAAATATCCGTGTTCAGATCCGTATTCGCGGATATACATTTTTAGCGATCCGGCACATCACTAATATTTTCACTCAGATGCTTTTTTTATGTAAACTGTATAAATAAAGAAAAGTTATTATGAAAAAAAAAAATTCTTAATATCATATTTAATGAGATTTTACCGTATTTATTTATTTCCTTTTATTCATTTTTAACTATTAAATCGGTGTAATCGTCTTCGCAATATATGCACGTTTATAAGAGTGGACGTTGGCTTGACGTCGTGCAGGATAACATGCGTGCCAATGGACTTAATAAGAAGGATGCCGAAAACCGGGTAAAATGGAGGAAACTTAGTAGGAAAGCGGACCTTGGGTTCTCCTTGGACGGGACGAACGACCGGGATAGGCACTAAGTTGATGATGATGATTAGAGAATTCATAATGTAGTGCAATCATTCATTCTTATTCAGTGTAAGAAGATTCTTGTTCATAGAGCAAAGCAATCTGTCTTGTATAATATTTTCTATGTAATTCTAAAGTCATATCATTTTATACTAAAATTGCCTTAAAATTAATTAGCACAAAACAAACGTAAATTACTTTTACATATAATTATCGGAGACTAATTCGGATTCATCTATAATGGCATTAGCATTAGGAGATATTTCATAGTATGTAACTTATATGGATAATTTTTAATTATTTTTCATCGTAGTTACTCCGTTTGCAACAAAATACATAATTTCATATATAAAATTGTAGTTTAATGTTAAAGTTATAAAATAATGTATCTACTATTGTTCTTAAATGATGGTAAAAAAACAGTGATGGTAACAAATAAATACAATTTTATGAGACGTTTATTAATCGTGAATTGTATAAGTATTTTCACGCTTGAAATGTTTAAAGTTAAAATACATATATATATCGTTTTGTGTATATTAATTTTTAGAATTTATGAAGATATAAACATAAGATTTTTAAGGATTAGGATTTTCGAGACAAAATATTTAAATATATTATAGTCTTCAAAAAATGCGATATTTATATGAGATTTCGCGACTTTATTCAATTATATTACGACTGTAATGCTTACAAAAATGTCTGTAGATAAGAATTCTTTATCAGACATTGTATATAAAGGTCAAAATCTCGTATTTTTATTTTTAAACTTGTTCCGTTTTGCGTATTCATTGGAATTCAGAAAGTAAACATTTAGATAAAACCATATAAAGATATATAAGTATTCGTGGAATCTTATTACAGGAATATCGGCATGAAAAATCAAAAATCTTAACAAGGAAGTTAAATTCCAAAATAATTATGTTTTATAATATGTTTATTAATAAGAATATTAGTGAAAAGAACTCTTAAGACTCTTCATTAAGACATATATATTGATATTATATATACTTACCGTTTTATTGCCTGTGCTGTGGAAAGATATATGACTGTCCATATATACATGAATATACCGCAGACGAGGGTGGTCAGCATCATGTAGGGGCTCACGATAGCGACCATCACCAGGATACCAGTCATCACCATGAACATCTGCATAGACGAACGAGCCGATCAAATAACAAGTACATACAAACGCACACACACATACACACGCGCACACACTAATGTTTATATTTCATAGATCTATACATTAATGACCAAGTTGACATGACATGCTTTTATGATATATTGTAACTTTTCGCTTTTAATTTGTGTTGTTTTTATTAATTAGTGTTTTTTTTGTAGATGTAATTTAATTAGATTAAGGTGTTGTTGTTAAAAACTTTTTAGACAATGCTGTGAACACCTGTAATAGGTGTACATATGAAGACCTTTACTTTTGGCTATATTTTTTGTGTAAATGTTGCATATGTGTACTGTTGGTGTTCCTAAGTAAATAAATAAATAAATAAATATATTCCATTGACTGTATAAATTACTCCCTTGCTAACTTTAGTGTAGTTCTATATATATAAGTACGAATATAATATATACGTATATCCTCAAAAATCTTTGCGTACATTTTATTATTTGAAATATTATATGGTCGTATGTCTCAAAAAATTTTTTTCCATAGATATTTAAGGTTAATATAAAATTTTATTCCATAGTGACCAAAATTTATTTGCGATCCATTCAAACCGTAACGTAAGGTCTTTGACCTTTATAATATCATACCTGAATGCTGTCCAAATACATTTTGGGTAATATCTCGTCAACGACCCCCATGTCCTTAGAGAACCTGTTCAGGATACGACCCGAGGGATTCGTGTCGAAGAAACGCATCGTAGCTGATAGTATATTACTGAACATCTGATTGTGAAGCTTTATGGAACTCTTCATACACACGTACAGGAATAATATGGATCTAAAATGTTATATAAATATTTATATATGTGTTATAAGCTGATACATCATGAAAGGGAAGGTTTAGCAAATGGTATTGGTCAGTTTTTGAAACATTACAGGAAAGCGAACTATTCAGGACGGTAGTAACTTAATATATGGATTCTACGTTATTGATTGAGATACGTGTATGTAGTGTGACAAAGACTTGGACTATGTATACCTACAGATCTATGTATACCTATAGGACTGAAAGTCAAGTGAGCTATTTATTTAATTATTATTAGAATTAACTGATAAAATATATAGCGATGTCTTATATTTTAAGACATTCATTATACGAATATAACTTTGAATGAAAATAAGAATCAAAAATTTTATATGTACAAATAAAAAGTAATATCTCACAAAACGTATTATATTAAACATTAATAAACGACAAATTATTATATAATAAAATACTTATAAATCTAAACCTAAATGGAAATCATTTCATTATTGTATGAAATACTTTTAATGCTTATAGAATTATGATTTAAATGTACATGGATCTTTAAAAATAGAGATACCATCTGTATAAATGTTTAACATTCGTAAATAGCCCATTTGTTTGTCAAGGTCGAGTAATTGTTAATAGAATAGACAGTTCAAATGAAGTTTGTTTAATACTTTAAACAAATCAATACTTATAAATTTGTTTTACATAGTTTTATTATATTTATATAAAATTTCTGTAGTATTTTTAATCTATTTTAGTTTATTTGTTTTTTTTTTTAATTATAAGTAAACTTGACTGAAATTTTCACTTCTTTCCGTTTTACCAGTTATACATGAAATTTTAGCACAAATTTTCTAATAGTATTATACTATCAAAAAAAAAGAAGTCTAAAACACCTTTAAGGAGCGAAATACTTATGAGCGAATGAAGATGTCAAGTAAAGTTATTGTTCTAAAATATAAATTATCGTACGACTGAAGAAAAGTATACTAATACTGAGAATTAGTAATATCGTTAATCTGGGTATATATATCAGCAATAACTAACTTCATACTAAGATAACAACTTCTTGTGTAACAATTCGCGCAAAATTTCTCTACATCTAAAAGTATGAAGTCATAAATCATAGATTTATAAACAAGTTCTTTATAATAAATTAATGTTATGACGTGTTTGTTTCAAGATTTTTTAAACATAATAAAAGTAGTGTACTTCCAAACTGTTGAATGATAGTATATGTGTATAAATATACACATATCTAGGTGTGTCTATAATATTGAACATATATTTACCTTCCAGTAGTGAGTAAAATGCATCCCAATATAGCGGCGCCCCATATGTATATAAAGAATAAGTGGTGCACCGGCTCCTCGCTTACTATATCCTGAATAGTTAAAGCGGTTTTAACGATGGTACCGATCACTGATAGATTCGTGGTTGAAGAGTACATTGGGGCTTCAGTGACTAGTGAAGCATTCTGCACGGCATCTGATGCATTTGTCAATTCAGCAGCTAGAGGTTCTGGCGAATAATCGTTTAATTTCCTTTCTTCCACCGTGTTCATCCTGGAATAGAAGTAAGTTCAAGACTTGTCTAAATCTCGTGATATATGGGAAATGATGGCAAATTACCAGTGTGTGAGCCAGAGATCGCTGACTGAAGTGATGATTTGAGCCAGTAGTATGGATATGATGGTTGTCAATAATAGAAACCAGTTGGCGCCAGCACGGAAGTACTTCATGTAGACGGAACTGGACACGCGACCTGTCAAATCGTGATTTGAATTTGAATTTCATATTATATCCCACAAGTATCACAATTTTCGTCTCTCGCCCGTACATCACTTTAATTCACTAATATTATTAACATAACAATGTTTCAGTTGCGACAAACAAATTTTCCGAGTTCGTTAAACGCTTACGTATAGTAAGAAATAAGTTTAAAACTTTAGTTGTTTTTTAAGGTCGTTCACTTTTATGATTTCCATTCAGTATCTCTTCTTGTATACAAAGAGTTGATGTATGAATAAATAAATTATATTTTTATCTCAAAAACCATCTGTTTAAGTTGACACAAGATAATAAGCGTGTCTGTAACTTTGTATGAATCTTGAGTTCTTTGCCACTACGGCCGCGGCATCAGAAAAAACATCATAGTTGTTCTCCACTAGGGCTACTAAATCATAACTGAAGTTCATGATTTCACGCGAATAGTTTTAGGATCGGAGTTGAGATCGTGATTTGGATCGGGATAAAAGTAAATAAAAATAAGTGCGGCCACTGAAGGTGAACAACTCTTCATGTTCTATCCATGTGATTTTGGAATTGGGATCAGCATTAAAGCTTACGTAAAGACGTAGGTTACCGTAGACGTAAAGACGTATACATGATATTTCGCTATACCAAAATTCACCAAAATTGGTTCAGCTGTTTAAGGCATGAAATCATAACAGACAGACAGAGAGAGTTACTTTCGCATTTATTATATTAGTAAGGACACTATTCTAAGATCTTAACTGAATTAAGATTGAAATTAGGTATTTTATGTTGATTAAAGTCTTTTTTAAATACATAATTAATTAATTAGTACATACCGATGCTAAGTTTCTTATGCTCGTGAAAAATTGTAATGGAAAGGTCCAATTGGGATTAAATAAAAGTATTTTACTTCTATATGAATGCCCTTGATATCACAGTGTTTAATGTGAATCCCTACTTATATTATAAATGTGAAAGTAACTCTGTCTGTCTGTCTGTTACGCTTTCACGCCGAAACGACTGAACTGATTTTAATGAAATTTGGTATAGATTTAGAGTTGACCTTGAGAAAGAACATAGGATAGTTTTTATCCCAGACTTTTGAAAGCTTCTCTTAGAAACGCGATATAACCGAACTCCACGCGGGCGAAGCTGCGGGCGGAAAGCTAGTATATTATAAAGTTGCACAATTTGTTTGTTTGTACGCGATAATCACGGAAACCACTGGTGTCATTTGAAAAATCCTTTCAGTGTTGAGTTGTTTCTTAAGATTGATAATATAGGCCGTACTCCATCTTTAGAAGGAATAGTAAATAGCTTTTTGAACGATCTTAACAAGGTAGATAGCCAACTGATAAGTAACGTCAAAAAAGCGTGGATCTACGAGAATTACTTAACTTCACGTTTGAATTGGCCTTTCCTCGTCTATGATTTTAATAAAACCCTTTTGTCAAAGTTAGATGCAGGCGTCATAAAGATGTTGAAGTTGTGGCTCGGGCTCGCTCTAACGGCTGATTCATCGGCGTTATTTAGGGGAAGCAATAGTTTTGGGATGAGTCTAAAAAGGCCATCGGAGCTCTATAAACACCTAAGAGTTTCCAAGAGGTATATCCTGGGGAAATCCCATGATGACATAGTGACATCGCTCCCAAAAGATGAAGATGCCCCCGAGCTAGAGTCACGACAATTCCATAAGCAATTTATGATAGGAGCAGATATGAAAGTAACAGAGCGGGGTTAGGATCAAATAGGAAAGTCCAAGATGCGGATATATTGAAGTCTTTTATTCGGCAAGACGAGAATGATAAATATAAGATCCATGCAATGAATTTAGAAATGCAGAACGAGTGGTTAGACATAGGAGATTTTTGCATCCCATTAGCATTAAAATGGCGCACTTTAATTTATGATTGGTCGCCAGCATTGCTAAAATTCTATCTCAATGCGTTCCAGATGACTCTCCCAGATCAGAGAAATTTAGTAAGATGGGGTAAAAGTACCGAAAAAACTTGCTATATCTGTGGAAAGGCAGTTGGAACTGCTAAGCATCTGCTGGTGGGATGTAAGGTACTCCTGGACAGCGGTCAATACTCGCGTCGTCACGATAGGGTTCTAGAAGTCATACGTGAAGCGGTTAGTCTTTCGGTAGCCAGAGCGCAAAAGGAAATAACCACAAACGAACGATCAGTAGGTTTTGTGAGAGAAGGCACTAGGGCTACAAAATCAAACGTCAAGCCTTACTCCATCCTTAAAGCGGCGTCGGATTGGACTATAATGATGGACACGTATGAAAAGCAATATAAAATCCCCGAGGATATTTGTGCGTCGGACTCCAGACCGGATATATTTTTGTTTTCGCGAATTTTAAAGCGCGTAGTGATGATAGAGCTTACGGTCCCTTGGGAAACCAACATCCCCAAAGACCATACCATCAAGGTCAACAAATATTACGAGCTCACAAACGAACTCACTCGAAATAGGTTCGTAGTAGATTTGTACGCGGTAGAGGTGGGAGCGAGAGGTATAACAGCGAAATCTCTCTACAACCTACTAAAGGACTTGGGCTTGTCCAGAACTCACATTAATGCATTCTTGGAACGTATATCGAAGGCAGCCCTAGTAGGTTCTTTTCAAATTTGGTTAGGTAGGGAGAGGAGCTTGGACAGTGGAGGTGAGCGTATAACGCTCGTTAGTTAAGGGGCCCCTTAAACCTACACTTGGGTCGCAAGTCCCAGGCACTGTTGAAGCTCCTCTCCCTGCAACGCGATGGACCCGGCACCCGCACGGTGAATCCATGGAATGCTTAGTAGTTTCGTCTCGTCAACCCAATACTGTTCTCATCTTTCATACATGTATGTTTCCTAACTGTAGGATTTGTCACGTGTTTAAGCATGAGTGAAGACAGGTTATTTCCTTACCTTTTTCCATCAGCTCGTCGCTCTCTTCTGGCTCCACCTGTTCTTCTTGAGGTGACTCCGCTGTAGTACTTACGCTCGAGTGAGACTGTAGCAATGTTAAACTTATTAAACTATATTAATTAATCTTAGTATCCCAACATCTCAAAGGATCGAACGATGATATTAGGAAAGAAATTGCGACCTACACATTATATTCTCTTTTCTTATTAAATTTGTTATTAGAAATGATAGAGTTATTGTTGCTAAGATATCTTCTCGTGAAACCAAACATACTATTACACTTAATATAAATTTTACGATTACATATATTTATCAAATGCAAAAATCTTTATTTTTATGATATTAATACTCACTGGTACTGTTATTATTATTTTTTTGAGATATTTGGTATTGCTCTAAGAAGACTATATGAAATAGAAATACCTAGCTACAATATTTTAAATGGATTTGTACCCATCACTAGTTGTTGACCCGTTTTTTTATTAATCTGTTGTTATTTATTTAAATTACTCACATATATCATGACATCGCTTCCTATTATTACGCATAATAATTTAAAATTTTGTTTGTACATATTTAAATGATTAATTGATTTACTATAATGAGAGTTAGACACTCTAACATGTATGTAAATTTTTCATAGTTTCTTTCAAACTATTATAAGAAAATCAATATAAAACTGTGATTATGATTTGATTGGACTGATTTAAAAAAGAGATTTTGTATGAAAGCTAAAATTTTTTTGTTATAGTTTTAATAGGCGAATGTTTAAGCCAACCTGTACGGAGAGAGTTCTTTTCCTGAGTATCTGTGGACTGGTGGAGTCATCTGGAGATTGCTCTTCATCCTCAAGCTCCTTGAATAATGGACACTTTGACACCTCTTCGAATGTACCAGTCGTTTCCACCTCGCCCTGTTAATAATTATTATTTCGTTCATTAATATGAACATCGTTTTATCTTGACATCATTTCAGAAATGTTTCGTAATGTGTTTCCGATCTGATTTGTATTTCAAAACTGTAAGGTATTAACACAATTACAATAATAAAACCTTCAAATAACTGTAAGAATGAAATTAGTTTAATTTTCACAGTAATTTCGTCTATCGTAGAGTGAATTTCTTTTCTCAAATCTATCAACAAATAGAAAATATATATTTTGTTTTATAATTATTATCGCTATTGTATATTTAAATTCCATACATAAGTTTGCAAGAAAATATTTTAAATAACACCTTATTCTGTAAGACATACAGTCGTTTTCACTTTTATACAACTACAAGCACATTAAACATAGATATATATAATTATTGTATTTATCCCTGTCCTTGCAAATGCTATTTATTTTAATAAACATACTATTGATTGTAACTACAAACTCATTTTTTCAATAAATAAATATATTAAACTAAAAATATCTCCACTATCACAGTACTGGCGACTTGATTAGCAACAACAATCAATGGCTTCTCTCAAAAGAACTAATTAAATCTAATTTTATTATTTCTAATATGGGCTTAATAATTATAGTAACAATACAACGATGTCTAACAATGGACGAAAATAGAGTTATTAATTTAAATTCTATTCTATTCTATGGTAATGATGGCATGTTTTATCTCGCACCCTTTTATTTCTAGAGACCACGCTATATCATATCAAGTATGACGTCACTATGGCCATCGCTACATACATATTGAACAATTTGCACTTGCGAAACGAATTCTTACTAACTCAATGACACTATAGCTTTGCATAATTCTATGAAAATGAAACAGAAGATGCAGAAATAAACAATTAACTTTACTACTAGTTCAAAACTGGCTGTAATACGACATTCGATAGATGGGTGTAAAAATAATTTAGATCGTTATGTACTAAAATTTAACTTTAAAAAAAAACCTTTGGCTACGTTTTTGTAGTAGATCTATTTAAGTAATTGTTTTATTTTTTTTACACGCAACATTTATATAGTTTCGTAATAACCTAATAAGGCAATTTATTTTACTTAGCAAATGTAACAAATAATAAATATGACTTGTTAAAATAGCAGTAGCAATAGCCAGTACCTAAACAAGGAAAATAGCTTTAAGTGCTTATATTGAAAACATTACCCTTTACCCTTCTTTACTTTATGTCACTTTAATGCCATTCATATAATTTATTATAATTACAACAATTTAGTTTCCTTTATTTTATACCTACTAATATTATAAATGCGAAAGTAACTCTGTCTGTCTGTCTGTTACGCTTGCACGCCTAGACCACTGAACTGATTTTAATGAAATTTGGTACAAAGATAGAGTTAACCTTGAGAAAGAACATAGGATAGTTTGAATCCCAGACTTTCGAAATACATAATACAACTCATGCTTTTAAAAGCACTAAAAGATACATATTTCAATGATAACATGACCATCAGGGACTCTGAATATGGAAATAATTTTGTATAAAATACTTAATTAATAATAATAATTAATTAGTACAATAGAATATTCTTCATATTTCTGTCATCTCTATATGTATATATTTAAAATTGTCAGTATCATAATCCCTCGAGATTAGTTAGGAATCAGAATACAATAATTTGAAACAATTATTATCTTTGAGATAACACATGTTCAAACAAATTTGTTTAAGTACGTACGTATGTATTTTTTATAAATGACTTATGCGTAACAAAATTTGTATAATATTTTTTAAGTACCACCAATAAATATTTCGTTTCTCATTTAATAAACAACGTTGATAATAAAATGATTTACGAAAAACTGTTAACGCTACGTGTGTAGTTAAAAGCGAACTCGTATTAAGCGTACACATGGAATGACGCAATCTGTACGTTATCAGGGTTCACCGTGACATACATAACTGGGATGTGAGATGTGACAATTAAGGCATCAGATAACTATTATATTAAAGATTACTTAAGAAAAACATTATAATATGTCATACTAAATTCAACTATCCGTAAATTTTCCTTGTAAACATAATAATATAATTTGTTTCCTCTTATACTTATTGTTTTAATACGAACCAATGATGTCTTTCGATATTTAAATAACTTCGATTATTGAATTAATTATTTAAGGGTAAGCTTATAAGCTGTATTATTGTTATTTAAGGGTAAGACAGTTTCTAAATGGTTTTTAACTCACATTGTGTAGTATGACGACTCTGTCGGCTTGCTTGAGATGGTGTAGCTGATGCGTGACCAGAATCCTCGTGGAGTGTCTCAAAAGTCCCATCACACATTCAGACACTATGTGTTTACCGACGTGAGTGTCGACGGCCGATAGCGGATCGTCCAACAGATAAATATCGGCCTGCATATATGAAATGTAATGAGTGGCTGTTCTAGTAATTAAAAGCTCTATTCTTATAAAAGTAATCAAAATTATTGTAGCTTAAGTACGCTCTGGTAGTTTTAAACTCTATAGGCGAAAATAAATATCGTGAAACGTTCTAGTACTTTTAAAATCTATGTTGTACAGGAGTCAATATCATACAAGTTATATGTGCGATTTGAAATTTAAATGCAAGCTCATTAAATCAGGTCAAATGGAATGATTGTGACCGAAAATTTTTTAAGAAGAATTTTTTTTTAACTTCTGTCTCTTTAGTAAGTATATCTATTTATTTTTAATACTTTTTTATGTTAAGTTAGTTAATACCTTTAAACAACATGAGGTATGGTCATATGATGACTAAAATAATGTAAACAGAGATATATAATTTATCGTATATTATATCTTTTATAACACTTGATACATGTTTTATGAACTGATAATAACGTTATCGATCAAACTATATATAAAAATGTCAAAATATTACTGAGTTTGATTTATAAGTACGGCTCTTATCCTTTAATCCAATAGAATATGATAAAAAAAGATGAAAAAACGAGTACAAAGATCATATATAAATAGGACTTAAAACTAATTGATTTAATGAATTATGCAATTGGCTGTATGTATGTGATTATTGATTCATTATATTTAAAAAAAAATCGTCCTGTCATTCCTAAGTATGGACCATGAAATGGAAAAATATTTATAAAATTTACATTTACAAATATGATTTGGACCTTAACTATTTATTTATACGTCTTCCTTCTTGGAACATATTGTTCTTTTACAATAAAGCTATAAAAATGGTTTCAATTGGTTAAACTTAATAATTTGAATAAGAGATTTAATTCATACATTTCTATAACAGGCCCGTGCTAGACCGATTCTCGCTCGCTGCCCTCCACTCAGACTGATGCCTCTTTCACCAACCAGGGTGGAGTCACCAGCCGGCATCTGTTCGAAATCACGTAACAATGCACACGCCGTCACCACCTGTATAATGCAACATACAAAAACATTTATTTAGATATTATATATACATATGTATTTATATATATACATATATATAAATGACCTTGCAAAATTTCGAGATAGATTTCATATAACTTCTTTACGTTTATATTGCAAACTGAAATATGGTGGAATGAATCAATGGTGAATCATGAACTGTAAAAAAATATATTCCGATATGTTAATAAAACTTTAAAATTATTACAATTTCAAGTAACAATGATAATATAAATATATATAAAATTAAAGATGAATAAACTTTGTAAAAACATCGAACAAAACGGACAAAGCCGCGAGGATAACTTAATAATAAATATATATTACAATATGTAGTACTATTGTATAAGGTTATTTTTTACGCATTTATTTGTCACTACATTGTCCACAAATAAGTGCTTTTTCGTTCTGATAAGACAAATTACCGTAGCTGAGTTTGAAATTTTTAAAAATGAACATGTGAATAAGTAATATAGCGTAGATAATTTTACAAAACAACAATGTTATTTGTATGATATATTGCTATGTTACTCAGTTCATTTCTTCAGAACGTCGTTTCGTCGAACTTAGGTCAATTAACTGACAAGATTTCAACGTCCTCTATACATCAATATAAGAGTACATATTATATACGATATAAATTAAATTTTTTATATGAAACTATTAGTTTTTGAAAAAATTATTATTAATTTACTTTTACCTAAAAAAATATAAATCATAGCTGCCTTTAATCGTAATGTTTAATATAATGTTCTTTTTTTTAAATTTAATTAAATTTACTTTTCTCTACTGATAGATGATTGGTGGTCGTTTTTTTTACATAATATATTAGATTTTTTTAAACTGATAGATATGTTATAAACGTATTTGAATTCGGTTTCAATTTAGAATACCAAATTACTTTCAACATAATAATCGATGACGTCATTGACCTTAAACAATTTTTAATTCGTCGAAAAATAACACGAATAGATGAAATAATAATAATATTTATTATTGCTAAAATATCTCTGAATAAACTACATAGTACATACATATCTGTTTAATGAAATCAGAAACCACTATCATGTATTTTTTGTTATGTAATGTTGACATAATTAACTGCTGTTTGGAGACTAACTATAAATGTTTAAAGAGAAATGAGAACCAGTTTGTTTTGTAACTGAGGTGGCTTTATAATTTAGTGAAGATATAACACAAGCCAACAGACGTCAAAGTAACGAATGATCATGTAATAAAACCTTAGACGGAACTAAATGTCTTACAAAAACGATAAAAACAATAAGACCTCTTTGGTTATAAGACCTTTTTTATAAGAAGTTTTAGTTGAAACACAATAGCTTAATGTAACCATATATAAATATTTGAATAACAAGCCGGTGAGCTGTTTACTTGAGACAATTAAACGTGTATAAAAAGCTTACGAGTTTAAATGGTTTATAATTAATATGGGATATTAAATGTTTATAACAGGAAACAGATGTTTTTAAGAATAATAAAAGCCGGTTCATCGGTATAGTCATTACTAGATAATGAGATATCAGTTATTCTGTACTACAAAAACACTATAGTTTTTTTGTTAAAATCTTCTTCGATTAATGCATTAATGACACCGTTAGATTTTATTGCTCTCACCTTTTTATACTTCAACCGGTCGTATGGAAGGCCGAAGAGTATGTTCTGTCTGATTGTGGCCACGAAGAGCCAAGGTTCTTGGCTGGCATAGGATACTCTGGCTCCTCCCAGGGACACCGTACCTTTAGAAGGTCGTAACTCACCAAGGACTAGTTGGAGGAAGGACGACTGGGAATACATTATTCAGATTAGATTACATACTTAGTAAAAGTACTATAATTATAAGGTCATTGAACTTTATCACGAATGAAATATTCATATAAAAAATTCAACCAAATAATTAATTTCATTTTATAGACGTATATATAAAAGCGATTAAAATAAATCACTTTAATGTACAGTTATTTAAGGAACTATTAATATTTATACACATATAACAGAACCATGGTGATGATATTTAAACGTTTATCTGAGAAGATTAAGATTATTTGCTATGGACTTAGAGATAACATTGAATTTAAGGCAGCTTTAAGATGGGACTTAAGATATGAAATCTCATATGTGAAGTAATAAGTACCTTTCCAGATCCTACAAGACCAGCGACCCCTATAAATTCTCCAGGCTGAACATTAAGAGTAATGTTCCTCAATGTATGCACTATAGGGTTGGGCTGCCAGCTTGCTGTAGCATTTGATATAATCAGTCCCGTCGGCTTCACTCTGTTATTTGAATTCTCCTTTTCGCTGTCCTTTCCATTAAGCAACGCATTAGGATTAGCGTTGAAACTAGCTATTTTTGGATTATCACTTTCCAATTCTTCGAGAGCCAGAAATTCCTAGAAGTAACGTCGCTTTAATGTCAGGAATGTGGGTTTTAAGTGATAGAAAATAAAAGGTAACTACCTCCAATCGGCGTATGGATACTTTGGATTCCGCGAGGAACGCCAGAGCCAGGGGAAAGAATATATTACAGGCTAGCTGCATCAAGTTATAATATTGAACGAGAGAGAATGTGATGTCTGAACTAATCTCTCCTCCGATAACCACGAAAGTGACGATAGCAGAGAAAAGAATGAATCGTTCCGTGAACACGCTCAATGCGGTAGAGAAACCTTTGATAAACGATGTACGCAATATAAACTTTATTTCAATTCTGAAAATTTCAATTTATCTTAATAAATTCTAATAAAACAAATTTGAACATTACACGTAATAAATTTAACAAAAAAATTCGTCACTTATCACTGGCAAATATTATTAAAATACTATTTAAGATAACGAATGTGATGACTGTGTTTAAATCAACTCTGAAATGTGTCTGGCAAAATTAATAGATACAAATATTAATAAAAAAAAACTAATTTTTTCTTAAGGTCCTTAAAAATATGGAACGACTAAGTCTTCTTAATAGTTACAGACTACAATTTTTACTAAGACACAACAGCTAATATATTTCAAGCCGATCAATGTTCACACTTACTTTCTAAGTTTGTCTACAAGCTTTTCGAAAGGCTTCTCCCAAGCATACATTTTGATGACCTGAACTCCATTGACTAATTCGCTCATAACTTTCACCCTTTCATCGGTACGTTTTGCTATTTTCCCCCTCAGTATACCCTGACGATTACTCAAATAAGCTGTAACATATTTAAGCTGGAACTAATTAAATGTTTTTATTCATGACAGCTTGTAATTATCAACATTTTTTGTATTTCAATGGCTTAAAATCTACTTCTATTAATCAACCATATTTTCTTAGAGAACAAGTAGCAATAATTGTATTTCAATTTGAGGATTTGCGTTAAATTGTACTCCACAAATGGCATGGATATAACAAAAAACTTAGAAAATGATAAAAAACTGACAAAAAAGAGATTTTGATTAAAAATTACCTTGCACTGTGACTGTTTGGAGAAATATAACAGCAAGAGCAGCCAATGTAGCGTATCCAATGTGTTGCCAAACCAGGTAAGAAACTACTGGCACCACGATTGGCATCACCCACAGAAAATTCAATAATGTTGACGCTATGTCGAATCTGTTTACATCGTTTGACATCAAATTGATGACTTGGCCGGAATCAGTTTTACTTATACCAACACGGTTCAGTTTCAATATCTGTAGACATTTTTAAATGAGTAACATACGGCTTTGATGATCTTATTTATTCAATTTAACTTATATTATATAAAGAATATTATTTTCATAGATATATAAACCAAGATGTGTCGTAACAGCTTTTTAAACTAACGCACACGAAGTCGCGGGCAAAAACTAGTTTTGTATATTTGTTACAGCTATTTGGTATAGCAAAACTTTCACTATTACTTTCTTTTTCCTTATATATATTTATTTATTATTTATTTCTATTTGATGACAATTCACAATATTTAAAACTTAAAAGTTTTCATCATTACTTAAAAATTTAAACATATCTCACTTATTATGAAACTACAATACTCGAAAGTATAGAGTGTAGGCTATAGACCCTTAAATAAAATCCCTTACGTTAATAGTTTTTAATTCTATATCTTTATAAAAACTTATATTTATTTTTTAGTAATATTGACTTCAAAATTGTTATGAATGAGAAACATGAAGTAGGTACATAATTAATTTTTTTCCGATACATATTTACATATTACATGTAATAACGTGACTTAACTGAAGATTTTTGTATATATTTTCTATTATTGGATTATTGTTATAAAAACTTATTTATTTTTTATATTAATAGAATTTATTTACTATGCCTAATAATAAAAAAGGTTGAGGATTTGAAGAATCAAGTTTAGAACAAATTTATTCTTGTTACAAATAAGAAAAAGTTACATTATAATAATTAGTGCGTATTATTTGAAAAATAATTTCATTCGAATTTATGTTTGAAATCATAGAAGAATTCCTACTTAATACAGTGGGGTAAATGAGTTAAATCGTCGTTTAAATGAATATCCTTGCAAATGGATTCGTTAATTCGTAAACGACTTTTATGTAAGTCCTTAAGTTAGAAAATGTAATTCGATCGTTCAATTTTAACTCGACGATAATATTATGTTCTTAAGGGCTTAGAGGGTAAATTATCAAAATTATCGATATGTAAAATTATGTTTAATATTGTAAACTACTTATAATAGGGTTAGTACATTTGATATGAGCTCTCTATTACGTGTAAACTGTACACTCATGACGAATGACGTCATATATTAATCATTGTGTCTCCTACAAATTGTCAACAGAATGGAACCGAGTACAAATAAAAGTTTTTATGAATGTAAAACACATAAATGTATTTGATTATAATCTTTAGAGACATTGCTTTTAAGGAATTTGTTAAAAAGTAGTAGTTTAATAATTTTTTTTAAGCTGTTCATTCATACTTAAAATTTCTTAAAAAGGAAAATCTGAAATGACGGGTAACACTAATTAAAACATAATCTGAATATAAACGATCGGTTTCGTTGATTTTATTAAAACCTATTTTCGAGATAAATCTCATCAATAAGTATGATTTAGGTATCACAAAAAAAGACTTTGAAATTTATTAATATTTGACAGAATCATTGCGCAACAAACATACAAGAAACATACAGTTAAATTAATGAATCATCTAGGTTTGAAGTTAGTTCAAAATGGCTGACCGCTATAACAACTTATTGTTATGTTACATTGCAGTTTTCCAAGCAATTATAAAAAATATATATAATTAAAGGTTTTTGCATTTACGGTCGCAAGAAAGTCTATAGCTTACATCCATAATTTACATATGTATGTGTATATATTAAGATAATAATATCAACTAATATTAATTAATTACTGATTACCGTAAAATATGCAATTAATGCATATATAACAGTTTATTTAATGTATCTTCTTATTTATTATGTATAGACGTGAGCCGCCAGTTTTTTCAAGAAGGTACGATAATTATGTCTTACGATTTCATGGCGTCCAGAAATCATCAAAAGTATGAAAATCAATCAGCAAATGTGACCTAATCAATGGATCATAAAGAAACATCGAAGAAGAAGTCAGAATCACTACAAGCTCTTTGTATAAGCCATACATTCTATAAGATTTATCTATAATAGTTTAACAACTTAAAAAATGACATAATGGATTTACCAAGAAACGAAGTAATATCTGTGTTAAGGGATGTTTATAGTATTAGTTACAATCTTTTATCTTTTATATATATAAAAATGGATTGCTGTTCCTTAGTCTCGCTAAAACTCGAGAACGGCTGAACGGATTTATCTTATCTTAGTCTTGAAATGTTCGTGGAGGTCCAGGGAAGGTTTAAAAGGTGAGAAAAATTTATTCATTTCCGGGAAAACCCTAAAAACAGCCCTTTTCTATTTCCCATACAAATGTTTTCTTTGACATTAGATTTGACAACTAACTAATATGTCAATCATTCTGTTCGATTAAAACAGGAAAAACCTGATTATTTATGACCTCTAGGACGGAATAGAGTTCGCCCGGTCAGGTATACATATATTACTAATGATGAAATTAACGCGGACGAAGTCGCGGGCAAAAACTAGTAACATAATAAATATTGACAGATCAAACGACGTTTAATTTCATTTACATCTTACTCAGAATTTGTAGTGAACTTCGCTTACGATTAGACTCGCATGAACCACGACACTAATGAATGGCGGGAATTCAGTATTGACACCAAAAGCTATAATAATTTTGTTTTATTAACACATCTTATTTTATATATCTATTAATATATACATATAGCATCACATAATCTATTTGTTTTATTAAAAAAATCACTGACCTTCCTATAGATGAGAGAACATGAGGCTATCCTCACCCTCATACCAACACAACCCTGAGATAAATTAGTATGATTCAACATAAGAGCCGATAAGATGGATAGAAAATTCAATAAAAAGTTATGTATGTGCGCATTTCTATACGATTCAGGCGTTTTTTCAGACGAAAAATATTTTATGAATAAAGCTAGAGTGTATGGGATCAGAGGCCTGGAAACGAAAACCATATATAAACAAAAAAAATAATAATGTAACACTTTTTGTGTAATTAAAATACATACCATATTACAATGAACAAAATACCGACGAAGATCCCGCATGTCATATACTCTACCCAGAAACAGCTGACAATGGCTCTGGAGAGTGATGGTTTGCTATTATTTTTACGAGATCTTTCAACTTCCCTTTCCCAAGCCTCTTCGAGCCGGTCCCCGAGTCTGCTCGATTGGTCCACACTGCGGGCCTGCCATAGATCATCAATTGTCAATCCCGTTTTGTATCCTCTTTTGAATAACTTGAAGCTCCACCTAGAACAATTGTTATGATAATTTAAAAATCACGCCTCAACATAACGCCTCTACATCTCTTTAATATTTCTTACACGGTAAGTTAAAAATACAATTTCCTAGATATATTTAGGTAGATAATTAACAGTTCATTGTTACTTTAATTGTTTTTAAGATGAATTATTATATCCATATTCTAAATAAATGATTTTATTTTTTCAAACAGTCCTAAAAATTATAGGATTTTTATCTGTGAATATTTAGTTAGTACGTTATGTAAAGTTTATGAAGTACTCTAGCTTGCACTTTCCCCGACGACGATAACCCTAGATCATTGAAAATTATGTATTAATCCTCAAATACCCAAATTTCTATATCCTGGCCATAAGTTCCAAGAGTTAGTATATACCCAGATTTTGATAACAACAATCACCTTTATTTGACAAGTTCCGTGATACAGTCAAATACACATACATATTAAAACAGTTCAGTTCAGTACAGTTTCCTAGTAACTAAATAAGTACCTTTATGCCAATGACTAATTTTTTTTACTGAAGGGGTTTTCGCAGTTTCATAAATATACCCATACCTTAACAAACTTAACAATTTATCAGTCGTTTGATGATTGGTCAGAATAATATACATATATCAGTACTTATATATATGTACTCGTTGAGTTGATAACAATGCGTTATGTTCCCTCTCATTGACGCAACTCATTTAGGAACACTTGAGGTTTAAATTAGTTCAATTGACGACCGGCTTGTGGACAGATAAAGAAATTTTAGCTCATCAAACAGTTAGACATATTGACATAGTTGGACTTAAAATGTACCGAAAGTAATTCTAGTTCCTAATATTAAAAATGTGTAAGTTTCTGAGCATGTATGGATTGTTATTGCTTCTTTGATTAACAACTATAGTACGAATTTTGATTAAAATTTCTAAAGATGTAGCCTAGATTTAGGAAAAACAGAGATTATACTCTATTTAAATATTGTGTGTAGTTCCTTTAACATACCGCATTAAAATATTGAATGAAGTAATGTGTCACATTAGTGCTACAAGTTTTTTGTTGTATAGAAATCTATAATCATATCTAAGATTTTTGCGTGTACTCATTTAAATGAAATTAAGGTTTTCGTATACTACGCGTTTTTATTATTAATTAACAATTCATTACAGCAATCGTGGTCACGTGGTCACAGATGAAATGATTTATTATATAGATTCTCAATTATTCTATTGTTTTGTATAAATATAGTTAAATATTTATATATATTTAATAGATTTATCGTTTTACTTAAATCTACATTTACTTCGAAATCTTGTTCACAGAGAAATGAATAATCACATTAAAATAACTGTTACGATAACAAATCGCGAATCCGAACCAAACGCCTCGTGTTGTCTGTGCCACGTGACTTTGATCAGAATAAAACTTTTATACCGTGCTTTATATTTATCTATCAAAACGGAATTTTTCGAATATATCATAGCATATACCTAAAGTTTAATTTAAATTATTAGTAATATCAACCAAATCCATTTTATAGTTTTTGAGTGATAGATGAACAATCTTCCATTGGTACTTAAACATTTAAGTTTTATATGTAGGATTTTCATTGGTAATATATATATAATATATTTATTAAATATATATTGGAAAACTTATAACCGATCACATCCAGGATGTGTAAATCAATACTAATAACTGTCAGAACTCAGAAGATAATGAAAATAACACGATAATTGGGTAATTTCCTCTCTATAAAACAGCCTAGGTTTATACTTTATAGATATAAAATTTTTAATCATAGATTTATAGTCATACTTAATATATTAATAAATCTTGATTTTAGTGATATTAATCCTTTTATACGTAGTCAAAATCATAATATTTACTACGGATTACATACAAATAAGTTAGCCAGAAATATTTTTTTTTTGTATGTAAAAATGTAGAATAAAAAATTCCTAGATACACGAGCAGGATTCGAATCTGTAACCTTCAGATCACGATAAAGAAATTTGGAGGTGATGTACTTGAGATTGTAGGTTCAACTATTAGCACATTGCTTAAACAAATATAAAAAAATGACAAAAAATTATTAAAAGATAATTTTGCTTGAAAATTTTCGTTTGTTTTATTAAGACTATTTATTGATAATTTAAAATTTATACAATAATATCTACGATTTCCATATCTTTTGTTTAAGCGAAACTAAGTTTTTTTTTATCGTGATCACGGGCAGACGACATGTAATACCTAATCATTTATCTCGTCTGCCTGTGATCACGGTTGCTTTAAACGCTAAAGAACCGAAACGTCGGAATTATGGAGTTGTAAAATAATACAAGACGCGTAATATCCAATAATACTATTTTCATTTAAATATATTTGTATATTTATTTCTTACATATAAATAAAAATGTAATTTAACATTTATTCTTTCGTATAATTTTCATATTGACAAAAGTGTCAATGAACTATACTATACATATAACTACACATCCATATTGTGTTCATTAAACATGTTTTATTATGTCATTTTTGATTCCAAAAATATTAGGGACAAAAATAATCTTTACTACATATATGAATATGATTTAATATTGTGGTTTTCAAATTCTCGGGTCTGCTTGTATTTCTTTCAAAAAATATTCCTTACTTCGATATTGTTCTACAAGTTACAACATTATAGTGATTCTGTACTTGAGAAGGTCATGTTCATGTCTTGCAACATTTTTATTTATCTCATCATTTATCTTAAGACAGATAGACATAACGAAAAGTCATCGAATTAACATTCAAAAGCTAAGCTACTTGTCATCCTTATCGATCTCCAAAGACAATAAAAGGTCATATATCATAATGATATCTATATCTAAAATGGTATTATTTTTTTCTTTTCTTTTCCTTTTAATATTCTTATAACTTCTTATTCAATAGACGCATCACATTTGAATAGCGAAAAATATAATTGCCGTCAAAAAACCATAAAAAACAAAAAATAAATGTATCTAAATTAAAATCTAACAATAGTAAAAGATGATACTAAACATTTTTTTTAAACTCTAAACTGAAAAGGTAAAAAAGTCAGGCTAGATAAACAAGTATTTTTTAAATATTTATATAGAGATTTTAAATTACAGTTTTCACCCATTTCATTGTGGCACCAAAAAATATACTTAGAAATTTATAAATAGGGATAGCAACACAGAAGTGACCATTTAAAAAAAAACATCATATTGGCCCTAACCATCATTTATAATTTTTTTCACTACCAACTTAAGTAAAAGTAGATATGTGTGGTTAGGTTACTTAAAGATTGCTTCCTACTAAAAAATGTACTCTGAACCGTACAGTAACTCTTCTGCTTACCAGAAATTGACACTACTGGAACGTTAATAGTTTTTCATTCAGAAATCTTAGCACATAATATTATAATAAGTTATTGAATAAGAAACAGGAAACGCTTTGTATGAAGCGTGACGATGTAAACATGTGCTTAACATACAGTGTTCATCTGCGTACGTGGTCATAACATAGAATTATAACAACATATATTACACAACGGAATAAACGAAACCATTACATACAGATTATTTAATTATTAGTTTCTAATAATTAATATTTCCAAGTATATTAATGCACTTTTTTTTTTGTTTGATGTCGCAGGGAAACTCTTTTTACGACGACAACAACGTCAAACCGGCTTTGGTGGGGCCGGAAGGGATTTGTGAGACTCGACCTGGGCAGGCCCCTACTCACTAAAGCCATCGGCCGCTATGTCGGTGTACCTACCCCGGATCTGTCAGCGACAGGGCACACCAGCGACTGGCCGGTCCTGGCAAAGTATATTAATGCACTTGGAATTTAAAAACCATATACATTTTACATATATTAAAGTGTATTCAAAGTAATGTTTGTTGTATTACTAAAAAATAAAACAAAGACCGGAAAACGAGTAAAGTGAAAGTGAACAAAAACGATGATTTCATTTAAGAATTCTATTAAAGTTGACTTTGAGTGTAGTCGATTACCGAGAAAAAGCATTTACCATAAACATGAAGGTTCTAGAAAATCGAGAACTAGTAGCGTCAATTTAAAACTGACTATATTAGTATTGTAAATACTGTAAAAACTGCAAAATTGCTGCAAGTGTGGAGGTTTTATATATAGGTGGCCAGTATATATTATGAAATTGTAAATACCTATATCTTAAGGATTATAAAAAATGAGATAATTTATATAAGCAAATAATTTGATTAAAACAACTAACGCTAAACGAAAATTCTTCATAGACATTTTTTTTGAGTATGGAACTAAGTTTAAGGTCAACAGTAAACATTATCCACTTGAATGCAGTTTTTTTTAATCAGAACATAAGTGAGACAATACTTTTCATGAGAATAATTTTTATCTGTCTTAACTTTAGTTTCGTTTTTTGATAACTTTTTTGGAGATAAGATATTTGAAATTTACAACCAGTATGTTTATTCTTAATTCTTTTTTTATAACACAGCAACAGAAACGTTATTACACTCGAATTATCTCATATGCTAATAAAATATTGTTACACACCAAATAACTATCTTGTTTTACAACGACTTAACTTTACGAATTTTTAAAATGTATTTTTCGGAGACTTCATAATACTGTCACTTAAAAATTCCGGATCAAAATCCAGAGCATGACTGTTTTATTCTGTTTTAAAAAAATAGGAGTTTATTTTCAATTAAATATAATATTTATTTTAAATAAAATTATTACATTTTTACAAAAATGAGCGCTACTTATCCATATTATTCAATTTGCTCACTTATCGTATGCGTTTAGAAAATTAACAATTAATTTGCAAGATAAAGGAAAAAAGGCTGTTGTTTTAGTCATTAGTGGAATATAATTAACAAAATAATAAATGAAAAATTTAAGAGAAATGGTTTCGAAACTTGACTTAAGTATTCGAACCGAAATATATCTATGTAAAATACAATATATACTACGATGTACAACTTTATATAAATATGGATAATTAGAACTTCTGTACGTATTGAGATAAAAAAAGTCTTATGTAGTTTTATAAAAAAAGAAATTCTTACAATTTTGACGTTGATGGATGTTGTTTTTTGTATTTTGTCCGTGACATCGGAACTCAAACGGATCAGTTTTTTTTTTCGATTTCGATTCAGTTGTTTTTTTGAAAACCCTTATATTGCGATGTTTCAAAGCTATATTGGATACATTTAAATGAAACTAAATTTTCGGATTTACTACGCGATATTCATTTTTGATAATATATTACATAATCCCTATGTTTCGGTTACTTTATAATCTAAAATAAAAATCGCGTAGTAAATCCGAAAATATTAGTTTCATTTAAATGAATACATGCGAAAATCTTAGATCTCATTATGTTAGATTAATGTCAGTCCCGTAGTATATGGGTAAAAGTACTTTTCTAAAATTTTGCAAGTCACATTTATCGTATGATAACTCGATTAAGTGCTTCACGATAGCCAGTACAATCTTTAAAAAGCATTAATTGCATTTTAAAGACGATAGGGTAGGGGATTTTTTATATATTGTATTAAGTAATAAAAATGTTACACTTATAAAAAAATTGTTTGATTAAAAAACTTTTTAAGACACTATATGTTAAGGCTTCATTTATGTTCCAACGAAACATCTAATAAAATAAAAGCATGTCTTAAATAAACTTTTATGAACAGCCTTACAATAATAAAAATAAATCCCATCAATTTAATAGTCACATTCTACTGTTTGTGTGATATAAATTATAATTCGTTTTATTGAACTCGAGATCAGATTAAATGATAACGGAATACAATGTTTCAGTTAATACATAGTTACTTACTTAGCTTTAGAAACGAATAGAGTCTTTTCTTATATATGTATTTCTGTTTATTTTTAATTTTATGCGTAGAACTATTTATTACGTATTTAAATTTAATTAGCAAACCCTATAATTTTATAATCAATATTACATAGATGAAAATTAAAAAGACAAGTCAGACACCATCCGCCATATTTGTTTTGGAATGGCGCCATTTCGCTAGCCATAAATGATCGTTAACTGTTTCTATAAGCATTTAGGCACACGATGACAGATAGACAATTAAGCTTTAACAATAGACAAAACTGTTTAGTAATGGAATATTTATAGCATTTTTTTTTTATCAGCTGTAGTTACCTGGGACTATTAGTTACGCTTCAATTCGCTCTTTATCGTTATTAATTTAATTTATAAACAATTACCTTAATTTGGTTGACGAATTAATGCGTTTTTTTCTTTGTTATCGCAGATACATTTTTATTTTATTTCTTATCAGGGGAAAATATTTCGTATAATATTTACATACACCATCCTTATATAATAAAATAAAATTCAAGGGTATTTTATTTGTAAACGGGTCATTGGACTGAAGGTCGCTATAGGACATCGCAAAGATATAAAAATGGTTTCCGATATTCCGATTACATTTCGAATCAATTGTAACTTAAGATAAATACAATAATTCTATTCTGTATTACTATGTGTTACTACTGTGTTCTGTAAGTTACAGAAATGGTATAATAATTTTGATTTGTAATATCCATATACATATTTCAACTTTAAAAAATAAGCTCCTCTCTCTACCTAACCGAATTTGAAGAGAACCTACAAGAGCGGCCTTCTCATTACGTTCTAAAAATGAATTGAATTTAATTATATATAGACCAAGTCTTTCAGTAGCTTGTAGAGAGATTAAACTGTTATAATTAATTCTCAGTCCCATTTACACCGTGTACATTTTTACGGCGAACCTACTCTTATAGTAGAGTTCGTTAATCGTTAGTGACCTCGTAATACTTGTTGATATCGATGGGATGGTGTAGGTTTCCTAAAAAACCGTTTACTCTATAAACACAAGTAGGTATAATACGCGTATCTTTAGCCCTCTTACTTGATCCTAACCTTACCCTTTTACTTCTTTTTCCTATCATAAGCTCTGGGACATTTTAATCTTTTGGGAGTGATGTAACGACGTCATCATGGGATTCCCTAACCTTTTAAATTCATCCCAAAACAATTGCAATCCCCGAATGAAGCTGATAAATTAGCCGATAGCGTCAGCCCGAGCGATAACTTCAACACCTATATGATGCTTACATCTAACTTTGGCAAAAAGGTTTTATTAAAATCATAGACGAGGAAAAACCGGACCATTATCGTAGAAGCAATCTTTTTTAACGTTACTGATCAGTTGGTTATATATACCTTAATATGATCGTTTAAAAAGCTATCTACCATTCCTTCTAAGGATTTCTTTTAATTGCTAAAATCGGGATTGAATAAAATCAGAAACAAATGTACTTAATGTTTTTTTTTTATTACCTCTTAAAAGTCAAAAAGTCAGTTTAACCTCAAATCGGTAAAAAACGGTTAATGATAATAAGGTGGATCGCACTTCCAAACTTTTACCTACGTTACTGAATAAGAAAAATTATTCATCATTTCGTCAAATAAATTATTCATGTAATGTAAATTTCTGTACAATAATAAAATAAAATATGCACTTATTTTATGTAAACCGCATCGCATTAAGGTTTTATTTAAAAATATTAAACAAAAATTACATTACCAGATAAACATGTTATCGGTTACGACAAAATGACATAGCCTTTTACGACCTCTAATGATCATAAGTAAAATAACAAAAATGAGAAAGAATTTAACAAAACTTGTCTTCGAATATTTTGAGTTAAGTGGCTGCGTAGAATAATAAAAATTATGAATGTCAATGATAAGATTTTATCTTTACTTCTTACGAATCGTTGTAATAATACTCTGAACAGAATACAGGTTTTCACGTGGTCTGTTAAAAATACTTTTAATGTATAAATATTACTATGAATTCTGAAGAAACAAGGTTTTGCATAAAAAACATTTACGTAATTTAGAAATTTTATTCGATTGAATTCTAAACAAGTCATTCCTGTTGTTTGAACACACAAACAAAATTAATTAGTACCTTTTTAATTAATTATTATTACCCTGAACCTAATATCAACAGCAGATATTTCATGGATGATAACGTTTTGTTAATTATTATTAACATCGGGTTTTGTTCAAAACGATTTAAAATAAATATATAAAACTTACCATAAGAATATTTTTGAGAAGATATTCGCTTTATCGTGTGGATTTTTCTCCTTCAACACAACTTTCGATTCCATTATATCATATAAACAAAATTTTCAATGTTCTTAACTACAAGTTTTATAGTAAACACTAATTTATCGTAACACAAGGACACATTCCACTTAAAAAAACCTTATGAAGGTCGTTTAATTTTAATTCTTATATAACAAAAAATGATAAATCACAAGCGAGCAACAATTTTGACATTCACATCACATTACACAATATGTAATAATAATAGCTTTTATAGAACTTGAAAACTGACCACATTGCCGGAACGTGTCGCGAAAGTAAACTCACTATAATTATTATCAAACTAATAAGTACATTTATTTGGACGAAGCTCTGGAAATTATTTGAAAATATGAAATTCGAAAGGCTGGTATAAATCCGATATCACAGAAAGTATTCCGCCAGCAAAAAATTGCGACGGCGCTGTAGCACCGACGCCGACGAACTGACGGACACGACTGCTGTTTGCCGTGTGTTAGTAGACACACCATCCATACGATCCAGATTTATGCTGAGTCATATCATTTACATCTCTAAATAGATACCTATGTATATTATACTGAGGTCTGAATCAAGTTATTGTAAAATGAATATGAATTTCATAATAATTAATTGTACTCTCAATTGCCCGTTCTTAGTAACGTATAAGGATATGTAGATAATAAAAATCATAATAAAAATCTCTATATAATTCATTACATATTATCATTATTATATATTTTCATAAATGTTTTAAATAAGTAAATGAATTTAAATAATAGTAACTTTAATGGCTTATCTACATAATTACGAAATAAAACTATAATGATAAAAAATGGTATTACAGTGATTTGTTAATCCCCGCATCATGGATTTATAATTTAATTGAAATGTTTGCTTGTCAATATCCTTAACTAATAATAAACAATAGTGCAAAAAAAAATAAATAAAAGTAGAACAAATGGAAAAAAATTAGCTATTGCTTAAAATAATGTCGGGGAATGAAAACACATTTCGTAAAATTATACATGATATATTTATAAGAATGATATCTAACTTTTGAAGTGGAACATCTTATACGACTTCCAACGAGGTTGCGTTAAACGTTTAACGCTCTGGGGAGGGGAGGGGGATAAAAAGAGACACAGTGAGAGAACAAAAAGAGACAGAGCGAGAGCAAATGCGTGGTGCTCGAAGTCTCGAACGCATACGGGCAATCGTTTATGACTTATCCCTACTGATATTATAAATGCGAAAGTAACTCTGTCTGTCTGTATGTTACGCTTTCACGCCTAAACCACTGACCTGATTTTAATGAAATTTGGTACAGAGATAGAGTTGACCTTGAGAAAGAACATAAGATAGTTTTTAACCCAGACTTTTGAAAAGTTCTCTTGGAAACGCGATATAACCGAACTCTACGCGGGCGAAGCTGAGGGGGAAAGCTAGTAAGTAATATAAGAAAAGTTTGTCTTAATGAAATGCTAAAAGTAACTTACAAATAAATAATTATCTCACCCTGTTTTCATTTCAACATTACGAATTTTAACTTCTTCTGCGCTGAGGGACTCCACGCACTATTATTTTTTTTTTGTTTAAAGATTAACGATAAAAAAATTAATAGCAATTTTTTTTTTCATATGATTGTAAAGATTTTGGAAAAAAGGGATACTGAATAGTATTGCAATTTTTCAAGTATTTTATGCGGTTTTCTGCTTATAAATTGTTTATACCTAATAATTTATTCATACCTATGTCATTCATTTTGCATTCCTCTACTTATGTATATGTATATGAAAAATCGATGTAACTTTCGGCAAATTGTATTGTCTTTCAACGATTTTCATTTCATTAGCAAAATCGATACAGCTCAAAGTATTAGTAGTAATACAAAAATCGCTGTACATATCCGATTGCGTATATTTGGGTATTTAAGAATAAAAAAATATAATTGTATTCTAAGTGGATAATATCAACTTCTACAAGGCCAGATATAAGATGAAAGGGGAAGTTTAAACAAAGTATAATAAACCCTTTTATATTTATTGATTGCATCTTAACTGCTGCAAATTTTTCCATTACAATATTATGTACTTATTTGCGACTGTCAGCATAATTTAAATGAGAATACGCCTTAATATTTTCTTTCATTAAATTAATTTGGACATTTAAACTGAAATCACAAAATGAAAGAGATTTTTTCTATAGCCTTATTTTACTGTTATACATATACTTTATATGCTATTTACAAAGCTCTTTGCACTTTCCGTACATGTTGGCTCTTTGATTCTTTCAATGCTTCTTCCAATCTGTTTGTTAGATGAAGAAGGTTCGGTAAATCACATTGCAGTAGAACATGACTTATTATATTCTGGCACTCACTCGCTGTTTTGGCATCTTCAATTGTGTTATTAATGGTCTTTTCTGATATTGTATTTTCTTTATTCACCTTAGAACAATCTTCATTATGTTCGGTAAATTTTTTTGGTGTAGACAAAACAAAGTCCATTGCGACCATAGGTATTACTTCTTCATTTGAATTTTGTGATGCAACCTAAAATGTGTATTTATAAAATAATTTGCTTATTATTAAACTTAATTTTTACCATGATTATGTAAGTATGTTTTATACCTGTATTTCAAATCTCCATAATAAGTCTTGATAGCTTGGTTCAGTCTGTTGAAGCAAATTAAGTGCTTCAGATATTTCTTTTTTCTTTGTATTATACAGTTTAAGTAAAACCTGTTGGTGTTCAGCTGAAAAACCAGCTATAGCTAATGAAGAATTGAAATTTGTTTCTAAAAGCTGAAATGAAATATTTTGTTTTAGAAGTGTTTTGACTAAAGAATGTTCAACATTTAAATACTTACATTATGCTTACATCCTTCAACAAGAAGGTAAGCTAAGGCGTATATGAGATTCTGAATAACTGTTGGGGATACATTTAACCTTTCTGAAAAATAAATCGTATATAAATCGACAATAATACAATATTTTGGTCACAAATAATAATATGAATTACCTGCAGCAATGGCACATTTCTTCTGGTTGATTCCATTATTAAGAAAGTCTATCGTTAGCTTACAGAAGTCAACTAAAACTGTACAATTAATTAGTATTTGTTTATTATACACTACTAACGAATATTATGTATAATAACGCAGAAACAGGATATTCAAAAATTACCTTGAGCGGAATGTTCGTGAAGTAACTTCAAATGTTCCTTTTGTAAATCGCTCAGAAATATTATCATTTTTAATTAAAATAATTGGTCTTATGGATATTTTAATTTAATTTGTAATATAGGTAAATATCTAGTTAATGTCATAACAATGTTTTGACTTTGACATCAAATGTTTGACACTTTTTGTAAATATATATGACAAAAACTGATATTCAAAAATTAAATTAGGTTATAGGCTCTAAAGTCTTACAGTATTTTTAATTAAATTGAGAAAGTTACAAGTTTTTTTGGGCATTATATTATTTATGATTTATTTTAAAAAGATGTAAGTATTCACTATTTTTATATACATAAGGATTTCTCTGTTAATTAAAATAGTCTTTGTTTTTTACTCTTTTTAAAAAGAAGAAAGAAATCCTATATAAATAATAATATCAATGTATAAAACTTTTGCAAAGTTATAGGAAAAGTAAATGGGCAACATTATAGCCAACATTGCGTAGACGAATTTGATGGACTGTCAGTTTCATTATTTCTTTTTGACATCATTCACGGTTTCTTAAATTTAGTGTTATTAATTATTATACAGAATATATTGTGAAGTTATGAGTAAGAAACCTAAGTCTCCACTATGGCGTTAAAAAAAGTTAAGGGTAACTTCGAAAGAATGTTTGACAAAAATCTTACGGATTTAGTTCGTGGGATAAGAAATAACAAAGATAACGAGGTATGAATTAATTTGAAACTCGTTTTGTTACTTTAAAATATTATTATAATTCTAATCGTTCATAATTTAATTTGTCGGATTAATTTAAGGCAAAATATATAGCACAATGTATGGAGGAAATTAAAGTTGAATTGCGGCAAGATAATATCGGGGTGAAAGCTAACGCTGTCGCCAAACTAACATATGTAAGTTACGCCTAATGAAATTATTTCAGACATAATCTGATACCCTTCGTTAATTGAAATAGTTGTGTTAGTTTTAATAAATATCAATGACTTCAGTTACTTATAAAAATATAAGACCTGATTTATTTTTTAAATCTTGAAAATGAAAAGTGAAATTGATATTAAAAATATTTGATATTTTTTGTTGAACTAGAATGTATAACAATTATTAAGTGTATGCAAATTATAAATTTTATTCTTTATAATTTTCAATTGCAGCTTCAAATGTTGGGATATGACATATCCTGGGCTATATTTAATATAATCGAAGTTATGAGTTCAACTAAGTTTACATATAAACGTATCGGATATTTAGCCGCTAGTCAGTCATTCCATGCAGACTCCGAACTGCTTATGCTCACCACTAATATGATAAGGAAAGATCTGAATGCTCAAAACCAGTATGAAGCAGGCCTCGCACTCAGCGGTCTCAGTTGTTTCATATCTCATGATCTGGCCAGAGACTTAGCTAATGATATCATGACATTGGTATGTACTGAACATGTTTTGATAGTATTATTGACATTAAAATATAAATATTTATATAAATGTTTGTAAATAGATGAGTTCTACGAAGCCCTATCTCAGAATGAAGGCGGTGTTGATGATGTACAAAGTATTCTTAAGATATCCCGAAGCTTTAAGACCAGCGTTTCCTAAGTTAAAAGAGAAACTAGAAGATCCAGATCCCGGTAAATAATTTGCTATATTGTTACTGAAATAATATATCTCATCCAAAAATTGATTTTTATAATATATGGCATATATTTTTAGTATATGTGTGATCACTATCAGTTAAATTTGAATAACAAAGTAGTCATGAAATATTAATATTTTAGAACTGGTTATATCAATAGAAGGTTAAAAAAATATTTGGTAATATATCTAATAGTTTTTCTTAATTACATATATGATATATAGTATATTGTTATTGTGCAAAGAAATATATTATTATTTGATAAACTGATAATTCAGTAGCAACTGAAACTTAGGAGGTGATAAATAAATTAAAAGGTTTTTTTATTTTCAGTACTTCTTTAAATTTTCTCAAGTATAACACATATATTGCTAAATAATTCTTCTAACAGATTATAATGTTTATTAATTATAGCCTTCAAAATGTTATGTTAATGTGTAGGTGTACAGTCGGCTGCTGTGAATGTTGTGTGTGAATTGGCTCGGAAGAATCCCAAGAATTATCTGTCACTGGCTCCTGTCTTCTTTAAGCTAATGACCACTTCCACTAACAATTGGATGTTGATAAAGATAATTAAACTGGTGAGATTATATATTATAACACTTTTATATAAATCAATATCATTATAACAATACATTAATAATAATTTAAACAGGAATAATGAATGCGGCGAAATAAAAAATATATGTTTATCTTGAATAGCATAATGTAATATAAAAATACTTTAGCTATCACTGAACCATTGTTAACGTATATTTTCACATATTATTAATTATTCACAGTTTGGTTTAATGACTCAGTATGAACCAGATATCGGAAGAAAAATAACTCAAAGCCTCATAGACCTAATTTGCAGGTACCCACCATATGAAAAGTTAGCAGCTAGATTCATACTCAATGAGATTATGTGACACATGAGACTGGCTTTGAACGCATATGCTATAGTGTAAATCATGATACACATGTACAACCTTCAACACAAGCGAAATTATTTAATACACCCAACCACATGATACACATAATTGGCATGTTTACACATTTTATATTTTTTGCCGCTGCTGACACAACATGAATTTTTCTGGGGGTATAAATTATATAACGATGTTACCATGACTAGACACAGGCCCATGCATATGCTAGTTTTATGTAGAATCATTGTGTTTGTTACAGTTTGGTGCCTTAACCCCATTAGAGCCTCGACTTGGCAAGAAACTGATAGAACCATTAACTAATTTAATACATAGGTGAGTCATACGGTGGCTGAGGTTTAACATTATAATTTATAGACTCTATGGGGTAAAGGGAATGTAGACGATCAGCGGATAAGCCGTTGGAAGTTATCACAGCTTCGCAGCTTGTTCTGAGTTGTGTGAATAGTGCTTAATTTTATTTAGATTAATATCACGCTTACTTAACACCAGTCAAGCATACATATAGCCGTAACTTTGTCAGTGCTCTTGAGAGAAAACTTGAGAAATAAGAGACGTAATAGCTTGATGCATGCATGACTCGCGTTAATGTCATGCATTGTATAAGAACAATAGCATACACTAGCACCAATATGATATATTATAATTTGTAATTTTTATTACTATCGTCATAATACTTTACTAACGCACCAGTACTTAATAATTAAAAAAACTTAAAAATACCAGAATTTATGTATCATTGGCATATTCGAAACGATACAATATATTAAGACAGCTGTAATAATGACAAGGCAGACGTTTTAGTGGTAAGTAATAACTTTTAACAGTAATTGATATTATATTGCTTTTCAACTTTATATGGTTTCAATACTAACATAACGCGAGTCATGCATATGCATGATATGCGTTAGCGTTATACATGCATGCAGATTGCAGCATATCTAATAGTATTGTTGAATATATTTGCAGCACGTCAGCCATGTCACTGCTGTACGAGTGCATCAACACTGTGATAGCTGTTCTCATCAGCATCAGCAGCGGCATGCCGGGCCATGCGGCGTCAGTACAGCTCTGTGTACAGAAACTACGGATACTTATAGAGGACAGCGATCAGAATTGTTAGTTGTCACGAACAAAAACAGTATTATTTATAAGGGTTGAGTGCAGAATTGGTCGTATAACTGGGTTTTTTGTTGAAATGAATACTGTTGGAACTGTCATACATATAAAAGTGTGTTTCTGCCTTTATATTTTTACAAGATACATAATTGATCAAAATTTTATTACCAGATAATTTTGATTAAATATAGTGCTTATAAAAAGGGAATAACTATCATAATGTTTACGTTTGTAGTGTTAGTTTATAATGTTTTCTCTTCCAGTGAAGTATCTGGGTCTGCTGGCCATGTCTCGGATACTCAAATCTCATCCGAAGTCAGTTCAAGCTCATAAGGACCTCGTTCTGGCCTGCTTGGATGATAAGGACGAATCTATAAGACTAAGAGCTCTTGGCTTGCTGTATGGAATGGTATGTTATATTAACATAAAAAAATTAATACAATTTTAAATATCGGACGCCCGTTTTATTTTAATGATAAAATCTTTATACAGTAGGACCTCGATTATCCGGACTAATTGTTGTCGGTAGGCATCCGGATAATTGAAAGTCCGGATAATCCAATATATGAAGAAAAACGGGCTTTTTGCATATGTACATATATAGTCTGTACCATACATATGTAATGTTAGGTGTTTATTTAAAACAACAAATACATATGAGCGAAAATCAACGTTTATTAAGAAATTGTACATAATGTACGTATAAGTGTTATAAGTGGCGTGGCGTTATGCAAGTTCTCACATGTTAATCTATACATATAATAAAATTGTAGAAAAGTGCTGTCTGTACATTGAAAATAAAAATTAAAAAAATAGCAGGGGTTATTGTTATGTCGATGTCGAACCCAAAAATGTAATTAACTTTTTTTTTGGCTGTTTGTCTGTTCACTCTAATCTCAGAAACGGCTGATCCGAGTAGGATGCGGTTTTAACGAATATATTGTGGTATGCTTCAGTTATGCTTTAGTGTTTGTTTCATGTCAATCGGTTCATAAATAAAAAAGTTATGTCAAATTAAGAATTGAAGAACTGCGTTCAATATTCGACCGGGTGTATCAATTGTATGTGTCTCTGTCCCGTGTTAGCAATCCCAGCAGCCTGTATGCTTTCACCCCCGATGGCCATACGTCTAATATTGTATATAGAGAAGCATTACAGTGAAGTAGGTTTTTTAGCTACCCAAAATGACTGTGATTATGATCCAAAATAAAAATAAGAATATATTAAAAAAAACGCTGCTCATAGTCACTATTCCACGCGAACGAGGTCGCGGGCACAGCTAGTGTTAGAATAAACTCGTCGCGATTGCCAGTCCGGATAATCGCGAATTCGGATAACCGAGGTCCGGATAATCGGGGTCCTACTGTATATATAATTCTTCTGTGAGTGTGTATGTCACTGAACTTCTCTGAAACGACTGGACCGATTTTGATGAATTTTTTTGTGTGTGATCAAGGGGATCTGGGAATGGTTTAGATTTACAATTTTGTCCGCTGGACAAGATTTTTTTAATAAATTTTTAATTTATCATTCTGTCGCACTTCAAAACACGGAGATTTATGACTTTAATAGGTAAACTCTAAAAATATAAATAAAAAAACGTAACAGATATTTCTTGATTAAAGAGAGATACGAAGTTCGCCGGGTCTTCTAGTATTCATATAATCTATGTTCTTACTCTGTCCGTGTACAGGTGTCGAAGAAGAACTTGATAGAAATAGTGAAGAAACTGATGGTACACATGGAGCGAGCTGAGGGTACGCTGTACAGGGACGAGCTGCTGACAAGGATGATAGAGATCTGCTCACAGAACAACTACCAGCACGTGGTGCACTTCGAGTGGTACATCACGGTGCTGACGGAACTCACTGAGATGGAGACGAGTGCTAAACACGGTATGTATATAAGTCACTATGTGTGCGTGTGTGTATGTGTGTGTACATGTGCCTGTAAGTATACGTGTATCCGAAAGTATAATTTTTTTAATCCACGTTACACGTATGTAAATACTACTAGCTGCGCCCCGCGGTGTTACCCGCGGATTTCCGGGTTGTAAAGTAGCCTATGTGTTATTTCGAACGTCAGCTTCCTGTATACAAAATTTTATCAAAATCGGTTCAGCCGTTTGAGCGTGAAGAAGTAATAAACATACACACACACTCACAAACTTTCGCAATTATAATATTATACTATATATGTGTGGGTGAGCGCGTAAGTGTATGTTGATATCTATGCGTATGTGTGAATGTCATTTAGTGTGTGTCAATATTAGTGGTTATAACTTATATGTGCTAGCTCGAGTGAGGATGTGTGTTTGTGTGTGTGGCATGTTGCTAGTCGATTTGGTTTAAATATTTATATCAACTAATTTTATTCATGTTAAATCTATTATTTCCTTTTCATCATTTGTAATAGGCATATATAAAAAAAAATAAGAAGGCATCTTACTTCAGGACACGTGAATATAAATACATAATTACACATAATTATTAAAATTGTTCTAATTTTTGTGCCAAATTTAAGTGAAAAATTCATAATTTAAACTCAATTAACAGAAATCCTAATATTTGAGTATCATGAATATTAACTGATAATTCTATTGGTAAAAAAGTAATACCGCTTTATTTCTTCTAAATAGATAAAGAAGTTGCTCAAATTATGTTAATAAGGTCAACCCACTGAGATTATTGATAATTAAATTTTACATACTATAGAAGTTACATCACATATTGTGGGCGTTTTTTATACCAATATAATATATGAGATAATAATCAGTTGTATATTTCCGCTCAATAAATAATTATTCTTACTCATTTCAAATTGAAACCATCTGATGATTTTAATAAACATATAGAATATAACTTCTGCTCTCAATTCACATTAATTTGTATTTATAGAACCCAAAACTAACCTTTTAGTTTGGTTTGATTAATTTGACATGGTCCTAAAACTTGCACAAGCCTTAAACATTTGTTATAAGTTATTAACTTTGTCAAATTTCAAATACTGGAAATATTGTATTCTTTCTTAGGAAAAAATATAAGGATATTAAAATAGCATCAAAAGACAGGCAAATTTATTAGTCAGTTGCTAAATAATCTTAAAGTTTTCATACATTGAGAACGGAATAATCGAGAATTAGTACCTACTAAGTTGTTTAATCAATTGTTTGTTTAATTTATTTAGTGTTGCATGTTTGAATAACTATTATGTAAGTGATTTGTAACACGACGTATTGTTACAAAATCTCTTAGACCGATCTCTTGGGTTCATTAACAAGTCAGATATAATAATTTGTATAAAAATATACATTTCAACAGTGGCGGCTGTACCTTAAGTGCACTCGTGCGCTGAACCACCAATTCAAAAGATTTAAAAATTACAAAATATTACTTCATCTTTATTTTTAAATTACCATTTTAATATATATGTTTTAAACATACAAAAACGTATAAACAATTAAATTTCTAATTATAGTCAAAAAGATTGAGCGCTTTACTAAACTAATATCTCGTGCGCTTCGGCGAGTGCACGAGGACGGCTAATACATTTTGTATGAGACACGAATTAATACGCCTGGCGCGTGAAACAAAAGATAGTTCATAGAAATGTACCGAGTAATGAGTCGGTTCTCGAGCGCCGCACGAGCGGCCGAAGATTACCGAGAGCACCCGATGTATGATGAATTGGAATTGAAAAGAATAAAACTTTTCTCCGAAATACCATGTACTTGCTAAATGCACTTTCTGCGCTTAGTATTGAATAAAAAAATATATACAAACAATACCTGATTTTAATAAATAGGTGATTGAACATTTCGCTTCGGAAAAATGTCGTTGCATTAATTAATGTATAAAAAATAAACATATTTTATGTCAATTGGTTTTTTGTTGCATTTTATAATTTTAATATTTTAGTAAAGTGCACCACCAGTTAGATAAACCACTAGCCGCCACTGCATTTGAATGATATACACACATAACATCTTGTCCCAAAAATATTTGTAGCGAAAATCCTGCGTGTCCATTAGAAGTTGGTATCATAATTTTGTTTAAAAAAACTTTTATGTACCAAATATGACACTCTATATAATATAGGAGAGTTAACAAAAAAGTTATGTCTCAACTATATTATGATGGCTGTACTTATTAAATGTGACTAAATACTAATTCTAAGTCAGTGGTGGCCTAGTGGTAAAAAGGTCCGCCTCTAATCCATGAGGCCGCGGATTCGATCCTGGCAAGTACCAATGTAATTTTTCCGAGTCATATGTACTTTCTAAGAGTATTTAGACATCACTGACATACGGTGAAGTTAAACATCGTGAGGAAACCTGGAGTTATAATTTCACAATTATAAGTTTGAAATCACCAACCCGTTTGGGCATGAGCGGTGATTAATGCTCAAACCTTCTTCATGAGATAAAGAGGCCTTTGCTCAGCAGTGGTCTCAAAAAAAAAGTCATATTAACGAAAATAATATATTATCTATTCATTTCCAGGGTGTATGATAGCGGGTCAGTTATTGGAGGTTGGAGCGCGAGTGTCAGAGACCCGAGCCTTCGCAGCCCGCGAGTGTTCGTCGTTGGTAACTCGTACCGCGGCCGCGCAGCACGCTCCTCGCGCCGCATCTAGAGAGGTGTTATACGCCGCTGCCTATGTACTCAGCGAATACTGCACGTTAGTATATACTATATGTATATAGAACATGTGGATTTTTTTTGGACATGTGTGACATATTTTGCTCTTTCGTGCAAAAACTTCTAAGCAGATTTTGATGATTTTTTCCAATCATATAGAACATACAGACAGATCAGAATAACCTAACGGAGAAATTTGTTGTGGAATTCCGAATAATCCTTATCGGAGCAAGAAATAATGGTTGTATTTTGTATTAAGTAGTGACACATGTATAGACTATAGATAAATTCCACGCAAACGAAGTCGCGGACAAAAAATGTTTATATAAATGGTCAAATAAATATTTTTTCCTTTTTCATCCATGATAAATGTATCTCTTATAACAAGTTCGCAACCGATTGTGATACTATCATGTACTAAGACTTGTGATATGAAACTGTGAACTATCCGAACCTAGTTTGATATTGCAAAAAATTACCATTTATATAAATAAATTTACATTGGCCGTCATATAACACATTTTATTCATGAAAAGTTAATACTACATATATTACGTTCGACATCTCAAAACAGCTCTTTTATTGGCAAGATTGTTTAAACTACTTAAAGTTATTAATAAAATAAAACAACACATTTGAATGGACGGACATTTCTTAATAGTCTAAGATTGGTATTTTTTATCTACCTATGTATTGTTATTTATTATTATTATTATTATTATTATTATTATGTCACATGTGACATATCGTCAGCCCGTGATCACGGTTTCTGTGTATTAACCCAAACGTCGTGTTAACGTTGTTAAAAATAATTATAATGTTTACTCGCGAAAATAGCTGTAATTTAATGCAACTGATGACGTCACACGTCACGTGACCTGTCCCCCCAGCGAGGAGCCGGTGATGCGTTCGTCCCTGTCCCCGCTGCTGGTGTGCGCGGGACTCAACTCGGGTCCTTCAAGCGGCCACATGCGGGCCCGCGCCGTCTGTGTACACGCAGCCCTCAAACTGACAGCCAGACTACTCGTGATGTATGAGAGCAGAGGCGACCGGAACGCAGCCCTATCGGTTAATATATGTTTCATATTCTTCTCATTTAGTTTTACATTCAAAAAGATAGGGGCCGTTCAAGTATTACGTAAGCACTATGGAGGGGCGGGGGGTCTTTGCTTTACTTACTTTTGCTGACAAGTTGGATGGGGGGGTAAATATTTATAATAAATCTGTTTACGTAATACTTGAACGGCCCCATAATCAGCAGCTTTCACTAAATATTTTTTTATTTTGTGTTATATATCTGTTATAAATCTCCCAACCTAAATATAGGATTAATACTATCTAAATTCTTATTATTTTAATTCTGTAATTTTAATCATGTTTTATATCACAGGTTATCCATGAAACGTTGGCTGGCATGCAGCCGTTACTGAGCAGCGAGGATATGGAGGTACAGGAGCGAGCCCACAACGCTACGGCTCTCCTGCGTATAGTGTTGAGGAAGATCAATCCTACGGATCCCGCGCTCGGTGGTGACGTCATACATAATGACGTCACTGGCACCTTGGTTGAGCACGAGCCAGAACAGAGGTTAGATATATGGACATTAGTAATCAACTGTATGTGTATGCGATGTTGAGTGTGTGTTTGTGTGTGTGAGTGTGCTCATGTGTGTACTTTATTATTTTCATATAGAAGATATTTAACCACAATTTTATTTCAGTAACGGTGTGGATAAAATTGGTGATAGTGACATGAATGGTGGAGAAGACGAAGGTTTCAGCGGCGGCCTCATAGCAGAGTTGGCTGGTTTGTTTGAGGGAGAGCTCAAGCCCGTAGCGCCTAAAGCACAGAAGAAAGTACCGATGCCGCCGGAGTAAGTAGGAAAAAATCAAGTCATTTAACATATACTACAAAATGAACATAATTTATGTATTGCTCAATATAATTTGATGGCTCACTACTTTATCATAATATGGGCATATAATTAGCAATTGGATCCGATATAATACATTTGAACACATTATTCTACTAAAATTAGAGTTCAAAAATTTTTAAATGAGAAATTAATAGACATAAAAGATGTCATAATAAACTAGCTGCGCCCCGCGGTGTTACCCGCGGATTTCCGAGATTTTCGAGATTTCCGGGATGTAAAGTAGCCTATATGTTATTCTTGGACGTCTGCTTCCTGTATACAAAATTTTATCAAAATCGGTTCAGCCGTTTGAGCGTGATGAAGTCACAAACATACACACACACTCACAAACTTTCGCAATTATAATATTAGTAGGATTAGTGAAGTTACATCAATGAATCAAGTATTATATAAATGTTTATCGCCCACCAGTTTGGACCTCAGTGAGTGGCAGTCTTCATCACGGTGGTCTTCAGACAGCTCCGCCTCTGAGGCAGAGGAAGACGCTCTGTTCGTGACTCCTCAACCTGAACCAACACCCACAGAACCCGCACCTTCACTACAGATGGTTTGTTCACAAGATTGTATTATATATTCCTTAAGTGGTTGTTTTAATTGTTGAAAACTGGACTAAATTCTTGACATCCGAAAAACTTTTAAATATATATTCGAGGAAGAATTTATTGCATCACGTTGTCTCTGTAAGTTTGTAAATGTCTGTGAGGCGAAACCTCTTAGCATTCAATGGATTAAACGTGCGGGTGATGAATCCATCGTTGCAGGGAGAGGAGCTTCAACAGTGCCTGGGACTTGCGACCCAGGTGTAGGTTTAAGGGGCCCCTATCTAACGCGCGCTAAACGGTCACCTTCACTGTCCAAGCTCCTCTCTCTACCAAATTTAAAAATAACCTACTATGGCTGCCTTCGAGTATATTCCAAGAATTAATTGATATTAGTTCTAGACAGGTCCAAGTCTTTTAGTAGGCTATAGATTCAGTCGTTATATATTCCTAGGTTTATAATGTGTTTCATATATTATTTGTTAGTTGCGCGAGGCTCGTCTGTTGGAGCAGGCTAACAACCCTCACTACTTGAAGGACGACGGTCGCTACCAGCAGGAGGACGACGACCCGCCCGTCGCTGAGATCGCCTTGGACGTGCCGCTACAGATAACCGGTTAGAATTAACTACTACTTACATATACTACACATACATATATAGAATAATGTCGTAGAATGCTTTGAGTGTGTCCAAAAAATTCTCAAGCAATTCGACCGATTTTTCCTATGATACACTTACAATTTACATATCGTCGGGGATAATGCAAATCCGCGTAAATACCATTCGATAAATCCGAGTATCTACATGTGACGAAAATTATCAAAGGAAAGTTTGAGCTGAAATGTTTTGTAAATTATCTACTTTTAAGGTAATTTTTTCATAATTAGTAATAAATTAAACACTAAATAATTACACTATCGATTTGCACTATCCCGGACGATACACTACATATACATACATAGAATATTGTTGTAAAAGGGTTTATAAGTGTGTCCCAAAAAGACTCAAGCAATTCGACCGATTTTTACTATGATGTATTCAGTTTTTGATCATTCTCATTCAAATGGATTGTTATAATGATAAATTTGTATATTGAATATATAACTTCTTTTAATTTCTATAAAATTACTGCTGGCAATTTATTTTGTCCTTATATCAATAATATATAATTTATACTATTGGTCTGTTCATTGTATAAATAAACTTTTTTTTAAATTCTTTAATAAACATGATGAATCAGAAATTAGTATTGTTTATGTGGAGTATATTTTGTAATTCATTTTTCACATTTCAGTTAAGAGATCTGATAAGTACTTAATGTCGAAAGAAAACTCGAAGAAGACGAAGAAAGAGAAGAGGCCGTCCAAGAAACGAAAGAACAAAGTGGAGAGGCATTCTTCAGAATCAGAGAGTGACGGTAGGAGATAATGATGTTCCTAATAATATTATAGATTGCTTTATTAACAAGCTATTAACAGATTTAGTAGCACTTATCATTCTCTAATGATAGGAATGAATTGATTTCATTGCGTAAAATTATTTAGAGTCGCTATATAATTTTCCAATATCTTTGAACATTTTACCAATTAACACCAGCTCCAACAAATGTAACATGCAGTTACATATAACCGATATCAGTTACCATAATACGTTTTAGTCGTTGTTTACTTCAGAGTAACCAATATTATGAGAAAACGAACTACGAAGTGATAAACTAATAATATATTTGTATGTTTGTCAGAAGTGTCAGTGTCCCGACCTACTGTGGCTGAGGGCGGTGAGTTACCGGAGGGTGCTGCGCCCTCGGACGACGAGCCTCCGCCCCGCGATGACCCCCATCGAGCGCTTGACCTTGACCTCGACATGTACGTACACAACAACGACAACCAGACAAGATAAATTTTGTAAACCTTAAGTATTGCTTGTTGTCTCTACGATTAATGAGCATTTATTTATTACGTAAATTTTATTTTAGCTTCATATCTTTTTGTAAGTGCCTTACTACTTTTAATGTCGGCTTTCCAGAAAAAGAAAGAATTTGGGATTTGATTACATTAGTTTTGTGGTTCTTATAGAGTAACCAGATAACTAATTGTCTGTATTTCTAAGTCTCGGAAATTTAATTTGTATAAAATCTAATGTTATTGTAATGTAATATGTCTATATTCCAAAGGCCATTACGCGAGGAAGAGTTGCTCAGCACACGAACACGGCCGTACCCGCTACCGGACAGTGGCTTACTTATAAAGAAAACGGAAACCAAGAAAAACAAATCATCGGAAAAGAAAACCTCCGAAAAATCTACCCACAAAAAGAAATCCAAGAGCTCTAAACGGAACAAGGAAGCCGACCTCATATTACCGGAAACGGAAAATAAGGTTGAGGATATACTGTTGATTGAAACTGAAAACGGATCTAAGAGTAATGAGATTGTTAAAAGTGATATTTATGATGACAAGCCAGAGAAAATTAAGACTGAAAAGCATAAAAAGTCAAAGAAAGACGCCAAGGAGAAAGATTCAAAGAAAAAGAAGACGTCTAAAAAAGGTTAATCATCTAACATAACATGTTTTATAAATATTCAATTTGACTGTACTAATATACAATTATTTTGTTTCAGGAAAACATGAAACTAAATTAGGTTACGAAGAAGCAATAGGTATTTCAACGCCAAGCAAAGAAGTTGTATAGTGAATGGCATAATATTAACTTTAATCTTTCCTGAATCCTCTCCACATGCTGTCTCAGTGCAATTTGAACAAACAAATGTTTGATTAATTTTGTTATATTAGTTAGATTCATTTATATAAATATATTATAGGTAATGTTTTTATTCTTAAATGTGGAATGTGTCCATTTGCAAATAACACATATTTCTATTGATGTAGACTAATAATAAATATATATAATCATGTACAGTTTTATTCAGTTATTATTAAAAAAAATAAAAATGCTATCGCAATTTCATATATTACCATTTTTAATTACTGACACATCCAAATATATATATAATAATGCAATTAAAAAAATATAAATATAATTTCATTGATTTGAAGTAAAAAACAATAAATAATGATCCTTCCAAGAATTAAGGACAACGCGATCTGCCACCTTTTTTACTTTTGTACATAATGGAAACCTGTAAATTATATATTTTAACGATTAGCAACTTAGAGTAAGCAAGTTAAATATTTGCACTAAAAAAATATCTTTTGCATGACCATATCATGTAAATTCACTTCGTTAACTACATATTACACATCATTAATAATAAAATTTGTCAACAAACTTTCGTCTCTAGATAATTTATTAGTAAAGTATCAGTTTTCATGTCCATCAATTATATAACTACAACTAGCTATAAGCCATTCTTTAAATAAAAAAATAAAAAGGTTTTACTTAAATAAAACTAAATATAAATATTATAGTTTATTACTGTTTACAGCAACACAATAAATATCACTTGGATAAATCGAATAAATATATAACTTATTGTACTGTAATATAAGAATACCCATAGATAAAATGTTTGAACTAAGATGAAACTGTTCACTATTTACAAAGAAACATACATACAAGGTACGCAAAGTACGAAATACATAATTATTGCGAAGATACACGTTCGAGGGAAACACTGTCCCTATACAAATTGGCAAATTACTATACAAGTAAACAATGTCATATATAATATTGTGGTTAAATACTTCATAGAAACATCAATATAACAAGTCGGAGTCTAGAAATAGTCGAAACAAAGTCTTCATTCTAATTAAATAATATATGCAACCAATATTTATTTACTTACTTTTAAAGTTCAATAAATAGTATGTAATTTAAAAGAAAGCGATTACAAGGAACACCAAAACGGACAGTATATGTTTGGCTTCAAAATTTAACTACAATTATAATAAAACAGTGCTTAATACAATAAAGATTATACATCAACATGTAAACAAGAACTGTTACTTATTTAATACAATACAACAATTACAAATAAAACGATCAAAAATATAAATGAAACATTTTGTACCTACAAACTAAATGTCATCTACAATAAATAACACAGCGCATGATCCTTACATATGATTAACTATCAACAACAAGCGTGGTGTTCCATATTCGAAAGAGGTGAATGAGATTAATAGATTTTTTTTCAATATTTTTGCTTATGGTAATACTTTATGGCTTTACTTTTCTAACATGTATTTAGGGATATCGAATTTGACCTCGACTCCGGCTTTCTTGGCGAGGGACACGATCTCAGATAGTTGTACAGCGAGCTGGGCAGCCTCATCCAAGTCGTCTCTTGGTACAATACGCAGACCGGAATCCGCGATCAACTTGCGAGCCTCATTAACCTTAGTACCCTGATAAATAATGATAAGTTAATAAAAGTCTAGAGTAAGTGGTGGCCTAGTTGTTAAAAAGCCCGCCTCTTGTGCATAAATGAGGGCGAGGGTTCGATCCTGGCAAATACCATTGTGATTTTTCCGAGTCATATGTATTTTCTAAGAGTATTTAGACACCACTGACATACGGTGAACGAATATATTGCTAGGAAATCTGGACTTATATTTTCACAATTATAAGTTTGAAATCCAACCCGTCTTGAGCAAGCGTGGTGATTAATGCTCAAACCTTCTCCATGTGAGAAGTGGCCTTTGCTCAGCAGTGGGCTCTGATAGGCCGATGACGAATAAACGCTTGGAGAAAACTAAACTATGTTCACAGTATATACACATGATGTTTACCTGAAGTCGTACAATCACTGGTATTTGGATGTTGAGGTTCTTCGCGGCGTTGATGATACCCTCTGCGATGACGTCACAGCGCATGATACCTCCGAAGATGTTCACTAAGATAGCAGACACCTTTGGGTCTGATAAGATAATCTTGAATGCTTCCTGCCACGTGCGATAAAAATATTATTAATATGTTTTACAATGCTACACCTGTACTACATTATGAATCATATTAAATATTTATCGAAATAATTTCAAGATAGATTGTATTATATAATATACTAGAAGACCCGGCGAACTTCGTATCGCTCTATAATCAAGAAATATCTGTTACTTTTTTATTTATATTTTTGGAGTTTACCTTTAAGCCATATATCTCCGTGTTTTGAAGTGCGACAGAATGATTGATATATTAGTTAGTTGTCAAATCTAATGTCAAAAAAACGTTTGTATGGGAAATAGAAAAGGGCTGTTTTCAGGGTTTTCCCGGAAATGAATCAATTTTTTTCAGCTTTTACACCTCCCCTGAACCACCACGAACATTTCAAGACTAAGGCAAGATAAATCCGTTCAGCCATTCTCGAGTTTTAGTGAGACTAAAGAACAATAATTCATTTTTATATATATAGATTGTGAAGCAATAAAGTCTACACAAAAAGTTATCTAAATCCAGTGTATTACCGAGACAGCCTGAGCGGTGGCGCCTCCTCCAACGTCGAGGAAGTTGGCTGGATCACCTCCATAAAGTTTGATGATATCCATAGTGGCCATAGCAAGACCAGCACCATTCACCATACAACCGATACTACCTACAAGTTACTCTCATTATTAACTGACTTATATAATGTACAAATATGAATTAAAAAAAGAAATATTAATAAATGAACTAATAGAATTAGACTGTCTTAAGAAAACTTGTCAAAATAATTGTTTGTCTTTCATTACTTTTTACTATAGTCATATACAGTATATTTTGTATATTTGGTTAGGTTATATTTTACAAACCATCAAGAGCGATGTAGTTCAAGTCAAATTTGGCTGCCTCAATCTCCTTGGGATCTTCTTGGGAAATGTCTCTAAGCTTGAAAAGTTCCTTTTGTCTAAACTGAGCATTATCGTCAAATCGAAATTTAGCATCCAGGCAGAAGACTGAAAACATACATTTATTATTCAATGGAAATTGTTTAAAGAAAAGAATATACTGATTGTATATTTGTATTTGAAAACTTACATTGTCCTGTTAGTGCGTCCTCAGCATAGGGGTTGACTTCAATCAGTAAAGCATCTTTCTTACAGAACAAGTCATACATTTTCTTCATCATGTCGCTAGCCGCTGGGGCGTGTTCTTGAAGTCCTATCTATAAATTAACATTGAAATTACTTAAACATGTAAATACATAATTCGAATTGATACTATTTGTCAGGTGATAGTGTATTTGTAAATAATATTACATCTTCTATTTATTGTATATAAATTATAAACCATTGGCTTATAAATTCAGATGAAAAACATCTCAGAATCAATGTAACCAACACTGATGAGATGTCAGAATGTAAGCGCGCATCCCCACACACAAGCAAAATAATTTCCTATTTTTTATATTAGAATAATATCACAGATTGAGAAAATTGGATACAAAATTATTAATATTAATAACTTTATATACATACTACTTTTAAAAGTAATGAAATAATCACTAACAAAGGCTATTTGAATGTTAATCTTAAAGAATATATCAACACTAGTATTTAACTATCTTAAGTTATGTAACCATGGTTAACTGATTCATTGTCAAAATACTTAAAAACAATTTTATATCTGCATTGCAGTAAAATGTATGATCTAAACTGGAATATCTCTGTTTTCAATTAACTTAGTGTTTTATATTTCATTGTAAGTAATAATAATAAACATATATAAATAACTGTACTTTTCAAGACTCTATCCTTATTATTGGTTTTTTACTGTCGGACAAACAATAAGAGTTTTGAAGAATATATTAGAGAAGGATTACAATTTACAGTATATCTATATTGTAAGAGATAGTATATTAGATATTTATTTTGTGAACAATTAAACTAGTAGTTACTTTTAACCAAAATACAATAAAGAGTGAAGTTTACAATATACAAAGTATGAATTCAATAATGATTCTCAATCTCAGAATAACATTAACCTTTGGCCTTAAAACCTTGAAAAAATATAAATTTACTTCCAAAATTGTTCTGAAGCTTGTGATCACAATCAATGTGTAATATATGAAATTCAATTTACATAAGCTGTATAATTATGTAAAATGAATTTCATATTAGTTATTATCAACCACAAGTTTGATTTTATTTAAAGTATTGACCAAATTCATATGACATTCTTAATATTAACAGAGATGTAAAGAGTATGTGCAATATTATTTTTACTATGAAATATGAACAATAATTTAATTTGTTATACCTTGCTAATAACACGGGATATTTGTTCATCAGTGATGCCAGTGACAATATCTATTGGTTCGTATGTGATGGCATCAGGATTCTCTGCGGCCACATCCTCAATGTTGACACCTCCTTGAGATGAAGCAATGATAACCGGACCCTGTGACACAGTTCATTGAAACTTCATTTAATACATATTGTTGGGGATAGTGCAAAATCTCAGTAACTACCATTGAATAGTTCAGCGTATCTACATTAGATGCAGATTATTAGAAGATAGTTTAAGCTGAAATATTTTCTATATTAACAACTGTTAAAGTATTTTTTTCACAATGAGTAATAAATTAACACTAAATAATTAATTTTATAGTGGTCGTTACGCGAATTTGCACTATCCCTGACGATATTATATAAATAAACGTTATAAGACAAAACTTTGTCAAAGATGACATAAAATATCAGTATTTATGAGAAAAAAAGTTAAGTATTGATCTGTACATTGTGTGAAGTACATAAACTACAATATTAATTGATACATTCATGAACTAATGAACATTGATGAACAGGCAATTACTACTGTTTACAACTCACATTCAATTGGATAATAAACTATGCTCTAGTATTGATTGTTTAAGATAAAAGAAATCATATTTCATTAATTTTAAATGTTTTTTCTACAAATTGACTTTAAAAGAAACAAAATACAATACAACAATGATAGGTGTTCAAGAAATTGGTGACAAATGACATAATTCTTTACATTACAATTCAACTTTATATGATTTTACGTAAACCTATTAAATAATAATCAATTTCAATGCCAATTTACATACACACAAACAGGAAATTCTTATTAAATGAACAATGTAAGACCCAATAAGTACAAATTAACCCACATACAGAATATTTAAAATTTTAAATAATGAATGATCAATGAGAATATGATTAATTTATTTAAGTTATCTTACGTTAAAACTCCTTTCCATCATGATGGCTACATAGAACTCTCTGCGTGGGAACTTCCTCTCGGTAACCATGACCATGTTACAAATGCGACCGGCTGCACCAGTTTGCTTCGTCACCAAGTACTGCTTGAGCATTTTCCCAACAATATCTCCGGCCACCTCGGGTCTATTTCAATGAAAGTTATTATATCATTGACTATGTTACATAATTTAATAACAGAAATTGAAGTTTAAGTAATGATCGTCTTTTTACACAGAAAGTTTCCAAATGTTATACTGTTATATATTGCTCATATGAAATTCATAATGAGTTAAATTTATGTATACTTTAATCAAGATTTTTAATTTTTTTGTTAAAAATAATGTGAATATGAAGCTATTATATTAAAAATATTTTCCATATATAATTCATTGATTCAGTATCCTTACTTGTCAACCATTCTGACACCACCTTTCAGCCCATTTTTGAATGAACCTTTTCCTCTACCTCCAGCCAGAACCTAATCATATCAAAATCTTTCAAATACATAAAATAATCAAGAAAAAGAATACAATAATAAACGCAAAATTATTACTACTAGGCCTCCCTAGAGTTAGAAAGCAATGAAAAAGTTTTCGAGTAAACTAATGCCAAATTTCCATTGATTTCCATGTGTTACCAACATAATAATACTAATGTTGTATGAAGGGGTCCTGTACGGGATTATCGACCTTTTCAAATGGGTGGTAAGGGTTGGATGTGTTTGCCAAAACGAGGGGAAGGTGTCACGGACCTTCTCATCGAACTTGTTGATGCTTTCAATTTCTTTAATGCTCAAATGAATATTATTATTTTGGTATCACACACAGAAAGGATGAAAATTTGATGAAGGATGAAGGAAGAATGGAAATTTGACATTAGCTTTCTCAAACATTTTTTCATTATTTTCTAACTCTCAACTCTAGAGAAACCTAGTAATAATTATTTTGCATTTATTATTGTATTCTTTTTCTTGATTATTTAAAATGTATGAGATACATATAATTATGCTATAAATATATGATTATAAGAAAATTATATAATATAAGTCTATCATATTATACATTATAAACACAATCAGAAAAGAAAGAAAATTAAGGAATAGATTTAAAAAATCTTTATATTTTTTACGCCTACCTGAGCCTTTAGTACAATATCTTTGGTGTTAAGTTCTTGTGCATACTTGACTGCCTCTTCCTGGGTCTTGGCAATGTTAAATTTAGGCACCGGAATGCCATTGTCCCTAAGAAGTGTGTAGCTCACATATTCATGGACATTCAAATGCCTAACTTGTTGTTTATTTGGTAGATTGTGGGATGCTGTGGCTGCCAACAACTATAATAAATTACCTAAATTTTAATAACATATATAAATTATCACATCAAAAAAGTTAAACGTGCTTGAAACAATGAAGATAGAATCGTATTCTATAAATAGTTCAATGTTTTCTGTCATGAACTTGCTTTAACATTTTTAGCAGAAGTAAAATAAAATTGTGCCTCAGAATCTATAAAGCGGGATTTGAAATCACTTTCAAGAAAGAAAATGGCAACAGAAGCCAATTTATATAATATTTATTTTTCAGATAATTCTAATCTGGTTAAGACCTAATCTTATAAATAAAAAATAAATATCACGACCGTGATTGATGACGTAAGGGCGTGTAAACGACAAGGTCAAATTTATAATTATATAAATACTACACCGGGATATTTACGTAACAGATGGATCAGCTTTTCATGTAAATTCAAAATTAGCGCGAAGTACAGTGTGGAATTTGTAGTATAAAGGGCATACTGATAAGACGGCATAATATAGACAAGTTAAAATATTGATTGATTGTAAGCATACATTAAAAACGCTAAGTGAAAGCAAACTCGTCAAATTTTGATCCTAAGATGGTTCATTAGAAGAAATATAACAATTACCTTCGTCCCATTTTTAACAAAAATCGTTTCGGCAAGACCAAAGGAACGAGGTAGTAAATTCGCCATTTTTCACTACACACTATAGTATTGCCAACTAAACTTGAATTTATATGATTTAAATGACATGGATAGAAAAGTTGTCACGTGAAAAAATATTTTATTCGCAGTTTACATTGTATAGATAAAAAAAAAAACATTAAAATGAAATGATTACATATTTAAAACAAAATAAAATTTAACTTTATATGTACTGATGCGTCTTTTTTAAACACATCTGTCATCAAAAATATAATATGTGAATATTTATTTATTTTATGGTACTGTTTTGAAATAAAAGCTATTTTAAAATAGTGTTTTTTATTAACAATAAGAGTGATCTTTTTTCACATAAATACTTACGGTAACTGAAAAATATTGCGTTTTACCAAGCGCTCTTAATATTGCAAAATGGGAATAATAAATTTGTAAGCCACGGTTTGTATGTAAACATTTAAGTGATATTTTAAAGAAAAGATTTTTTTCATATTCAAATTTAATTTCTTTGATGTTGGACAACTGTTAAATGTAGAGTTATATTTAAAAAGAAAATATAAACTAAACAACGAATAATATATCGATATTAGTAGTATTCGAACGTATTCAATTCGATCCTGCAGTCTTTCCTACATAAATGTTTGTATTTTATTAAGATGGAAACTAAATAATCGCTTTAGTCAAATTATACTTTACTCTCTGTATACACAGTTCTTGATTTGTGATTTTACGATTAGAATGGTAAAAAACAGCGTTTAATGTTCCTGTTCCTACTTCTTTAAGGATTACAACACCTAATCAGACATATAAAAGACAGAAAATTTGGATCGTAGTAGCATTTTTGTAATGTATTTAGTTGTGTAAAAAATATATATGACTAAGAAAAATATAAATATACTAAGCTGACCCGACGCACCTCGTACCACCCTATAATAAAGAAATATCTGTTACACACACTACAAATTATCCTGTAGTTTCAAATGTGAAAAGTACACTAAGAAATGCTAAATGAATTATGTAGGTATTTTATTATTATAACTCCGGCCACAGACTAACTAGATATATTTGCAAAGAGCATGTAAATTTATTATTTTTTTAATTTAATTGCAAGTGCGTGAATATTACTGCCAGTGACACAATATTATATTAAAAAAGTGAAATATTGTAGTATTCTAGTAATTTTCGTATTTTTTTCTTACATAAATACCTTCTCCCAATAATAACAAATACAATAAAAAAAGAATTAGTGAAATCGGTCCAGCCAATCACGCCCGATGCCGTGACCAAGGGGTGCATTTTTAAAAATATGGATATCTAACGGTCACCCTGATCGGTGCAGAATATTAAAATTCACTTATACTACAGTCTAATAATTTTTTCAATTTCGCTTTAACAACATTTATTCCTAGAAACTACTTATGCTGACTGATAAGTAGTTTCTGCATTATGACTGCAGAGCTTTAGAGTTTTAAAATAATGTCATCAGCCTATTAACGCCCACTGCTGAGCATAGCCTCTTCTCACATGGAGAAGGTTTTGAGCATTAATCACCACGCTTGCTCAAGACGGGTTGGTGATTTCAAACTTATAATTGTGAAACTATAAGTCCAGGTTTCCTCACGATGTTTTCCTTCACCGTATGTCAGTGGTGTCTAAATACTCTTAGAAAGTACATATGGTTCGGAAAAATCACATTGGTACTTGCCCGGGTCAGGATCGAACCCGCGCCCTCGGCGACAAGAGGCGGGCCCTTTAACCACTGAGCCACCACTGACTTTTAAAATAATAATATTGTGTAATATAATATCACAGTTTAATGCTACGAAAGAAAAAAGTTATACTTATATTTTGGCCTGTAAAGCTAAAACAAGAAATAAATTTATTTTAATTTTCAATTCAGCATTCCACTAAATAAGAACCAATTTTCAATCCACCTTTTTTCTAGATGATCCATATTATGATCGCTTATGATATAGAATTAAAAATTTAAATTAGTCCATCGATTTTAGGAAGATTACCAAAAATTTAAAAATTATATACAAAAATGTAGTGGTTACCTTCATCAAAAGATCTATTTTCTGCTATAAAATTAAAAAAATAATTAATATACTATAGTCCTGTAAAGGTCTTGCATTAAAAGGACTCAATTATAATTCTAAGTTTTGTTTTATATTTTTATATAATATCAGATGAACAGATAGGTCATAAACGCTTAGTGCCTATTATTGTCTCTAGATAAGCATATGTATATATATTTGCATACTATGCATGGGAATAGCTCCATTAGTGTTGGTTTTATTGATTTAGGGAGAAATCAACCACTAATAAAACCTTATTTAAGGAAAAGAGTTGATACCTAGACTTTCTGTTAGTATCTACTTGGTATAAATTTGTTTATTCCGCCTCAAGCTATAGTTAATTTCTTTCTAGATAATTTTTTTTTATCTTCTCATTTCTTCTACATCTATAAATTGAATGGGAAAAGGGAAAAGCTAATTCTAAAATACTGAGTATAAGTTTGTAATATTTTAACATATTTATTCCAAAACAAATAATAAATATCTATAGTATCATTTTGGTAACAAATTTCTAATTGACTGCTTGGTTAACATTACACATTTCGACATTATTTCTCTGTTTTTCATCTGTCCATACTCCATTTCCAGTGAAATAATGGTTCCGTTCTAACAAATATAATATTAAACTGAGTTTTTGGGATTTAGTCAAACATTTAATGTTTATATTTTCATTACATAGTGCTGGTACATTTTTACTATGTCCCTTATCCAGTTGTTCCATTGTAGATTTAATTTTATTCCAGGGATATAACAGAATTGGACAGTTGTCGAATATATCGCTGGCGGAAAATTGTGTACTTAATTTATCATAGACATAGCTAATTTGTATGAGTGGTATATTTATCCAAAACGGATGTCTCTTCATAATGTTACAAACACTACTCGCACTGTATGACGGTCCTAATGATTGGGTGATACAGAATACTAAATCTTTACTTTTGCCGAGTCGATCACCAGTTGATTTTTCATACACTTCATAGTGGGCCCCACTTCCTGATAATATATTAAGGCTCAAACATTTTTTGTTGTTGTCATATAACTTCATGATTCTTTTCAAAGCCTTTGTGTTATAGTGTATAATTTTCAAAAATCTCGGATGATTGTAAAATGTTTTGAACTCCGGTATAGTTTTTGCATTTTCCAATCTCTCTCTTATAGTTGATGGACTTAAGGTGTATATTTGGAAACATCTCTTTTGAGCTTCATTACTTATCCCATATTCTTCAAGTACATTTTTTATCTCCAGCATAATTGAATAATTTTTCATAATTAATTTTGGATACATTCTAAATACTTCTTTGATATCAATACCACCAATAGAACCAAATTTATATATTAAATCATTCACATTATCTGGATCCGCTTGAAACAAATATAGGTTTGATTTTATCTTGTGATGTGGCATTAAAACTTCTCTTTGTAATATATTTAAAATTTTATTAATAGTTTGCAGTGGTCTATGTTTGATTGATGGATATGTATGCAAACCTCTTTCAAATTCTTCGCATGTCAAATCCAACATCAATTCCAAATATCTCTGTATTATTTTAAGTCTTAAAGAATATAAAGTCAGATTCTCTATATCTCCGTAAACTAAAGTTGTTATTGAAGTCGGCCATTGCGTCATATAGCTGGCTAAGTGATTTTCTACATTAAGGTTTGTTGATATTAATCCGCTTGCTTTTAATTCTCCAATTTTTTTTTCCTTTAAAACTGTCAAATATGTATGTAAAAGATCCGGCGTTACGTTTCTTATTCCACATTCTTGTAACACCATTTGACGAAATTTGAGTGTCATTGGTGATAAACTAAACAAAGAAGGGTTTTTAAGAATCACGTTCCTATCTAAACCTAATTGGTATAAAATCTCCACGATTTCTTTGATTCGCGCTACATCCAGGTTCTTTATAACAGGGTATTTTAAACTCAAATATTGGGCTTTATCTTTACTTATATTTAGATATTTACATAGATGGTTTAGGTTATTTCCATTAGTGCAATAATTAGTTTGAAATGATATAATGCCTAATATACATGGCTCTCTGTTATATAACCTTCTTAATATCATACCATAACTCTTATAAAACATTTCTATATGGCATTAAATAGTATTAGTACAAAAATAAATTATGTTTTACTTCTGACATAATAAGTTATAAACAGTATTTTGACAATTTAATGACATTTACTATCCAGGAAAAATGTCTATTATAAAATGTTGTCACCTTAGCAGTTTTACAATTTTGAATTTAAAGATTATTAATTGTTTTGAATAATCCTGAATAAGGTCATTATTTTTATTAAATGCTATTTTAAAAAGAGATCTTTTTCATATTTTAGGATTGAATAATTAATTAGTTACATCAAAATAAAATAAAGTATATGTTGGCTTGATGTCATTGTTTTAAATTTTAATAGGAACACATATAGATTAATCAACAAAAAGTTGAATACTTAACTCTATTGTTAAAAATATTATCAATTCAGCACATCACCAAAAGTCAGTTTTGCTAGAATGGGTAACTAGTGACTTCGGTCATGTCAAATATCATGTGTCACTTTTGTTTTGGAATTTTTGAAAGTGGGTGTGTTTTGTAGATTGTATAAATCATAAATAAGGAATAATCAAAGAAACCCTCACAACAATAAGTACCTGATTTAAAAATGAGTTCGAAGTCAAAGACGGGTCGTTTTGCTCTAGGTTTCTTTTCTTTTTCATCCCTTTTCATTATCATAGCATTTGTTAGTCCCTACTGGTTAGTAACGGACGGTAAACTTAAAAATCCCAAGTTTTTAAGGATTGGTAAATATATTTAAATTCAGATAATTGGAATACAGTTATTAATGACTAAGTATTATTTGCCTAATTGCTTTTATTTACATTTACAGGTTTATGGGAGGTATGCTTTAATGGTTTTGAAGAGGTCCATCATTGGTATGACACGGTTTTCAAAGGCTGCTGGTGGATTTTCGAAGAAGAATACTATATTATTCACGACATCTTATTACCGGGTTTCTTTATAGCGACACAATTTTTCTTCACAGTAACAGTGTGCTGTGTGTTAATATCAATATTCCTTTCCTACTTATACATGAAAAAGGATCAGGATGACGATAACTATGTCACTCTTTTGTTGACTTTTGGAACCGTTCTTGTTATAGGAGGTATCAAAAATCAATACAGTGTATATTAATATATTTTAATATTTACTTAGAGTTGATATATAAAATATTTTCAGGTTTTTCTGGCCTTATATCTGTGGCCACTTTTGGAGCTCGAGGAGATGGCAGAGACTGGATGCCTAATTGGGAACACAATGATATCGGTTGGGCATTTGCCTTGGGTGTTATTGGTGTCATTTTCCTTTTCCCTGCTGGTATATTGTTCTTAATAGAGGCTAGAGTTCGTAAATACAAAAGATTAAATGAGATGCAAAGTAGGGAGCCCTCGGCATACACAATGCATGAAAGGAAATCTGCCTATCCAGGCCATACAGATATTTGAATATTCTGTGTTTTTATTCTTGTAAAGAATTATATGATAAAATTAACTTTTGCAACTAATTCCGTCCACTATTGATGAACTTGTTTATTATATTTAACTGAATTTTTAAGTGACATTTGAATTAAGTATTTTATACATTTACTAATTTTTTTTTTAATCTTAATGTTATATATATAAAATGTATATGTTTTTTTTAATAGATTTAAGAATGCATTTAGTAACAAAAGTGACTGAAAAACATCTAACAATTATCTTGAATCTCTTGATTTTGTTTTATTTTTATATAATTTTGTGAAGTGACCTCTATTATATAAGTAAGATTTTGATATTTATATTGTAAAGCATTTTTGTATGAATTAAAATAGTATTATAACATTAATACATGTATGTGTGTGAAATTTACCTCCACAGATAATACAACAGATTGTGTTATTTCAGTTTTACTTTGTACTTTTTATACACTACATTTTAGGTAATTCTTTTCGTTTTTTTTTTAAATCCTTCTAACAGTGTTAAGTAATTACAATTTCTCTATTTTGTTGCAATTTACTTTTGTAATGAAGTATTGAGAGTGAATTAAACTTTTATGTTTGATGAATCTGTTATTTTTTATTTCAATTGGACAACTTAAGTGACATAGCATAACTATTATTTTTACCGTGCAGTGTTATTGTTATACTATGTAACAAACACTTAGTTTGGTGAACCCAGTATGAGATAGCATTATTTACTGACACATTGAGTTAAATTTTTTCTTTATAAATACTTGATTTTTGTGCCATATAATCTTATTAGCACAGCGTACTTTTCGTCGTTTGATCAACTAATTATGTTAATTTCCATTCATTTGTGCAAGTAGAGGAGGTATTTGTATTTTAAATAAATATTACGCTCAATAAAATACGCATATTATATGAATAAAAGTTCCTATTTAAAATGCGTTCCGTATACATCCATCAAAATCTAAATATATAATTTTAAAATAACTATCACATTGTTTTCCATTTTAATTCAACTATTTCCAAAATAAAATAGTTTTCGTAAGTTTGTAGTTAAATGCGTATAACCAGACATAACAGTCACTTGCCTTGGATAGTAATATAAATTGCTACCTAGTAATAGTAATATAATTGATACACGTCTTTGTATACATCTATTCATAATTCATTTATTTATTTAAAAGCAAAAAGATAACGTTCTGTTATCATAACACAACTTAATCTAAAAACTGTGTATCCAAGTTTCTGTGCATTTAATGGCTTCACAGTCCTTTGACATGTCAAATTTGTGAGGTACAGTTCCTTTACTAAGTAAGGCATCTCTAGCTGCTTGAAATCCAAAAGAAATAAGTGAATCCTCTTTCAACCCCAAAAGAACACCGTGTAGAAATCCGCTTGCAAAACAATCACCAGCTCCAGAAACATTTTCAATAGTATTTATAATTTCCCCGGAATAACTTCGAACTTGTAACTTACTAGGATCATTTTTCAGACGCTTGATAGTCATAACACCCTTAGATCCTCTTGTGATTATTAAATGGTTAACCACCCTCGAAACAATTGCCCCTAAAGAACAGATTTCTTCTATTTCAGATTGGTAGTCCAACTTACTATCCTGGTTGATAAAATTAGCCATCGCTCTTAGTTCTAATATGTTAGGTGAAGCAAACGATATCTGAAAATTTCCTTTTAAGGGTTTGATAGCCTTTCGTCTGTCGGTGGGCTCAAAGAAAACTGTAACAAAGAAAAGAGATAACTTTATTTGATATAATTTTTTATGTCAATGTGTGTAAACTTAAAAGGGCACCATGCAAATTTTTGATTTCCCAAAGTACATGTTAAGTCCAAATTGTATTTGTTTTAATGTTATTGGATATGTCTATTTTATTTAAATTTTGTAGTTATTTTCCATGCAATTTTCAGCTGCTTACCTGAGAAATGTTTGTTTTTTAAACGTTATATGATTGTCTAACGCTTACAACTACAATCATTACATCTTTATTTAGGGAGTACATCCTAGTTATGTTTGTCACAGATGGAAGGTTCAAGAAAAATTGAAAACTACTTTAAAATATTTTTGATAAAGTAGATCTTACAATTGAAACTTAATGTAAGAACTATTCGATGTAAGCTTGTAATAATATATGTAAATAAAAATTGATCTAATTGAGATAATGTCATACATTTATTAACTATAGTTAAACAAAAGGATTACTTAAATTAAAATAATGTGTTTATATTAATCACGAGTTACGATTTTGCATTTTTGTTAAACGAACATATCTTTAATTTGAAGGAAATCTATATTTGCTAACTTCTTTAGTATGAATTTATGTAACTTGCTTATGATAAAATACTGGATGGAGTGCTTACTATTAAAATTTTTGTTTTTTTTATGTGTAAACAGAAATCTATTAATTAATATTAATTTTAAATTTCACCTTATTGTTACAATATGTAAATTTTGTTATCTGTTACTCAATTTGACATGAAATGTAATTGACACCCAACCAACGGCATTTCAACTGTCACAGTGTTCATTCATAATTACTATTGTTGACTCCACCCTACACTATGCCAAGTACAAACAACAATGTAATTATTGAAATAAATAAATGCAATTCGTTAATATAACTAAACAAACTAAGTTATTGTCTCTTTAGTTAATTCTTATTTGAGAGTGCTACATATATCTTAAGTTTGAAGTTTTTTTTTAAATCTACTACTTGTTTGTTTCAAGAAAGTTTTTCGTAGTTTCAATTGTAATTTGTTTCAATAAAAATACAAGAAGTTCCAGGTAAGATATTCTTAATTTAAATATTTATAAATAAACGTTTTGGTCATTCATTATTTCATAGTTAGCAATCCACTCGCAACTTCAAGATATAGTTGTGTTTAAGGTTGCTATTTCACAATTTCAATGTTTTATAAATAAAAATCTTTTCTTAGAAGATAATGTAATTGTTTCTAGTTAAGAGAAACACATTGTATTGTGAGAGATTTGCTTGCAACTTTTTGGTATGATACATCATAATTCATACTTTGCCATAAAATTTATGTACATGAATATTATATTAGGTCTACATACAATATTTTTCTGAATTGTTAGCTCTCATGCTATGTCCTTGTATAATGTTTTGTATATATGTTTATAAAGTCTATAGTTTTGCATGCATGACAGTAAAATTAATATTTTCTAGAGACAGCTCTACCTAAAAACTTTGATATGTGTATTGAAAACCAAGTTATAAGAAAAAAGCAACAATGTTTATTTAAATACTTTAGATTTAATTTCATAACAATAGAAAAAACCTTTTACTAGTAAGGTGGATTCCTTCAACAAATTATGAATGATACTTAACTTTAGAAATTATAAGAGAGCCAAAGTTCTATTATAAATAAAATTAATATATATAAACCTATAAAGTAAAACAAGAATCATAATGTATATTATAACCATATATATATGAGTAAACTATCTATTTGACAATACCGACCCATACAACTTCTATATGTCACTATCTACATATCTATACAGTTTGAGTAATTGACCCATCCTTCATTAAAAATAATTGCATTATTATTGCTTAATTCTAAGCTGTGTTTCATCGAGATGGATTTACGAGTAGTTGTTTATAGGCTTTAATTTTTGTCACACTAAATAACGTTTTTTTTAACTAATTGTATGGCTGAAATTGATATTTGTGTATGTGTGTATTATATAAGTATAAAAGAATTTAATTTGTTAAGATCCATGAATGTAGATATAAATGCTAATTAGGTTAGTCAATTACTATAAGAATCGGTAATCTTCCGATAATAGATAAGAAATTTGTATCTTTGATGTAATGGGAGATATTACAAATTATTTTATGTTTTTTTTTCATTTTTAAATTTCTCTATAAATAAATTGCCTTCATATAGTATTTCATGAATTAATTAATGGAAGATGGCAAGTTTTGACTTCCCATCTTCCCGTCGTCTTAAGTAATGTATATGATTCTTCTATCTCTTTCTCAAAATATGTAACAAAACAATATAAATATCATATATTTTGTATACAATTCAGTCTTAACTCCAAACTAAACTGTAGCCAATTAGTAATATATATGTATATATAAATAATGTTATAAAAAAACCAAACATTATACAAACAAAATTATTTTGTCCTTAAACATTTTTAATTAAAGGAATGTTTCCTAGTTCCCACAAGCGGACGCGTGTGAACCTCTTACGATTGTGAATGTGTTTTAACAACACACTCGTACAATTCATTGAGTATATTGTGTAACACCTCCAATGACTTGGTCTCTCATAACCTTGGTTTGTGTAAAATGGACCTCTGTTTTGGTTAGAAAACTAATGGGCCTTAGCAAGGCTTTGCACTGATTTTGTTAGCTAGTACATATAGAAGGTCAATTTTTGTTTGTCTACTAGTACCTACTACTGAAATATGATCAATGTTTCGTTATATTATTTTTGATATTTTTTTAAATGTAAACGAAACTTTTGGTTCTGTTTAAAGCGTTGTTTGGTTTTGTTAAGATGGTACCTAATTATAGGTATCATTTCGATAATAAGATCGAAAGGATTAGACTAACGAGTTACAATTAGTATCTTTGTATAACTACATAATAATGTCTGGACGTAATTAAACGACATATCTTATTAATTTTTAGTAGCAAAAAATCCTTTTGGATTGTTTTAGCTATTAAATACATACGAATACGGAGTTCGTCGACCTCTAGATTGCTATTTTCATATTAATGTACTATTTTTTACAGACAAAATGAGGAAAAGGAGCTTGGCCGGTAATTGTGGGATTATTGTGTTTCTGATTGCCCTTGTGACTGTGGCATTGGCATTCGGTACGCCAAGCTGGCTTGTTAGCGACTATAGAATACGAGGAGCTAAATTGGACAGGTAATCTTATGTCATTTATTATTATAATTACCTCGCGGGCAAGCGTGTTAGTCATAAATCCTTATGATGAATTTTATATGGTTAATAAACATACAGTTTGTATATGTATATATGTAATACTATTGATGTCATAATAATTTAAACACTCAAGCTTTAATGCCATTTTTTAAATGTTTTATGTTTAAAAAAAATTGACTCATATTATCCTGTTCTTAAAAGTCTTTATTTGGAATTTATATATAGTAAGTAATGTAGAACAAAAGAATATGTATTTGTAGGTCAGAAGCGATAAAAAAGTACCTACTTCGTTTTTAGAATACTTACGTTTACTACCTTTACCTACGTGTGCTGACTACATAGGTAGTCACGACAAAAATGCTCTTTAGGAAATATTTTTTTATATAAATTCAGCTACGAATATATACATATAAGGTATTTTAAAAATCTTTGAATATAACATTTTTTTTAATAAGGTCTCTTTTGACTGGATTTTTTTTGACAAGAATTCAGTTGAAATCGATTTTATGAGATTTTGCTGTATTATAGCTTAGGTTGAGGAAGTAAAAAACATTCTGTTTTATTATTATTTTTAGGGAAATTACTGGGCATAATAAAAAATAAAGCTATTTAAATAACAATAAAATAGTCAATGAAGAGTATAATGTTCGTACGAAAATATATTTGTTTTTTTGCCTCGTTACTATAGGGAAACCATAAACGTAAACTTGTTATTGTTATACACACAACTTCTTTCACAATACTGTCTTTATCTGAAATTATTATTATATTACATTTGATTTCAATACTACATATGACCATAATATAGTTATTTTTATTCATGTTATAAATTTGTATAACAGTACGTTTGTTTTTAAAACACTATAACGAGAAATTTACGTCTTTCTTCTAACAAACAAAGATGTTTCATTCGGCCAGTTTTCTATAATTGCTTGTAAAATTAAAAAAAAGTGAAATAATTTATTGATAATATGTAAATCACGCATGGACAGCGACTGTATTGTATTCATCCTAGTAAGTTGTTTCTTATAAAACCAAAGCCGATGAAGCAAAAAAAAACATAAACGTCAATGTCAATGACACATAAGTAATATTTATTTTAAATTTCAGATTGGGATTATGGAGTCACTGTTTCCGATCTCTAGCGGATCCATTGGATCAGTATCAGAGACGGTTCTTCGTTGGATGTCGCTGGGTGTACGACCCCTTCACTACCGGATACGATAAAATACGCGGCTACTTGTTACCAGGTTAAATTTATTAATTACTAGCTTTACGCCCGCAGCTTCACCTGCGTGGAGTTCGGTTATATCGCGTTTCCAAGAGAACCTTCAAAAGTCTGGGATAATAACTATCCTATATTCTTTCTCAAAGTCAACTCTATCGCTGTACCAAATTTTATTAAAATCAGTTCAGTGGTTTAGGCGTGAAAGCGTAACAGACAGACAGACAGACAGAGTTACTTACGCATTTAATAATACACACATGTATATGAAACATAAAACTAAAAATCAAAAAAGATGATGCGTTTTATAGCTACGATGCCATAGACAGACACACAGACATGGACGTCAAACTTTAAACAATTATTATTTGATTACGGCACTAAAAGCAATAATTTTTATAATATATAATGTATGAGAAAAACATAGGTATTAAAGAAATATACAGGGTGACTGGTGAATTACTATCAATATTTAAGGAGCATACTCGGTACATGATTCTCATTCGAATTATGTAAAAAGATAGGTACTTAATTTTTGACCAAATTTCCGTATAAATAAATAAAGTGTGTACACGTTCCAAGTGTTCCAAGTGTGGACGCGTGCGGCGGCGTGCTGATACAATAACACGCCGCCGCGCGCGAGTGTGTGTATGTGTGTATACCTAATCTGTAGGGTGTTCATACGATGCGTAATTAATTACACAACTTTTGGTTAACTTTACTTAGAAGTTTATTAATATTTATGTTATATTAATTTTTATTTTGTCATATATGATCGTCAAATATCACGTCCTCAAATATCGATAGTAATTCACCAGTCACCCTGTATATATTTAATTATTGTGTAATCTTTCAGATGAAGCTTACACAATAATTATGTTAAAAGAAACAATTATTGATTCAGAACCATTTTTCTTTGAATACCTTAACGAGCTATAATTGTCTAATAACGTATGACACGTGACAGATCTTGTAAATAGTTTGTAATTATCATTTAATAAATACGATGAGCTATTGCGTGGCAATAAAACTTGGCATGAAATGAGAAAAACAAGATATAGAAAAAAAACGATGAGAACCCAAAAATTAAATTATATTATTATCATTCAACAAAACTTAAAATTTTTTGTTTTAAAAAAAGCGGGTTTTCATTGTTTTTGTAAAAAACTAAGCATTAATTAAATTCTGTTGCAAAGATAATTTTAATTAATCGATGTGCGATAACTAAAAATATAGTACAAAATGACAATATACATTATTTAAGTTTTTTTTTCAGGTTTCATGATAGCCACGCAGCTGTTCTTCACATTATGCCTCATCGGTGTCATGGTGTCAACGGTACTTGTCATCATATTCTTCCTCTGCTGCGGCCCGACTCAGAATAGATTCGTTATGATCATAAAATCTATAGGATACATCATGTTAGCGGCAGGTGAGAAGAATATTATTATATTAACGCCATTTCTATATTTTATAACGGTTAAGGGAGCGTATTACTTAACGCAATCTTCGAAGATATTTGACCCCCCCCCCTTCCCATCTTGTAACGCACCGTTACGTTTTTCTGTACCCCCACCCTTTCTCTAAACGTTACGTAACACTCAAGTGATTAATTTCACCCCAAAGTCGTAAAAGGTTCTGTCATAGTTTGGTATAGTTTTAATCTACTAAATGAAACAAGATTACTGATACAAATCTCCCTCTTTTGAAGAAATTACAACATGAACACTATGAACTCACGGATAAACACTAACGAATACTGACCACGGAACCAACATTAAATGACGTACAATGCAATCTAGGTATTCCCCGTAAAATATAAATTAAGAGGTTTGAAAACCTAATACAATTGAGGGATTGCATTAGTCTGGTCGACGTAGTGTAAAGTATATGAAAAGGGTTGCCAATTTGGGGGTTTCAATTCATTAATTTTTAGAAACAATGCTACGTCACGTTTTGTAAGAAACACCTTTTCCCGCCCCCGTAACGCATAATAAGGTTTACGAAACCCCCTCCGAATCAAATTGCTTTACGCGATACTTGAACGCTCCGTAAAGGAAAACATCTTTTTCTTTATGCTATCTATTCATTCACACTTACAAAAAAAAACAATTATTACGCATTTTGTATTAAGATACTGTTTAACAGGTCCATAGACAAGATTTAAACATTCTTGTCAATGCTTTTATACAACATATTTCGATATATTCCATAAAAGGATGTATATGTATTTTCAGGTCTAAGTGGAGGTTTGGCTGTCATAATTTTCGCATGTTTCGGTAACACGGACGGCTGGATGCCAGACCACGCGAACAATTACTTTGGTGAGAGAAAAAATATTATAAAATATATTAAACTCGGGTACATGTTAAAATATAATGGCTCTAACATATTATTAAATTTTGCGTAATCAATCAAAATGATATAGTTTTTTAATATAAATATTCTACTGATTGTAGGAATATTGTATTTATTTTTATAAATTATTCAGTTAAAATTCGATTATAGTTAGTTACTCCAATAAAGTATCTTAGTAATGATATTAAATTAATAATATAAATTGAACATAGATAATAGATAAGAAATAGATCATAGACTTTTTTCTATTATTATGGAATAATAGAAAAAAATAAAACTATAAAATACGTACATATCTATAAAAGACATAACTTAAATATTTTCATAACTTATGTTACTTTTAAAACAGAAAAGGCACGGATAAAAAATTTATCAGCTTTGATTCAATTTTATATATATTAAATATAATAATTTTATTATATATCGCAGGTTGGTCATTCGCCCTGGGCGTGGTTGGCTCCGTAGCGTGTCTCGTCACGGCCGCCCTTTTCCTCACCGAAGCGAACATTCAGATGAAGAAACGCAAACGTCTCAAGGAATCACAGGCTCGATTCGAACTGGAGACCGAGACTAAAGCTTAATTTTATATATGTGTTCGGTGCCTTATTTTTATTCCGTCCGTTTTTGTGTTCTATATTTAAGATTATATAAGATTTTTTGACACATACATACATGTCTATTGATGACAGATAACGAATGTTTTTTATGAAAAATATTTTATTGTATCGCAACAATTAATAAAATCACAAATAATTGTATTAAATTGTTATATACACCGCCCTTATATTTTCTAGGTAAATCTTTTTTTTTATATAGATTTTCATTTTATTTACTACTTAAATTTATAATTAAAGTAATTATATTAAGATCTATTTTGGTTGATATGCCTTACTTCTTTTTAATTCAACAATTATATTCATAGTCTTTTTAAATGAATCTCTATTTTTTTTTCTTCTCAGTTATAATGTCTATGGTCGACTATGACCTCAATGAACCATCCAAATAGTTGTTTATGTAATTAATATTAAGTTACAATCTCGTATGTAATATTGTATTAAATATCCGTCCAAAATATTACTGTTTAAGATTTATATGACTAATTGTATAATTTTAGGATTGATTTTTATTACATTTTAAATAATATATTTTGTTTTAATTATAACTATATCCAAGTTTCTATTTCAGGTTGTTTTGTTTGTGCATTATCTTTATATATACATATATAGAAGACAGGTGTGTTACTTGTTAGTTTCTCTATTTATAACTCAAGAACGGTTGTACGGATTTTTTCTGAAGAAGAAATTTCGAGTTAAGATGAGTATTCAATTTATATATACATACGCAGAAGTTTAAATCTAGTCAGTGGTGGCCTAGTGGTTAAAACGCCCTCCCCTCATGCACGAGGGCGCGGGTTCGATTCTGACAAGTACCAATGTGATTTTCCCGAGTCATATGTACTTTTTGAGAGTATTTAGACATCGCTGATTAATGCATTGCCAAAGAGGGTTGATGTCAGGCAGGCGGCCAGTCGTAAAAACAATTAGCCAAAACTATTCACAACATTTCAGGCAGACCCTGGCTAAAGTTGGGAAAATGCCAGGTACAAGAAGAAGACACAGAAGTTTGAATGTTATACGATAGATAACAGTTTTTTATCCTTAATTTGATACTTCATATACCTTTAACGAAATTATATGAAAACAAATATGGAAATAAAAAGGCAAAATGAGATAAATTGCTTTTTTAGTTGTTCGAAACTCTAGCAAAAAAGTGAGTACACGAAAAAACATAATGTATTATTACCAATAACTTTAATTCATATCCATTATATCGTTATTATAGTAGGTAAGTAGTCACAAATATTGCAAAATGACAAAGTAAAATGAAAGTTTTTCTATTAAACTAGTAAATTGTACTCCTACCGGTAGGTTGTAATTTTTTGGGATTTCTTACCTATACGGTTTGTATGCTTGTTTAAAATGTATTTGAAGATTTTATAAAGTTTTATTAGTTTTCATCCATAAATTAAGACCTTTTTGAAAAATTTATATTTTTAACTGATTTTTATAATTTAAGATATTGATATATATTCATAAGCTTCTGGTCAATATTGCAGACAAAGAGTTTGAGTGGATATTCATTGTTTTATAAATATCTTCATACATATATAAAAAAAGTTAAAAAAATATAAAACTTGTTAAGAGTTGACATGATTTTAAATTTAAGTGTAATTAATTGTTATAGTTATGAAGCATATTAGTTTTAAAAATAAAAATATATTAGTTTTTATGTCTTGAATAACCCCGAGTAGGATTCAAAATTTCTTGTCATTTAGTCCCCCCTCCCATTAACTAGATTTAAGTAACTTGACAGAACTTGACATATCTGTCAAATCAAACAACAATTGTATCGGTATACGGTACTCAGTAATATAAACTGTTGGTACCTATTGATTGTCGTTATAAACAATTATTTTTTACTTCAAATGCAACATTAAATAAATAAGAAGTAACCCAAAGTGAAGCAGAAAAATAAAGTGAAGCTTTTAACATTGTACAATCATGACTGCCGACGCAAATAACGAATATCCAAAAGCATCAAGTAAGCTATTATCATACTTGTGGTCACGCCCCGCAAACGATTTTTTTATTAATATTTTTTAAAAATAGAAAGGTTTTCATTTTTGTTTATATTTAATGGACATTGCTAGCTAAATCCTTTGTTTATATTATTATAGATGCAACTCTTATTGGAGCGACTATAACTTATATAGCTGGTCTGTTTCTCCTGCTCTCGTTTGCCGGACCGTATTGGATACAATCATACCCGGAAATGTTCTCGTCATTTAAACACATGGGCTTGTGGGAGTATTGCTTTGATCGCTTCAGATTCCCAGCATATCAGTATGACAAGTATTTTGATGGATGCCATTATATATTTGGTTCTGTAAGTAATTTATGCTTTTAACTAGATTTTGAATATTCAAAATTTCGTATACTAGGTATTCTGAATGGTTTCCAATCTATTATGCTGAAAGTCCTATAACTGCAATTCTGCAGTCATAAATAATGCATATGATGTTGTACTTTTGCACTTTATGTACAATTTATTCTGCAGTAGTGTTTGTTTCATTAAAGTCCTATTTGTCTTTATTTCAATTTATTATGTATCTGTTCATACTCTAATATGTAAGCAAATTTCAGGAGCTTTATACAATTCGTGAGTATCTTCTGCCTGGTTGGCTGATGGCAGTTCAGTCATTTGTGACGCTGGGATTAATGTTTTCATTCACCTCTCAAGTTCTGTTAGCTTGTGTGATTATCCGGATGCCTCTCCGCACTGTACTGAGATATGAGTGGATATTTGTATCGGCAGCTTTTGTTTTGGTTGCTTTATCAAGTGAGTATAATGCCATAAAAGAAGAGCATATCTAAGTGTCATTTTATATTAACATGAATATATTAGGTAAATTATTAATAAAAATGTTTGTTATTTTAGGTTTATTCCTGTTCCTAGCTGTGGCAATATTCGGTGGGAACTGTTATCGTCGTGACTGGCTTCTCTACCCATCATTCAATGTTCTATCCTGGTCTTATGCTTTTGCAGTTATTGCATTCATATTGTTCGGTAATTTTATTCATATATAAATTATTTTGATTTATATTTGCATCACAATAGCTGCAACTAATTTTGTAATTAACTAAACAATACCCAATTAGCCTTTTATGTTATATTCTATATAAATTATGTTGTTATAATGATCTCATATATTTACAGGTCTGGCGGCAATTCTTCTATTCTTAGAGTCTCGTAAATTATACGAGTTACGTTTAGAAGCAAAGAATCTTGTAGCACAGATGCAACACAGCCAGCCAGAACATGCTTTACACCAATTAAGAGACCAACTTCATCAACAACAACTCGGCTATTACAGGCACTAAACATGTTTAAAGCCAATTTAATGATTTTGTATATGCAAAGGAGTTAATTGTCTTATTAAGCTATGAATTATTATTAATAATCCCTACATAATATAAGATCTTTAATCTTTACATATTTTGGTAAGAAGCACAGTGTTTTATATATTTTACATATAACAATAACACATACATTCCCACACAATTCACATAGTCCATTTAATAATAGATATTTGTGCTATTACAATGTGCCTTATGTATAAACATTATCTTTATGCAAATGTGAATTATCTATTTATAAATATCTAAAGACTGTCAGCATAAAAATAGAAACATGTATACTTAAAGACAAAGAAATATTTGAATCTCATTCGGAAACAGTCCGTCCTTACTTATATGATGCATAAGTTTTTTGGTTGTAAATGCTCGGTTTTGAGAAATGTTTTTGTGAATTAGAAATAGTTTTCAGCATTTATCATATATTTTGTATTAATGTAATGTATTAATTAGTTTTTTCCATTGATGTTAATATAAGTAAATTTTTAGTTATATATTTTAAGTTGATCTTAGGGATGTTGTTTACAAGTTGGTATTTTGCAGCTCTGTCCCAGATAATGTGGTTGAATTGAATATATGTCGATCATTTTTAGTGTCATGTTATTTCTTAATTTAGTATTAAGTTTCACATTTCCGATATACATCGTAAAATTATATAAGGAATATTATGTAATTAGTATGTTAGTGTAGACAAAATTATTGGATATAGTACACAGAAACTATTCAAATAATTATTGATTCTAATAAGTGTCTAATTTTGTTAGTTTAATCTACAATACGGCCTATTATAGCTTATAAATCACACATACAAATATTTTTTATCTGTATGTTGCCGTTAGCCATATTAAAGCTTTTACGTGTAGAGTCGAAGTTAATTTTGAAGTCGTCCTTGAATTACGAAGCTGAATTCTGAGAGGTGTCTCAAGCGTGTTTCCAAGAGACCGGATCTTGTGTTAAGAGATCATTGAGAGGTGAGGTTCAATGATTCTGGCGAAAAACGCCGATATGATCAAAGCAGCAATGGTTTTGTATATGAAGGATGTGTAGTTTTGATCTTAGAGTAAGTATTCAAAATGAAAAAAAAAAAAAAGATTTATACTAGAGTCAGTTGGAGTAAGGAGTTCTAAGTTTAGTTAATATGACATTAATGTAAGACAGCTATAAAATTATATTAAATCACTTATATTGTACTTACTCAGTCTATATTTAGTTCTGAAATTTCTTATCCATAATATTCCTTTCTGTTTCTGTGCAAAAAATACGTGTTGTGTAATAATTTTATATTCAGTATTTGATTTATCATTATTTAGTAAAAATCGTAATAGTAGGTTAAACTAAGTGATACGATACTTTAGCACACATATTTTGCTTAATATTTTTCTGTAATTAAAATGTATTTTCGTAACAAGATGGCGTTTAATTTATTAATCTGTATATAACAAATAATGTTTTAATTGTATAGAATATATGAAATAATTTTCATATTTCATTCATAACAATACTTTTATCCAAATTCAAATATGTATTCCCTTTTTTGTACAAGACAATTAAAAAAAATTTAAAACATGACGTTTCCAAACGTAATAAAATTTTATGACAAAGGTTTTAAATACACATCCGATATAAATATTATAACATATTTTTAATATAGACCGGTGACATTTGCTATGTTAACCTATAAAAAACTAATTATACGGAACACAAATTTTATTATTATTATTTCAAACTTTCCTAAATTCAAATGTAACGGTTTCCTGCATAATTGCATACTTGATTATATTATACTTTTATGTATGTAATATGTGTAAACTCTAGCTTTATTTCGTGGTTAAAGTCATGCATTCAAAAGTTTTAATTTAAATCCAACGAGACCGACCTTTTGATTACCTACTTGGCTGTAATTGTGTTTACGACAAGACGAAATGACTGTCTGATTTCTACATCTCGTGTCGTCGTGTTAGAAGTAAAAACGTTTTACATTAAAATACGAGTTTAAATAAAGGTTTTATTTTAATTGCAGACTGGTTGTAGATTTTTTGGCACAGCTTTATCTTGTTTATTGTTGTATTGTTTTCTTATCTAAACTCCTTCTATATTATTAAAAATATTTATAAAGATATCTCCTGTTAAGAAACATTAATTTCTGGTAGCTATAATATTTTGATTTTATCGGAATCATCATCAAATGCTATATTTAAATGAGTGTAATTTATTTACAATTTCGCTTAAATTATAATTTTCTTGTATATTTGATATGGTATATATTTAATTCGGATTAAAAGTTTTAGTTAGTCAGCTAAGGTTCTCCCAAATCCCACTTACACTCTCAACGATACGTAAAAACTGCTAAGTTGATTTTAAAATAAAGTGACTAACCAAGGTTGAAAGGCAAATCAAATAGGTATGTTATTTCAAATGATTAAAAAGATATATGATTTGTGCATACAAATTAATAAAGGCTTAACAGTAGATTGCATGCAAATTCGAAATATTCCTATTTCAGAAATGTTTTCTGCGATAAAGCAATCATTAGTGTAATTTAGATATAGTTACCTGGTATGTTAAGTTTTGTATTCTCGTTATTTTAAACATAAGAAACGAAATTAAGCCATATCAGACTTGGTGAAAATTTAACTGATAATGCATCTATCAGAAAATAGTTTCATATGAACATACCTGGTTTTTTGTATTGGTCACATATTTTGAGTATGTATTCCATAGTTGAGATGGGTATGTTGCCGTCTAGTACAATCAATGGCGCCTTTTTCAACATATCTAGATGTTTTTCGACCTGAAAATAATAATCAATTTGAAAAAAAAACAATGAACATAAGATATATCTAAGAGTGTCAGTGGTGGCTCAGTGGTTAAAGGGCCCGCCTCTCGTCGCCGAGGGCGCGGGTTCGATCCTGGCCTGGGCAAGTACCAATGTGATTTTTCCGAATCATATGTACTTTCTAAGAGTATTTAGACATCACTGATTAATGTTGATTCCCAAATGAGGGTTGATGTCAGGCAAGCGGCCGGTCGTAAAAACAAATAGCCAAAAACTATTCCCAACATGTAAGGCAGACCCTGGCTATAGCTGGGAAATTGCCAGGTAGAAGATAAGATATATCTAAGACTTTCGCGAGTATTTCTTTCAATGAAACTAAAATTTTGGGATATACTACGCGTTTTTTATTATTTTTAACTTCATACTCTCGATGTTTCTGTTACTTTACAGCAACCGTGATCATGAGCAGACGAGATGAGAATTTCTGTATTTGGTCTTGTTATTTCGATTTAACGATTTCTTATGCTAGGAAATTAATTTCAACCCTTCTGCTCGTGATCACGGTTGTTGCTAAGTAACCGAAACGCTGGGAGTATGTAGTTTAACATAAAATACGTGCCTTATATCCGAAAGTAATAGTTTTATTTTAATATTAAGCCTTTGAATACTTACGAGATCAATACTTATGCATTCATGTATGTCCATATCGCCCAGTCCCAAAATACATTCACCTTTACCATCAAAAACCGCTGCATATTTAGCTGTGCGCGCATTATTTATCACGCAACCTGTAGATATACATAATATATAATTTTTATATTGACATCAACATTCAACCCTAGATTTAAAGTGGTCTAGTGTAGTGAAGAGTTAGTCTTTATAGATTATGTCGATGTTTGAATATTACTTGATGATGTGTTTGGATTTTAATCTGGGTAGGTCGTGTAAGAATTTCCACGTCTTGGAGAAAGTCTAAGCTTCTAGAATCACCAATGCTTATTGCACTGAAGAAGTGGTTTAAACTCCTAAGTCCTTTTATATTAAATAGTAATGATCGCTGAGCTTACCAGTAAGTTAAAATTAAGTTTAGATTTAGGAAGGGATGATGTGATTGTTATTCTCAATAAATTAGCATTTATCGTGTTACATTTAAACTCTCTAGTAACTTGTAGTCGTCGAGGAATTACGTTTTAGATGTAAACGATTTATAGATTCAACTATTTTGTTTTCATGAAAAAAAAGTTACATGAAAGCGTTCATCCATTCTCAAATCAACAAATGCTTCCACAAAAGGTATATTCATTACCGCATTAGTAATATAATTAGAGTATTTATTATTATATTTTACTACTCTTATTATAAGTACTGTTATATAACTTGCCATCAAGTATCAATCCTGGTGCTATATTGTGTAAATAATTCCCGTCTTCATCATTTCCAATAGCCGTAAGCAGACGCACGCGACCATTTCTCATTCTCCATAAAGCCTCAGCGATATTCCTTCCAACGCCGCCACCGCAATGTTCACTCTTACACGGGTGTGTGCTTCCGTCTTGCTATAAATAAATATTACAAAACTAATATCAGTCTTATTATTCAAATAATAAAAGTCAAAATGAATAAGCATTAAAATATCATAAGAATTCCTATTGGAATGGAATCCCTGTTTTATGTTTAACGTCGTAAGTTATAAAATGACGAAGGGATTTAACGAAAGTTAAAGTTTAAAGAAAACGTAGTAAGTAACGTTAAACTTATGACAACATAAAAGAAGTCGTATATTTTTAGTGCAAGCCGTCTGCAAAGTTAACATTTGAGCGTGATTTAAAAAGATTATTTTACTGCATGCAATTATTACGTGAACGGCAACATTATATCAAACATAACTTAGCTTATAATTTATAAGGTTTATATATTAAATGCAATAACTACATTTTATAAACATATATAACAGCATTAAAAAAATAAAGAAACAAACTGAAGTATTTCTAAATATGTATCATTAAGTAAGTTCGATTGAAATTTTAATGTCATTAATGTTAATGAAAGCATAGAGTAATTTGTAAAGAAATTCTAGAGCTGACAAGATAAGACTAGTCTTGATTAATTGCGACGCTCGGTAAGCCGACACCGCAAATCTAAGCTGGCCGAAATGTGAACGCGCCACATGCAGTTTCGCCACCTCAATGTCAATTACAAGCATCAGAAGTCTTAAACAGAACTGTTTGATTTAAGTAATTAGTTCTTCGTTATTCAATAGCTGTTCAGAAAAACTTAACTTATACTAATTAAATTTGACAAGTAGATATGTATCAAATCACACATTGCCTGTTTTTGACGTGATTTTGGACTGAACAATAGAACGTCTCTTTTGTAAGGCTTTTAGGATATGAGAACGCATTTAATATATACGGTTTCGTGCAAATATAGATAACTTACTAGCTAGATAGTGTCTGTGGCCCCTCGTGTTAAATTACCATTTCGCTATGTCTATGGTGGTATGTACCGTTGACCGCAGCGATGGTATCAAGCGCACGCGATACTGAGTGCGGCTGTATATTATGCAATCTCCGTGGTTTTGCGCCCACTATAAATATTAATAATTTATGTGTACCGTGCCACAACTCTTTGATATTTTTTTAAACATAATCGAATGGTTTTGAATGTGATTTAAATTTAAATTTTGTCGTATAAAACTTGTGGTGCTGAAATTGGAAACTATATAGCTAAGTAATGTGTTTATATTTAGAGATTTTGATTTCTTTCTCAAAGCATTTTGAATATAATTTTTGTACAATAAAATGCTAATACGTTACATTGTCTGTGTTTTATAAAACTGGTAACAATATCGCTTGCCGAATAGACGAATTCTACTTTACCCTCATTATTGCGGGTTTTCGCCTCGTCTAAGCATTCATATAATATGCTGTATTTTTTGTATATTTCAAAAATATAACAAGCAAATTTTAAATTGAATTGCAGACAAAAAATCCATTTCTTTAAATCAATAACCCTTCTTCAGACGTTTCGTTAACATCCCATTAAAGTACTTGAAGCGAAAAAGTTCTGTAAAAGCTATTTATATTTTCCTGTTTCGTTACAAACTTCCATATAAAAAAAGTTAACATTAAAAGCTTCTGTGTTGACAGTTGGCGAAGTGATTGCACTACGTCTGTAGTCTGTACATTTATATGGAAACTTAAATATCTCTGGTTTTAAGTAATACAACTTTAAAATGCATTTCTTGTCCGCGTTTCGTGAATGGGTTTTCTGACGTGCGCACGTGACTTGTAACAGAGATGTCATTTCGTATATCAGATTATTATAATATTATTTCGTCTGTGAATCAAATTAATTTATAAATATAAGAGATACTCTAAATTGGTTGTAAGCTAGACATTTAAGTCAAAATATTCTTCTTTTGAGTTTCAATGTACAATCCAAATAACAGATTAAATAAAGTTATTATTATTGTTAAGATAAAATAACTTAAAAATAAAATAACTTTGATCTTATTGAAATAGGGCCCCCTTAAACCTACACCTGGGTCGCAAGTCCCAGGCACTGTTGAAGCTCCTCACTCTGCAACGCGGAGGACCCGGGACCTTCACCGTGAATCCATTGAATACTCAAATTTCATTCCATAATTTATGGGTACGGATCTTAAGAGATAACTTCAGCTTTAATTATTGTATGCTTACACTTTAATTTAAAAAATCCCCATATAACACACTCAAGGATGGATATATTGTATATAATTTTAGAAGTATATAGCTATAATGCAGGGTAAACATAGGCTTTCAGTCCCAAAAGCCCCATGGGATCGTAAGCGAATCTAAGGGTTAAGACAATAATAAGCTCATGGTCTGAACTCTCAAGGGCGACTGACCTCCGAAAGAAGACATTCAACCTATAAATTTGTTGTTACCTTAGTGATGTTATTTAAATTTATTTTCTACTCCCGAATCAATAGTATCAGACGGTTTAAAATTTTAAACCGCAAAACGTATTTCGATTACTGTAAACAAAATAATATTTGTAATATTAAACTGTGTAATAGATTTACATGATTTGTATCGTTTTTTAAATTAAATTGTATTTTAATGTATATTAAGGAATATTTTGATACGGTAAAAAAATCAGTACAGTAAGTAATTCACCGTAATTTATGGCATCGTTGTTAAGGAAAACATATTCATAAATTGCTGAGTGACAACTAAAACTTTTATACTACATATTACTAGCTGACCCGGCAGACTTCGTAGTGCCTCAATCGGTTCGCACATGATAGGTATAAGTCAAAACGAATAACTGACTGTTCAGTTTGGCAATGCAGAATGAAGGTACGTAATATGTACATGAAAAAGTTAAATTATTATCATTTATCGATATTGTCAGTTCATAATGTTTCTTATAGTATTTTTTTTATTTATGCAATGATTTTATTCACAGTGAAATTTGTTTCCATAGACAAAAAAATCTTTAATAATAACATGACAGTTTAAATGTGTTAAAATAAACAGAATCAATAAATTCATATTTCCAAATCAACGTTGACATTGGAAAAATATTCCACGATTCCATTGTGAATGGATTATGAAGCCATATTATAAAAATTAAATTTATATCTCTTAAAACATGAAAATCCGACGGTCATTTTATAATTTTTTATCATTATTCATGTTGTTTTAATATATTACATATTAGTTTAACCTTTTTGTTTGTTTATCTAATATAAATTTTGGGATGAATACATTAGAAAAAATTATTCCCTGTTCCGTAGAACATATGTATAATTCAAAAAATACAAATAAGATTCAAAAAGCAAAGATATTATTAAGGAAGCTTCTAAAAATAACTAACAATTTCGATATTACTAAATTTAATATGAATAAAAATTTAATGTACCCGTGCGATGTAGAAATCGATTTATATTTTATGTCATGAAATAAACATTATGAAGTTTTATATTATTCTATTATTTTTTAATTTTTTCCAAATCCAAAACATCTTATTTTATCTTATTTGAAAGTTTGTTTTTTTAAATTACAAGTTAAATACAATTTTTTAAATTACAAATTTTTAAATTACAAGTTTTTGTTATAAAATGAATGATGAATTCAAATACCTCGCAATAAGAGGTAGTAGTTTATAATACCATAAACACATAACTAGACAAATATATACATTAATTCCGTACTCAGTACAAAACCCACGGTATCTGAGTCATGCTCGCATTCAAAAGGTTTTTCCGATAAAATCCCGGATTAATTTATAAGTATACATAGTTTTTCTTTAATTAACTTATTTAATTACGACTGAAAATAAATTAACGATCGACGAAACGGTAACTAAAATATAACAATTAGTAAAGTTACTTGATTTATATCCCTTTTCAGTGTACAATATAAAATAATCTATACTATTGTTATAACAAAATATCCTTACCTTATAAAATTTATGTTTTCATTAAATCGAGACAGATTTGTGAGTTTTCTATATTCCCGTTACTAAATATAGAACTCGTAAAGTCTCGGTGGAAGAAATTTTCTTTAACAACATTTTACCGAAATCATAAAATCATTGCGGCTCAGAGATCCGAGCGTAGCTTACACAAACCATATAAAATATACTTATCACTTCTATGATTGAGTCACTCTAACAATAAAAGGAAGTACTCTATTTAAATATGAAAACAAAAACTATTTTTATTTCTATTATTTTGGGTGCTTTAATTTACTGCAAATCAACGTCCAATAACTATGGATTAGGTAATTTTTTTCTCATTCAGCTAAATATAATTTGTTGTGAAACTAGAATTTACAGTTTTTGTAAATCTAGTTAAAACTTTTGAGAGCTCTATGAAATGTTTGAATATAATATTTAGAGGAATTGAATACGTACGTAAATTGAAAGGATTAAAATCTAACTTTAGATTTGCAGTACCACGAAACGTTTGATCGTTTTATATAACGAATGTTAATAGGGTTGGAAAAATAATTTATTATATTAGAAAATGTCTATAATTTCACATAATAATATTAGTTCCATATCTTTAAGGATGTTTAAATAATAACTATCAATAAAATGTAATATTAATTTTTATCTCGTCGTATATTTAAAAATACCAATTAATATTTTATTTTAAAGACGTATGAGTCCATTAAATTGTATTGGATATAATTTTGGCATCAAACAGTTGGTTTTTCAATGCTTTTCTTTTGTGGGAGGGCGCTAGGGGGCGCGGTATCGAGCGTGGGCGCGTCGCCCCGCGCCACTGAAGCCCTAACATTCAGTCTGACGACGGCCTCCGAACGCGACGCAGCTCTGCCAGCTCACAGGCTATCAAGTGCATATGACAATACAAGTTTTATATTTCACATCACGTGCTACACTAGCGCCATCTTAAACTCGAATTTAAATTTTTTTCCAAGTGACATTTATTATAGTTTCCGCCAAAACTTTGTAAGAAAAATATAATTGTGCTGAATTGAAATGATTTGTGACGGCAGATAAGTGTTTGTCGAATATATTGGGTGGCGGCGGTACGTCTACG